TCACAGTCAGCTGGCTCCAAAGCAGGGTGGCAGGGCAGAGAATTGCTCAAAAGGTGTCAGGCAGGAAGCATGAGAGGCGAGAGAGAGATATATTCTTCCAGATTATGTGCCCAGTGACTCACCTCCTCCAACCAGGCTTCACCTCCCAGTATCATATTCAGCTGTAAACTCATCAGTAGATTAATCTATAATCCACTGATGAGTATCACACTCCCACAACCAATCACCTTCCAAAAAGCACCACCTATGAGCACATGAGGCTTTGGGAGGGACATCTAGATATAAACCGTAACACAGTCTAGTCTACCACCTTTCATCTCAGTCTCCTGCAAAGGACATAAGCAAAATGTAGATAAATGTTCTATAATAGAATAATACACAGGCTCTGGAGTCCAAATGCCAACGAAGTTCCCGACTGAAACTTCCTGTGTCTGGCTTTTACTATCTGCCTTTAAATCAGCTTTTCTGTTCAGAATCTCCCATCCAGCTTGACTTAAAGCATCCTCAGGCTGTTTCTCCTACTGGTATGTTCAGATCTTTCCAAACTCTTCCTGTGAACCAGCTCCAAAGGGTTCTGAACAGCATAGTCAAGGAGCATCACAGCAATGATCCCACTTCTGACACCACAATCTGTCTCACTTTTCTCATTGCTGGCATATAATATCTGACATCAACAATGTAAAGAAGGAAACGTGTATTTTGGCTTGCATTTGAGTCCATGGTCATCCAATTCCAAAGAAGAAATAAAGGGTGGAAGGGCATGACAGAGGGAAGTTGCATACCTCATGGCAGACAGGGAACAGCACAAAGGGAAAGAGCCAGGGAGGGAAATAAACCCCAGTGACCCACCCCTTCCTACAAACACCCCAATAGCACATTTAGTTATAAATTTAACACTGGACTAATCCACCAGTAAGTATAGCATCCCCATGATCCAATCACCTCCCTGATGCCCTTCCTATGAGTGCACGAGGCTTTGGGAAAACATCTAAATATAAACTACATTGGTATCTTTGTTCACTAATTCTTTCCATGATTCTGGTCACAAACCAAATTGGATGAGAACCAAACCAAACTCAGTGGTTAGGTTCAGTGTATAGCCACTGGCACTGGCTTTAATCTCATGGGTGCACCTTCCTTACATGAGTATGTATACATTAAATGAGCCAGTTTTACCCGCTCACTACTTTGGCTTTCACAAAAGACTCTTAAAGCTTATGATGAAGGCCATTAACAAGAAACATGTATGGTTTCAATTCAAAGGCTGTTTACTATTTTCTTTCATGTCACTCAGCACATACTGCTGTAAGAGAAGCCTGATGGGGGGCAAGAGGCTGGGTCTACTGTAACTGTATGCCACTTGTTGACTAACTTGTTTTCTGTTTATTCAGCCTCCGTATTTCCACCTCAACAGATCAACAAAGTCAAATCTTTCCCACACAGTTGGAGTGCACTTTCTTCCTTATCTGCTTCCAGCTTAGAGTGGGTTACCCTGGAAAGAAGAGGGGTTCGAATGAGTTTGCTGTGTTATCAGAGGCCAATGGGGTCTGGTCGGAAGCAAAAGCTAACATAGCCTGCTCTAGAAGTACAGGCTGAGGGAGCAAATCTCAAAGAGAAAGAAGAGTGAGCACAAAGGGAAAAGTGCTCAACTACAAGGAGGAATCCTGGAGGAGTAGGAACTCGTAGGCTCACAGTTAGGCAGTCATGGTGCGATGGATGGTCTGTGGACCCTGGGTACTGGTGAGAGAATTTCAGGAAGAGGGCGTTGCATTTTATGGGGATTTAGCCTGGGTGAGCTACAGCTGCCATATGTACCATGCACTGAAAACAAGACTTCCCTCTTGAAGGACAGCCAGGTGTTGTTTGAAGACTGACATAATGTTTTTGTTCAACAGTGTCCAGTGCCCTTGGTGTTGTTAGAAACATCCAAGTAAGATCAATTAACAAATCTCTAAAGATTAACTAATGCTAGTGGTCAAGGGGATCAGAACAAAGTATGTATGTCTGTACTTGAAAGGGACTTGTGCTGTTGTGCTGATTTTGAAGAAGTAATGATAACTTTAAGACATGACAAACCAAGAGATCACCTAGTGATGTACACAGTTTTTGTGTGTAGCTTTCTAGGAGGAAAGTCAGTGCTCTATTACAGAGTTATCACTCAACTGCAGTGTGGCTTTTAAAGAAACAATGGTAAAATAACCACGATCCCCATGAAGATCTTCCCAAGAGAACTTGTTTTCCTTTCCAGGGTCCTGAGATTGAGAAATGCTGTCAGGATTTATAGACATCTAGGGTGATTTTCCTCACAAGGAGAGCACAGAGAGCCCATTTTTATACCAATGCTGTGCCTGAGTCCCCATATCAATGGCTTCAGAGTCCACATCTCTCGTTTTTGAGTCACTAACTTCCAAGTCAGAATTGAATTTGGACTCTCTATCCAAGTCTCATCATTTCCTAGTTTGATTGAAAGCACTCCTTCGCTGTCTGAATTCAATCTAAATTCTTTGGACGCTTCTTAATTGGGTAACCCTCAACTCATAAGTATTAGCTAACACGGAGTTAGATTCCCCACGGGTCTTGAGAGTCACCCAGTTCTACAGTCATACTTCTTAAGTCACCCTCAGGCCATTATCCTGCACCTGTTATGCAAAAAAGGACACCAAGATGATTCCATTAAGATCTCAAAGCCTGTTACTAGGTCAGGTATCTGTATCTGTAATAACAGCACTTGGGAGCCTGAGGCAGAAAGACTGCCGTGAGTTCAAGGTCAGTGTGAATTGCATAGTGAAACTTAAAACAGCCCCAAAAAACAAAAACAAAAACTAACCTCAAAGCCTATCAGAGGGAAAAGATTTTTTAAACATCTTAGTACAATAAGCCAAGTGACATCCGTAGTGAGGGCTACTAAACACAGAAAAAGAAAATATGCCTGAAAAACTGAGACCATAAATATGACACTGCCAAGCAAGCTTTCCACAGAGCTCATAAGGTGTCAGAGAAAGCTACTATGCAGGGAAAAACTCAGTGGGGCCTTTCGGACAGAGATGAAAGATTTAAATGGCAAATATCATGTCAAGTAGTTATCACTGTGTCTATATACAGTGACACTTCTAATGGAATTTCAGAGGCAGAAGAGGCTTTTAAAAGATTATTGAATATAATGTTTGTACTTTAAGGAAAATAAAAAGATTCAGAAAGGGAAAGTGGTTGGACCAAAGTTAAGTCAACTCTCCTTAAGTTGAATCAAAGTCTTAGAACTCAACAAAAAATGAACTTGCATAATCAGTTCTGAATCATAATAATAAGGACTGTAAAGGGGTATGTTATGTTAGAGCCCAGTGATATCACCCAGAATTAGACAGACTGAAGGAATGCTCTAAAAACAGAACAAAAAGAACAACTTGAGGCAATTAGTTATGAATGGTTTACTAATAGCAGAAAATCTCACCCATTGGTTTATCTTTCATTCTTAATTTCCTTTTAAGTGAATTTCAACAAAGCCTTAACTATAACCAAATGTAACAAACAATATGTTAGGTATTTACTGTGTGCCAGAAAAAGTACCAAAAGTTAACAATATCTTATCTCATTTAATGCCTATGACAATTCCATTACTTTTTCAATTTTCCAAATGAAGTTTGGGATGATTTAATTTGCTGAAGATGCTGTTGGAACCAGAATTCAAAGGCAGGCAGCTGGCTTTGACTTCAGAGTCCAATTCTTAATCATTATATGTTTATACTGCTTAAGACCAAAAAAAAGTATATCAAGCGCTACATAAGTTAGCTGCACAGAAATCAGTTTTAAGAATATTCAGTGCAAGTATTTGACAGATTCATAAACATTCCATCACACCACACAAAAGGAGTAATGCCACCATCGTGTTAGACCTTAAGCCTACTTTTAGTTACTCAAGTTAATCAAGCACTGGACTATAAGGAAGATGGCTTGTGACAGGAAATAATACACAGTATGCTACTTCTGCTGCTCTTGAGGTTCTTTTGTTTTGATGTGACTTTATCTTCAAATGCAAGATTTATCTTCTTTTGTGCTATTCTAAAGTCTTTATATTGTGGGTAATTAGACAAAAATTCTGTTTGAATACCAAATGGAAAAAAACTGTCATTTGAATAATTTGTGTGCTCTTTTAATCCCTCAGGATTTCAAAAGAGGAAAGAATGAAAAGGAAGGGATTCTTATGTCCAAATAAGTGACAATTCAGGCCTAAAGGAAGAGAGAGAATATGCAGAAAATTCTGCTATGGTACCCAGGCCTTTGACATATTCGCGTTAGTGAGTGAAAGCCTACTTGTGACATATTTCAGATGCTTTCATTACTTCTGGATGGCTGTGAATAGTCTTCTGGCTGCCTTGCCTATATTATCCAGAATGATGAAATAAAACAATTCCATCTTCTGCCTGTCCTGCAAATTGGGTATAAATTTGTGTTCTAGACCACAGAAGTAGAGAAGTAATACCGTCTTACTCCTTTTTCCAAATCATCCACAACATGTATGAAATGCTTTGGGTATATTGTCCACGATCACACTGCTGCTTCATAACAGCCTTGGAGGGAGGATCTGCACCGCTGTCCTTTCGTGGAGGAAAGCAGCAGTCCTCAGGCAGCTAGTCAGTGGCAGAGACTAGCATGTCCAGATTTCTTGATCGCTTTGCACCACTGGGCATTCCAAACCTAAACCTCAACTAGATTATAATCCACTACCCCACATCGTCTTCCACAGTCACGGAATTATGATCTACCTCCCACTTCCTGTAGCACACTCACTGCCTTGCAATAGGACCCCCGGCAAACACTGGTCCACTCCATTAACCTGCGCTAAAAACACTAAGAGCACTAAGAAGTCGGCTTGTCGACCTCGTAGCTCCCATCTACTAGGCCTGCAGGTTTGTTTTTGTCTTTTTTTTTTTTTTTTTTTAGATGAGACTCCGACATCGCACTTCCCTCTCGTCAGTAGCCCCTGCTAACCCCTCCTCTTTTACCTCTTGATGGTTAGGCTTCGGAAAAGCGGGTACCAAGCGGAGAACTGACAGTGCAGCACATGCTCCTTCTTCATCCTCCAGCAGCCGCTGCCTCTTACCTGTCCCTCTCGGGCCAGCGCTCTCCCGGAACCCTGCGCCTCACTTCCGGAAGTGCCCGCCGAGCTCTTTTGGTTTAAGGACTCTTCCGTTCTGTAAAACTAGGAGACCGCAGAAGAAAAGGAAGCCGAGTTGATTTCTTGGGGAACACACTCAGCGCAGGTGTCACATACACGGACGCACGCGCACACAAACAGTTTGGGTTCCGAGAGAGGAACTGCGGAAGTGTGCAGAAAGAAATTTTAGGAAAATCCCAGCCCTGCCCCCCCCAACTGACGCCGCACCTTGACCCGGAAGATAATCATCTAAAGCAGGGTGAGCAGCGGGGTTTTTACGGGTGCCGAGAGGAGGGCGCGTGCACATCCTCTTAGCACCGCGAGAGGCGCCGGTGCCGCTGTGCCAGTGGCATCTAGTGCGACTGCTGTTCAGGCGCGTCTTTTTTTTCTTTTTCTTTTTTCCTTTTCCCCCTCCTTGCCTTCATCATCCCACTCTTTGGAACAGGTAAGTGGGCGCAGGCCAGTCACCTGTCGAGGTCTCTGTGGGGCGCGAGTGAAAGGAGCATGTTTGAAGGTGCGGGCAGTTGCGCGCGCCTTTCCTGGTCTGCGGCTGGCTTGGAGTCCGGCGCTAGCGACTAGGAGGGATTGGGGTAGAAGAGCCTGGACTAGCGGAGGAGCGGAGCACGCCTTGGTTAAATGTCTGGAGTATTTATTGAGGTGTCTGCGGAGGAGGAGGACGGTCCCCCTTTGGCGGATGTGAGTTTTGGACGACAGGATGGGATCACGTCCGCACGGTTCTGGGCGCCCGCGGGGCGGGGTGGGGGCCAGGAAGGGGAGGTTGATTTGGGAGATGATGGTGTTGTATTTTTGCTTCTCTAGTTTATTTAGTCTAGCCCCTCAAAAGTTGCTGGTTTCGAAAAATAGTCAGATTTTCATTAGAGTTCCTGCAATGGAAGAATCCTAGTTGCACTTAGAATGCCATTTGGCTTTCTGCTCCCCTTACTGCCTATCATCCTGCGAAGTTCTGTTTTGTTTCGTTAGAAAAATGAGAAGTCCAGAGCTGCTAAGAAACGCCTTTGAGACCTTCCTATCATGTCAAGTCTTTGGGCTTTTCTCAAACCCCTTGTCTGCTGTTGCATGTTACAGATATCGCCTTAAAGCTGACCCCACCTAACTAAGGAGGTTTAAATTAGAAGTAAGGACCCCACAAACTGCAGGCACCTTTAGAAAGGAATTCAGAATAAATGCGCATTGTATTCGGAGTTAGAAACTCTTCCCTGATGAAGGTAAATTTTCCCAGAAATGTTACTGGTGCTGTAATTAGAGCTTTTCCGGAAGTGGAGGCAAGAACATCACAAAGTTGAGGCAAACCTGGGTAGGTTTAGACCCTGTCTCAAAATAAAGAAATAGATTGAAAGAACTTGGAACTTGCTTCAGCCTGCCCTGAGTTCAACACCTGGTACGGCAAAAAGTGAAGAAAAAAAAAGTTACTGGCTAAGTGGTTGGTGGGGAGTATTGCTGTAAAGGATGCATTTTCAAAGCAGAAGTAAATAAATTTTAACATATCAGAGTGTGTTCGTAGGGTGTGGGCTGTAGTGGCTCATTTGCAAGTACTTCTTTTGGGTTTTGTTTTATTTTGAGACAGTCTTGCCATGCAGGCTGGCTTTAAGTCCACTATGTGGCCCGGGCTGACCTCGAACTCAAACTGGAGATGATCCTCCTGCTTCAGCCTCCTAAGTGCTGGGATTATACGTGTGCACCACCACGAGTACTTCTGAAGTCCAAAATTAAACTGTTCTTTGTGTTTTGAAGGCAAAAAGCAATATACAATCTCCTACTACAGAGAATGGAACTAGTCTAATGGAACTAAGTGAGTTAGTAGTAGACTTGAGAATGCAATCCCATTTGTTTTTACTGTATTTGGCCTAGATGTGCAGTATAAACGTTGCCACTGAAGGAAATACTGGCACTAATTGGGATGCTTTTGGGTGAAGTATTTTTCTTTAGAAGTGTTCATTATATAGGAAGCTAGGCATGGTGGTGCTCACCTGTAATCCCAGCACTCAGAAGGCTAAGGTAAGAGGATCACCAGCCTAGACTATCATAGCCAACCCTGTCTCAACAAACAAAATACTTCCCCCTCCAAGAGTTAATTGTATGAGAGAAAACATGCAGGGAACATTGTCTTTGTTTTCTTTAACAGTCCAGGACATAAGAGGTTGCTACAAATTCAAAGCCTTATATCATTTGTAGAGAAGTAGTTAAATATAAATTCAACTACACAAACCGTAGGGAAGGCATTTGATATAGATGTCTTTTATTCAGGCTATTTTAGAACCGTTTTCAGTGATTTTTTTTTTTTTTTTTTTTTTTTAGTATTACTCATAGCTGGGTCTAGGTAACTTGTTACACATTTAACCAGAATCCAATAATTTGATTTTACAAAAGAGGAAATGCTCCTGTAATTGAACAGTGCAGCTGAATTTTTAACCACCGTGTTAGCCTCAGCAATGAAATATTTATGTTCAAATTTATCCAAGTAAAACATTTACAACAGTGGGAATCATTTTTTCCTCACGCATATTTAAAAAGTCAGTCAAGTGATTGCGGGGAAGAGGATTTATTTCACAATTTCAAAGTAAAGAATGAAATAGCACATTGCCTTTGAATCCGTTGTGTGATTAGTCCTTTTAGATGAGTATTTCCCACCGTCATGTAGTTTTTTCTACGTGACCATCTGTCTACAAACTGGAGAAGCCCAAAGGTGACCGCGCCACCACACCACCTTCAGATATCCCAGGGTCCTTTAAAACCATTTCTGTCTTGGAAGTGGCTTAGATTTATTTCTTCCCTAGAAAGCTGTTTTGGGACAAACAATGAACTGTTACCAGCCAGGAATTAAGTGTTTTGTTTTTGGTTTTTGTCATTCTTACTACCTTACTGCTAACCTGTGTTGTCTCTCCTGTACTATTGCAAGAAGTACCTGAGTCTCATTTCTGTACAGTTTGTAACCAGTTAACCTTTGCAAGGGTCATTACAATCATTTCATTCATTGCTCAACCGGAATTAAATGGGATGATAATGAACCATCTGGTAAATGATTACAAATCACCAAATAGTATCTCAGTAAGTGTTCGTTCTCTCCATGTCTACACCATGTCCAGGCCTGCTGGGGAGAAGGGGGCACTCCACAGAACTTGTAGCAGCCTCCATCATTACTGTATAGGTAGAGGAAGTCTGCATTATTTGAGGATGATTATCAGCAAAGAAAAGGTCACTTAAGTAAATCCATTTTATGTAGGTACTGTAAGAGGAGTTAATCAGAATATCTTACTTTAAAAAAGTGAAGTTCTGTGATTATAACTAAAACTGTTAAATATGGCTTATAGTTTTTGATTCTCATTAAATCATGGATTTTGTGTAATTATTTTGACAGAAATTAGTTTGCAATTATTTTGTCAGTCTATGGATTGACATCTTACACATGCCTTACACATGGTGCTTGGCTTTCACAATAAGATCATAATGTAAGTTATTTCCACAGAAATTTCCACCTCCGTTTGATTTCTTTCCAAATGCCTCACTGATTTTTGTTAGCTCATTGAAGTTTTCCAGCTACCTGACCCCCCGTGTCAGTGAGAAGTGGAGTTTATGAAAGGAATTGCTGTGTCTTTCTTACAATGAGGGGAGAGTGAGTCCGTCGGGGGTTTGGGGTGTGACCCTGGCCCACCTCCTACAGCTGGACCTATAGGCCTGTGCCAGTACGTGGTAAACTCTTAACGTCTTTTATTTGGTTGAGTGTTACTGATGCTTTTGATAAGTTTTATCGAGGAGATAGTACTGGCCAGCACATAATTTATTAGGACTTTGATTCACTTGGAACCTCAACAGATTACAGGGATTCAGGTATAATGATTGACTAATGAGCCTGAGTACAGACTCTACTGCCTGGCTTTTGAGTTCTCAGTTCATCTCTTGAGTCTTAAATTCGGCTTATCGCTTATCCAGTTGTTACTAAGACCGAAATACCCACATTGTGAACAGTCATTACCCTTCCTGCCTTTGAGTGGAGGGTTGTACTTGCTGCCTAACCCAAAACCAGTTTGCACAAAAGCGGGTGGTGTCCCAGGCGGGGTTGTGGGGTTGCGAGGTTGCCTACTTTGCCAGTCTATTCAAAGGGCTGGAAACAGGGATCTAGCCAAGTCTGTGTGTCCCCTGAGAAATGTGTTTGCAAATGTTAGCTTCTGTTACAAGTGCAGGGGTTTTGTTTCTGTTTTTAAGCAGTGAAGGGAAACATTGGGAGCCAAAGGGCTTTCCAGACTTTCATAATGTCCTAACTTTGACCTAGTAGTATTTGTTCTTGACTCATGGTTCCTTCTAGTTGGAATACTTTTCCTGCTTCTGGGTCTCTAAACATATCTCAGTATGGAACTGTCTTTTAAATATTGAAATAGCATTGAGTCAGTGTAGGGAAGCTCCGTTAAGTAGTGGAGGCAGTGGAGCGCAGAGCGTGGATTAAGTCTCATTATGGATTAAGTCTCATTTCTATTTCTTTCTGCCGCGTGTTGCTTGTGGTGACTAGCCCCAGACATGGCTGTTTGGCTTCTGGTTTTTAAATAGTGCTAAAAATAACTCCTTTCCTGTTTTAGTACTACTTTAGAAGTGCTGCTACATTCCTTCTGAATCATTTTAGGAATCTGGAATACTATCCACTTTCACTCATTGGGCACTTTTTGTTTGTTGTTCTTTATGCCGTTACAATGTTAATACCTACATAATGGATTGCTTTAGAGTACTCCTCCTTGGACTGATTGGTTACTGTTGAGAGGTCCAGCCTTTGCTACTCTTCTATTTTAATTTTTGGTAATTTATATGTCTGGCATTTCCCTTATCACTGTGCTTATTAGTATTTTAGCTTAAAATACCTTATTTAATAAGGGTGCTTAAAACAACTGCTTTATGATTTAATGTGCGGATGAAGATTGATCTGTAGGTTTTTAAATTAAATTTAACTCAGTTAAATAAAGATTAGTGGATGAATTATCCTTCTGGACAGTGCTTTTTTTTTTTTTTTTTTTTTTTTTTATCCTTTTAGTAGTTTATCACTCCACTGAAAATTAGAGAAAAGCTATAAAGATACTATATGTCCATGAGGGGACCGAGTAGATAGCTTAAATGTCTTGATGTTTTATGCAACTCTACAGGAACTAGTTTTACTATAGATTATGCAAACAGATAAGCACTGCCAGAAGATACCAGCATGTGTTAATCAAGATTTATCGGAATATTTTCACTGAAAAGGTGATTTTTAAGTTTTGATTACAGTTGAAACTATTGCTTATAGATATTACAAATCATGCAAATTTTTGTGTAATTATTTTGACAAAGTAGAGTAGTATCTTACAATGCCTAAATTGATGCTGTAGGACCCCCTTTGACTATAAAGAGAATTTTTTTAGGACGGAGAAGGATATGGCCACTCTGCTTTTTTGTGTTCTGTGTTTTCACCTTGTTGTTTAGAGCTTCTAAAAATGGGGTTGAATACCCTTTTCCTAGGGGAGGTTACAGATGTCTGATGCTTTGTTATCTTCTGGTGGTGCTTATACTTTTGATGACCTCAGTTCTCTGCTTTTTTAAAAGCTTGGGTATGGAGCTAAAAGTTAATCCTCCCTACCACACACTCACAGGTTGTATGCAGGCTGTTTATTTTGTGTGTGAATGGGGCTGCATGACTAATTAGAAGCTGTTTTCTGTGTTAGAATCAAAAGCTTTCCCTCTCTCAGCAGGTCTTCTGCCATGTGTATGTTATTATGGAAGGGAATAAAGATCTAGAAGATAAGGTCCTATTAAAGTTCCTTTATGGCCTGTAGAGCATGCAGGTAGAGACAGGTTGGTTTTATACCTTTGGTTCTTACCTGGCTCAGCATACTACTTTGATTGCCTAAATTATTCTCCACCAATGCTAGCTAAAAGTTCCTAGTTATCATCTGGGGCAGTTTCAAAGAATTAACTGGCTGTTCTCTTAAGAGTTCTATGTGGTTTTGTTTTGTTTTGTTTCTGGCACCAGAAATCGAACTCAAGACCTTGCACTTGCCAGGCAGGTACTGTGCTGCTGAGCTAAACCCCCGACCCAAGTTCTAGGTTTTAATATGCTCAGTGACTGTCTGTAAATATTCCAATGCCTGTATGTCTTGCTTCTATATTACTTTCTAGTCTGTTCAAGTGTCAGCAGATTAAAGACACCTTCCCTGGTCACCCCTTATGGATTACTCCACCCCATCTTCCCCACTCTGTGGCTTCATAATCTTCTACATGAGCCTCAGATCACCTGGAGACTCCTGTATATGCTTTTCCTCCTGTTATCTTCTCTCCAGAAGGCCCAGCCCTGTGGCCAGCCCTGTGCTGCTCTGTGCACTGCGCTGTGCTGGCCCCTTGTAGCCTCTCTGTGGGTCTGCCACGTGGTACAGTATGTGGATTCCCTAAGTCAGTCAATGGGAATTTGAATTTTTAAGACGCTTTTTGTTGTTGATTGTACCTTATGGTAGGAAAGATTGCTGTCTGGGATAAAAATTGAAGATTTGATGAACAGAACAGTTACCACTTTGGATGCCAGAAGAAACAGAGTTATGATACTTTCCTTTAAGATAGTTGGTAAGAGAATTAGCACTATTAGCCCTCTGGATCTGTGAGTTCTGTATTCATGACTGAAAATGTTCTGGGGGAAATGTGCCTGTCCTGAACTTTTTTTTTTGAAGACTGTCTGGCTCTCTGTAGTCTGGGCTTGCCTTGAACTCACAGTTTAACCCTGGCTGGCCTCCAACTCACAGGGATCCTGCCTGGGCCTCCTAAGTGCTAGGATTACAAGTGTGAGCCACCGTGCCCAACTGATCTGACAGATTTTTGTTCTTGTCATTATTCCCTAAACAGTACACTGTAACAACAACATAGCACTGATGTCGTATGGGAGGCTGTGTATGGGGAGTAAGCTAGTGTAACACCATTTCATTCAAGCTGCTGGAACCTCTGCAACTTTTGGTGTCCACCAGGGAATCGGGGAACCAGTTCTCCTGGGAAACAGATAACAGCATTTTCTTTGAAGCTGAAATTAGGAGGAAGGTAGGGCAGGGAACTGTGGAATTTGAGGGTAGTGAAGAACCAGAGTAACCACTGAGAAGTGCAGATGAGATAGCAAGAAAGGGGGAGCAGTAATGAGACAGATGAGGGGGTCAGTTCAGGAAGTCCACAGCTAGGTAACAGTTGTTGGGAGAAAGAACAGAGAAAGTGCCGAGGAGTAAATTATCAGCAGAGTCCCTCAAGAATCTCTGAAGAGAAGTGACTGTTCCAGATCACAAGGACCCACCCGAGTGGCCAGGACAGTAACATCAGCGTACAGATGAGACCAGCTTCTCACGAAACAAAACGGGGCACGTGGAAGAAGGAGCGAGAATCAGAATAGTTTCAGGCTTCTCAGTAGCAGCACTTGAAACAAGACAGCCGAGCTGTTTCTGAATTATTAATCCGTGGAGAGGAGAGTACAGAGCTCTACAAATGAAGTAAGCAATAAAGAGGAACAATCACCGAGCAGTAAGTGGGACAGGGACCTGCAGCTTTTCCTGGCAGACTGCAGTGGCATCTCAGTGTATGAACTCCATTCAATTCTGATCACGGTGAACTGGGGGAGAACCAAATCAGATTTCCCCATAAGAGCAACATTGAAGCTAACTATTGAATTTGATTCAGTTCTCACTCAACTCAGTCCGCACCCAGGAAGAAGCAAGGCTGGGAACCGAGGTACCACAGTGTAGTACTAGTTGGTTCTGAGCAACATGACTCTGATACATGCAGAGACCTAAATGAGACACAGTAAGGTGATGAGCTTCCTCAGGTCCCAGGTTACTGAGATGTCAGGTGAGGACTGCCAGGCTAGACTGCAAATGTATGTAATACCTCTGAGAACTGTGGGTTTAAAGTCAGTAAAAGGTAAATCTGTTTACCTCAACCTGTTAAAAGGAGGGAATGGTAAAGGAGGAGAAAGGTTGCCACTTAGTGACATAGGTGAGGTGAGGGGTGGGTGTGGAGAGTGATTGTAATCTCACTGTTGTTTTACATTGGCACCAGCATTGGCTTTGGAGTCAAACCCTGAGTAAGGAAGCGCAAAAACCCGGAGCTGTGCAATGGTGGGAACCTCCCAGAGCCTTAGTGGTACAGAGAGGCGTCTGGCCTGTGTGCCACAGGCTCTCCATCACTGGCTGCGCGTGAGGAACTAAGGAGAGCTCGTTCTGACTTGGCTGGCGTCAAGTTCTTGCCTGGATGATTCCTGGGGCTTCTGTATTTTTGTTCCCATCAGGGAGGTTGCCCAGATTTTCACATGGGAGCAGCAGCTTTGATGATGAATAAATGTTTGCTGTTAATAAGTGGCCTCTGGACAATTGCCTGATTCACAAAAAATTTAGCTTAAACAAATCTCGTTATTCTACAGCTGGACCTTCTCACCTGCGGACTATAAAGATTAACTAGGTCGCAAATGGAGAACCAAGAACCAAGAAATTCTTCTCAGAATACCAAACAACATGTTATTTCAGAGGAGGTATAACTTGTTTTTCACTTTCCTTTCTCTTCCCCTACACAAATCTGAATTTAAAAGAAGCCTGTAGGCCACTTACTGTTTCAGATGAGTGATTCATCTGGAAATGGATGAGTGCTTTCATTCTTTACAGTTTTAAATACTTTTCCTACTCTCATTTTGAGGTTGAGGCACTGTATTCTCTTGTATGAGAATGGTAGCATATCTTTAGTTACGTGTAGTCATGAAATTGGGTAAATAGATTTTTGCCTCTTGATAAGAAAAATTCTTAATTCTTATTAAAAGGTTCCCTGGAGAGAGAAAAATAAATAATTTGTGAGTTTTAAGATTTTGTGACTTCATATTTAATGCTATTTATGTTCCTAATGTGTATAAGAACACCAAAAATCTAAACTGTTAATTGTAGCCCAAATTACATTGAGTTCTAGAACTAATGTCTGTCTTGTATGTTATGCAGTTTAGATTCTTAAAAGTCTCTTCTTGGGGGCTGGGGATTTAGCTCAGCGGCATAAGCACCTGCCTTGCAAGCAGGCAGTAGTCGTGAGTTCGATCCCTGGTACTGATAAAATGAAAAAGACAAAAAGTCTCTTCTTGCAGGAACCATTGTAAAGGATACATTTTTAAATCATTTGTCTTGAAACTCAGATCTTGACATCTTCCTGGAATTCATTTTGACTTAAAACCTTTCTAATAAACAGATCTGATAGTTGCCATAAGTGAAAAGATAGTAAGGAAAAGGCTTCTGCTATAAGTACAAAATGAAACACCCCTGTCAGTTTGGTATAGTGCCATAAGTTAGTTAGTCCTCGTAACTAAACTGCTCGAGGTCTGGGTGCACAGTCCTGGGGTACCTGGTTAGGTTGGGTGGAAGATCAGCAGACCTGTCATTAGTGTTGCAGTGAAGCACCATTGGAGAAGGTTTGCATCCAGACCAGGAAACAGGAGCACCCCAGAAACCCCCTCCCTGTGGCTGCCCTCCCTCTGCCCTACTTCCAGCCAGTTCAGGAGTCTGCATTTATTTGCTCCTTTGTGTGGAGGCTGAGCCCCACACTGAGCACATGCTGACCGCTGTGCTGCATCCCCAGCACGCTTAGATTTCAGACTCGTCATTCCTTTTCACCTCTTGGTACTACTTCAAAAATTCTGAAACAAAAAATAAGTTTGAATATTTACTCTGAAATAAAATCTTGCCCACAGATTATTAGAGGGAGCCATGTGTAAAATTTAACAGGAAAGAAAAAAACTTTTAGATAAAGGCAACTTGATTTGAAAGTTTCTCAACTTACTATCTGATCTCCTTTTAGTTAATTTCAGAAGGAAACTGGGTCAAGCTTGAAAAAACAACTTACATGGATCCTACTGGTAAAACTAGGTAAACTCCCCCCTCCTCTTATAAAATGAGTATGTGGGCTCTCTGGGTCACTGTTAAGTGTTTAACATAAACTTTGATGTTTTTCTCGTTGTAAACTCTGTTTTAATTGAAGTCTAATAATAGACTTTCCCCATTGTTAGAATGTTTGAATCATTGATAATCTGTGAATAAAATTAGGTGATAAATTTGTTAAAATAACTAATTAGGAGTCTGTTCTCCCTAGATAAGCATAAACCTAAACCTTTTGGTCAAACCTAATTTAAGCTGACAAGGTAAGTAGACTAATTAATAGTATGTGTAGTTTCTTTAGAGGTAAACCTGTTTTTCTTACTCTCTAAAGACTAAAAGGTACATATACTGCAGTTTTGAGGTAAAATAGATAGTTACCTTGCTCGTGCAAATGTCAATTGGAAAAACATCTTTTTTTGGAAGCATATTTCACTAAATGTGTCAACCATAAAAGTATCTTTTAGCCTGGTCATCCCACTTCTGAGACTGTACTAAGAAAACGATGTAGTGTTTAGAATCAGATATATGCACAAACAATGTTCATAAAAAATTTAAAAGACAGAAAACTCGAACATCTTAAAGACGGGGAACTAGGGCAGCTGGCGTGGCTCAGTGGTAGAGTGCTTGCCAGGTGAGTGCAAGGTCCTGGGTTTCCATCCCTAGCACTGGTAAAGAAAAACAAACAAGGAAAAAACATTAGGGAACTAATATATTTAAAGAAACTGAGGAATCTGGGGAAGTTAGTATGTTGATAATAAAATATAAAACAGCATATACACTTTTTAAAACAGCCACATGGTAAGAAAAGGCTAGAATAAAAGCAACAAGAATAGTGAAAAAGTAGCTATGTAATTAATTGTTGTCTTCCAAATTTCCTGTTCAGCAATTTTTTTTTTTTGGTCTTTTTTGTTTTTATCGGTACCAGGGATCAAACTCACGACTGCCTGCTTGCAAGGCAGGCGCTTATGCCGCTGAGCTAAATCCACAGCCCTTTGTTTAGCAATTTTTGATATTACAAACAATCGGAAGTCCAGGAAGAAATACTATTAAATAAAACAAGGAAAAACACGGAACCTAAGTTTAGTATACAGATTACTTGATTCCAATTCATTGATAAAAGAATTCCTTGCTGAGTGATCAAACAGGACACGTGGTTTTTCAGTGAACAAGTACATCTGCCAGCAAGGTGCAAATATACAGATTTGTCAGTAATTCACAAAACTTGGTAGAGTTTCTACACCCTTATTGAGACTCAGTGTTGGAGATTCATGGGAAAGAAGCTAAGTCAGTATCCTGTGATCCTTCAGCACTACAGAAGACTATGATAGTGTTTAAAATGTGAAGTGAGTCTGACATGTAGAGCTAGATATAAAATAAACAGACAAGGGGCCAAGCCCACCACAGACATGTGCAAGGCCCAAGCTTCAGGAAACATGATATATTCAAATATGTTTGTGTTAGGGAACTCATCCACAAGTATTAGAACCCCATATGAAGTGATACAGTTAGATTTTCTTTTTCCTATAAACTTAAGTCAATAACCTCAAACATGGCCCTTCACACTGATTAGCTTGGAGAATATGTGCTGGTTCATGTCAGTTTCTCTTTTCACTGGTTATCTCCTCTCCAGCATTTAATCCATCAGGACTATACATCAAAATCATTTGAGATTTTTTTTCAGGATACTCTTGGGTAGATCTCACCTCAGGATAGTCTGTGCTAGTTTTGGGAGTAAACTAAAGTCTCCACCGAAGTGCTGTGTCTGTCCAGCCTGTTGGTAGCTGTTCACCTCGATTCTTCCATTCGTGTGTCTTCCTCTTGACCTTTGACCAAGTCTTATATAAAGCATCGATATTTCATGCCAGAATGTCAGATTCCAAAGAATGAATCTCTACTTTCTAGTAGACTGTTTTTAAATTTATAAAAATGTGTTCTTTATGACCTGGTATAAAAGATAAAACAGCTAGGGAATCCTTTGTCATACTGTCTCGCTCATGGAAGAAAGGATGTGGAGTTAATTTTAGATGTGTAGAAATTCAGGGTAGTCTGCAGGTGGGAGGCTGAGGCCAGCTTGGACTACCAGGGAGTTCAAGGCCAGCCTGAACTACGTAGCAAGATTCTGTCTCAAAGAAACAAATAAACAAACAAAAAACACGGGGTAGTAGTCCCTAAATTTACAGTCAAGATAGTGCAAAGGCCATCGTCCTTGAACTCAAGACTTCGTGCTTGCCAGGCAGGTGCTGTGCCACTGAGCCATATCCCTGGCCCCTAGCTCTTGGGTTGGTGGACAAGAGAGAGGAAAGCAGACCATGAGTTTCCTATAAGAAAAAACAAGGGAAAATGGAGTGAATGAAAGCAGAATTGTAAGCTTAGAAGAGACTCTGAGTTGGTGTGCTCATTCTGAGATAGTACAGCGTACTTGGCCACCACATCTTACAGACAGATGTCTCCTGGAGGTTGTGGCTTGGGGTTAGCAGACAGGAAGTAGAGACTAAGATTTTCTCACCTCCAGTCATGCAGACTTTTCTCAGAGTCCATTTGAGATTGTTGGATTTAGCAAGGCCCTATCTAAAAATAAAAAAGGGCTGGAGATGTAGCTCAGTGCAAAGGCCAAGGCCCTGAGCTCAACCCCCAGAGCCCCTGAAAAGAAGATGGTTGGCTCTCATAGGGACAGTCGCATTGTAGTGTTTCTTTTTTGTTGTTGTTCAAGTGTTTCTTATGAATGCATTTATATGTTATTGCTCATACTTTATGGCTCTTTACTGCTTGTTTCCTTCACCTTAACCACCGTAATGATGCTACTCTTTTTGTTTCCCTTATTCCTAGTGTATTTGGGATGGGACCTTCAGTGCTTTTCCCAACACTCTCTTCAGTCTTTAGGACTAACCTAAAGAGGCAGCAGAGAGAGCTATGCCAAAAGGTGTTTTGTCTCTTGCAATCTCTATTATTTACTTATCAGAAATTGCTTGTTGGTTGGCTTTTTGCTACTAACAGGAATGTTGGGCTGCTGTGAGTTGTCATAGTGGTCTGTTTAATTTCATAGGTTCATTTTGACACATTCCCCTTTAGAATTTGGGTGCAATGCTGCAAGGTATTCAGTTTTATACATACATTAACTCTGAAAAAGTTTTCATGAAATGTGGCAAGGTAAGGAACTTAGGATGAAAGAAAACAGATGAATCAGAGAATCCATCCAAGTAGTACATCTTGTAACTCTTACAGCTAGGATGCAGGCGTTGACTCCTGTTATCGAGTCCCCAATACCACCAGGTAGCTGACTTCCTTTAGAAGAGATCCTGAAATTGTTTGCTTCTCCACCCCACCCCCACCACAGCTTTCCCCACTTAGGAGATGAGAGAATAAAAGGCGTAATTTCCCATTCCGCCCTTTCCCTGGAAATGTGGTGATTTTTAATATGACCCATTGTGTTCCTGTAAGAAGTCCAATAGCACGGATGTTAGCAGAACCTGAAGTAGGAAGCACAGCTAGGAACAAATGGCTGACAGTGAGTAAAGCCATTAAAAGGGAACAGGACTTTGCTGTTATTACCTCACTTTTTCCTCTATTGACCACCTGGACCCCTTAGATGAGACTTGACTCATGTGAAGTAGAGCCCTTACCTAAATTTAATAATTCCTCAGTTAATCAGTAGGAAGTTTTACTTTCATAAGTTGTGTCATTTAGGTCACATTAACCAAAAGATCTGCGTCAGTCATCTCAAGCACTCACACTGTGCATGGTGTCTTTCCTTCCTAGAGGCAGGGCTGTGACGCTGCTGAGCTTACTTTGAATCACTGCTTGTTAATAGCATTTACACCCGTAATAACCACTGTGCCGCATACACAGTCCCAACTGAAGGATGTTGAGAAAATAGCTCAAGTGCTCAGCAGGCTTTGGATGTAGGTGGCATCCAGAGGGTTAGGTTTAAAATCTCAACAGTTTTCTTGGGTAATTTCAGAAACCACAATTGGCTTTTAATACAGATTTGTGTGGTTGCGGTTTTCTTGAACAGTGTTAGTACATGTGCATGCATTGCATTTGTGGAGTTCTGGCTGGACACGGGAAAACTAAAAGCATTCTCCTGTTTAGCAGCTAATGAGTTTTTTTTTTTTTTTTCTCTCTGCTTAAACAGAACTTGGGAAACAGTGAAACGTACAACGAGGAAGGGACAGTCCGCTGATGGTATGACTATCATACTGTCTGAAAGACAGTAGCACATGTGGTTATGGGAGGGTAGGGCAGCCAAAGACTGAAGCTTCCTTTGTGAGTAACCCCTGGCTGCCATGCAGAAGCTCAGTGTGGTATTTTTGAGAAGATGCACTAGTGTTTATGTCAAACAGATTGATACCTTTTAAAGCCGCACACTGTGTCTGACTGTGTGTACTGCCTTGTATACTCATTTGTTCAGAGGATTTGCGAGAGTACCTTAAAAAATAACATGGCACAGTTTCATGCTGATCACCACTGGCTGCCTAAGTTGAGCAAATGGATTGGGAAAAGACTATTCCCTCAGCTCACCTTCCATTCCAGACACGAGTGGTTCAGCTGTAGAGACCCCAGAAACAATCCTGGCAGTCACATGTAGTCATCAGGGAGTTGAGCAATGGTTCTTGCTTTTCCTTTTGTTTTTCCATGTGGTTTGGTTTCTGTTTTTACTGGAAGCAAAGAATAGCTTGGCTGCATTTGCTGTTCTGAACCAGTGCAGGCATATTTAGGAGAAGCCAAGCGTACTTCCGGGGTGTGTGTGTGTGTGTGTGTGTGTGTGTGTGTGTGTGGTGTTTTCTAGAATCCAGTGGCTTTTGTTTCAAGTAAAGCCATAGGATTTGAAAGAAAGCATCATTTACCTAAAGCAGCCAAAGTCTAGGTAGTGTGCAGAGAAACTAAACTTTATTGCTTAAAGGGAATCTGGGGCACAGAGATCACTTCAACTTCACGGTGATCTAGCTGCTGCATGGCGAGAAATGGTTCTTTATAGAGTCAGGGCAGGCTGCAGTTTCTTTGGTCTATGTGAAATGTTTGGTGTCAGTTTTAATTTTGTTTTAGAAAATTGTGACTGGGCATAGTGGCTCATACCATAGTCCGAGCTACTTGGAAGCTGAGGCAGGAGAATCATGAGGCAGGAGAACCATTCTGAGCAATATAGCAAGACCATTTTGCTTTCTCAAAGAAAAATTGCAACAATTAAAATGATCTTTTTATTTGGAAAGAAAATTCAAACAGAAGTGCAATTTTTTAAAAACTGAGAATAGTTTCCAGAATTAACTGCTAGCACTGTTAGTTTCGAACTACATAATGGCAAGTTCAGAATAGACTGGGGAGAGTTTCTTGCACTCGGGATTTAATTAGCAGTCTGGCTGCTTTTCTGAAGCATCTCCTTGGTTTCATTTTCTGGTGACAGGCGTAGCAATCATCCCAGTGCTGCAAAGGACTCTTCATTATGAGTGCATCGTTCTGGTGAAACAGTTCCGGCCGCCAGTGGGCAGCTACTGCCTTGAGTTCCCTGCAGGTGAGTGGGTAAACACTGCTTCTCAGGATCCATGGTCTGAGCCAGGGCAAAGCCTGAGAACTGCAGTAGGTAACCTTCGGCATCCTTTATCTGACCATGAGCATGTGGCTCTAAGTAAATAAGACCATTTCCATCGAGAGACTTCTCCAGACAAGGCACCCTGTGTGAGGTGCCGTGGGGGGGCCTTTCCACACTGCTGACCTGTGCGATGCTCTCTCCAGCTTCTCCTGGAGCTGCTTTTTAACTTGTCGACCTTTTCCACTCTTAGTGTTCTTTCCCAGTAAGAAATTTACAATAATGCATACATGAGGCTCGTAACTCCAGAAGCCATCCATAGAAAAACACCTTGACCTGCCGTGAATAACAGACCAGGGAGAATCTCAGTTTCAGAAGCTTATTGTTTTCAGTCACATTAATTAATAAGAGATCCAGAGCTGAAGGCACTGTATTATTTATTTTTAAAATTCTATTTATTTATTTTTGTCTTTTTGAGACAGTCTCACTGTGCAGTTTAAGCTGGCCTTAAGCTCACTTTGTAGCCCAGGCTGGTCTTGAACTCGCAGTGAACTGCCTCAGCCTCCCTAGTGCTGAGATTACAGGAGTGCGCTATCATGCCCGGCTAAGGCACTGTATTATTATAGTGCCGGACTGTCCCTGTCTAAATAGGTTGTTGCATTATTTATCAGTCGGGATACAGGTTTTGTAGCTCAGTGTAGAGCACTTGCTCTGTGTATACAAACTCCAGGTCTGATCCTCTGCTGTGGGGGAAACCCCATGGTAACATAACATTAACTCTTTTTTTTCTCATTTACTTGCTGTCTTACAAAGAAATGAGTAACATTAAAAGTAACTGCATAGCCCGTTTTTCATGTTGTATTTCATTCAATAAAAACAACCTGAGTTGCTTTTCTCCTCCACTGATGCCCTCTGTGTTTACTCCACAACCCAGTCAATGTGGTGACCTAAAGCCTGTGACCTTCAGTCCATTCCCTCTGGCATGTCCCTGCCAGGCCTCAGTACTTTCTCTGTGGGGAGAAATCAAGATAGGGAAAACAATTACCATCTTATAGCTAAGAAAACAGAAAAAGACTTTCATTTCTATGCTGTCGTCATATAGCTGGCTTCAGAAACCAAAGCCATTGGGTTACCATCGAGACCCTTTCCTCACAGATGCTCATGTTGTTGAGATCTAAATAATAACGAATGGAAGACACTGGTCAAAACCTACCAAATCTGCCAAACGTTTTATTCTTTTGCCTTTTAAGTTCCAAACCTCAGTTTTAGTTGTAAGACCCCTTTTCATGCAGTTCAGTAGCAACTTTGTTGTCACTCAGAGAACACTGGGTTCCCTTTCCTGTCTTCCAGGTCTCATCGATGACAACGAGAGCCCAGAAGCAGCTGCGCTTCGGGAGCTGGAGGAAGAAACTGGCTATAAAGGTGACGTTGCCGAATGTTCCCCAGGTTTGTGCATTTTCCAAGTAGGCTCTCGCACAGTGTTTGGACATTAACCGAGCAATACATTCTTCTAGGCACGAAGGGACTGATTATGGGAGCGCTCCTCCCTGCTCTGAATTCAGATGGGTTCATCTCATCTAATTGTGGGCAGAGAAACCTAGGGTAGGCCTGATCACCAGCTGTAAGGAAGTGAGTCTCTTCCCACAGGAGCAAGTGGAACAAGAGACCTGAAGGTGGGAGTTACTGAACAAGGTTGCCTTCAGAGTTTCCCACAGTCTGAACTTTGGGACTTACTCACTCACATGCACAGTCTTCGCTGGAAATTTTCAGCTTGTTTTTTGCCTTTTTTTCTTAGAGCTTGTCAGTACCTCCTAACACTTCAGACTTACCAGACTTCTGACTAAGAGCTCCGAGAAGAGTTTAGATCTTACCATACCATACGCCATGCTACCACGTACACTGATCGAATATACTAGCTGAAATTTCCCCCATCATTTCTGTGTTAACTGAATCCTGAGCCCTATGTCATCTTCCTAAGCTATTTAAGTACTGAGATAAGTTACAGAGGGGAAACCGGGCGTGGTGGCACACACCTGTAATCCCAGCACTCAGGAGGCTGAGGCAGGAGGATCGTTGTAAGTTCAAGATCAGCCTGAGCTACAAAATCAGCTCAAGGCCAGCCTGAGTGGCATAAAGAAACCCTGTCTCAAAAAGAAAAAACATTACAAAGGGGACTGAAGCGTCCAGCTGGTTTCTTAGGATGGATTGTTGTTTCTTTCCATAGTTGTATGTATGGACCCAGGTTTGTCAAACTGTACCACACACATCGTGACAGTGACAATCAATGGCGATGATGCAGAAAATGTAAGACCTAAGCCAAAGCCAGGTAAGTGTGTTTTGGCTTATTGAGAGAGATTGAGTTGCATTAAATATTTTTATAAGTTATACACTTCAGTATTCTTTGTATGAAATTTGTTCCACTTAGTAATTGGAGCCTCAGGCCTAAGGTTGAATGCCTTTTTCAGTTCTGTGTTGTCTCTCCCACTCCTTAGGGGATATTTATATGTGTACTAGAGTAAATCATGTATGAGTGGTAATTCTTTCTCACCCTCTTTAGTGGTTACCATGTTTCAGGATTCTATTACAGCCACTTTTAAATGCTTAATTTTAAAACTATAAATACCCACATGACACATGGTAGAACACTTTGGCGGTTCCTTAAAAAGTTAAATACAGAACTACTTCATGATCCAGCATTTGCACTTGCACTGCTAGTCATACGCCCAGAGGAGCTGAGGGCAGACTCAGACACTTGTATACCACCTTGCTGACTTCACTCAGAGCAGCCCCAGTGGAGACAGCTAAAAGGCCCATCTGCAGATGAATGGGTAAACCAGATGTGCTGCATAGGTGAGCACACGCGGATGGCGTATACTGAGCTGTAAGAGTGAACATGGATGCTGCAACACGAATGAACCTTGAAAAAATTTTACCGAGTGAAATTTTGTCACGGAAGAGCAAGCAGTGTGTGATTCTACTGATATGAAATATGCAGAATAGGCAAATTCATAGATAAAACGCAGAACAGAGGTTTCCAGGATGAGAAGTTGCTGTTCAGTGGCCCCAAGTTTCCGTTGGGGACGATGAAACATGAGATTTGTGGCACTACAGCATCTTGGTGGCAGTACAGATACGTGGTGAACGTACAGCATTGAGTGTTAATGTCACTGAACTGTAACAGGTATCTACATGAAAAAGAAATACACACATATGCACAGACATCACAGAATATGCTTTGAATTTAGAGAAAAGTAACTGTAGTGCTGGGATTTGTTCTCCTATGAGATAAATTGCTAGAGACTTAAGTCTGCTGGATTCTTAGTGGTTTTGCTGTCTTACTGTACAGTCTTCCCAAGTTTGTCGCCCCTTGCTGACCGTGTTCTCCTGCTGTTTGTTTTCAGGGGATGGAGGTATGTTATCAGCTCCCGGTGGCTCCCGTGTGTGTGGCGTAGTGTAGTGGTAATGGAACAGACCCGGGGGCTGTGTGGCAGGCTCTTGTTCTTCAGCCCTGTTTTCACTTGCACTTTGTTTGTTTAGAATTTGTGGAAGTAATTTCTTTACCAAAGAATGACCTGCTGAATAGACTTGATGGTAAGCACTCTTTTATTACTCCATCTTCACTCTATTCCTCGTTCCCATCCCCAGAAATTGAGGAATTAAATTCCTTTTCTTTGTCTCATCAATGTGAAGTACCGAAAACTGTTGTAAAACTGATGTTGATAATGCTAAGTGGCATACAGTGCAAAGATATGAGCAGAACATTCTGTCATGTAAAATCTTTGTAGGAGCTATTTTTCTCCTATCGAATGGTCAGTTATTATCCTGCTGATTAGCTAAAACGATTCTATTGTTAAAATTTTTAATCCATAGCAATGCAAAGGTAAAAGTAGATATATCTTACGTTTTCTTCAACTCTTCTGTTACATATGTTGGATAGTTCGTTAGAGAATGTGTAAGTTTAGGAGGATTTAAAAGTGCTCTTTCACTAAGTATTTGAAACAGTTAACTGTATACTAAGTATGATAAGCTGATACACTGAATCAAACCAGCTGTGTGACCCTTAGGACCACTGGACATGTAGTTGGACTGTGTAACTCTTGGCCAGCCCATCTGCGAGAGTCCCACTGGTGGAGAGATGTTCTCTGGTACAGCTGTATGAGAAGACACTTTAATAAAGACTCACTCTTCCAGGGGTGCCTATATGCTGACTGGACAGATCCCCATTGCTCATTTATGAAGAAGCAGAGCCTGTTCTTAATGTGAATGTTTTACTGATAGCTAAATTTTTGTTTCTAAATTATTGCTTCTTAAATTAACTCGAAGCAGTGCTTGATCTGAAACTTTGAAAGCAGTTCTTAAAGAGACATAGTAATTTTTTGGGCATTTATTGAGAAATCTGAGAATAACACTTTAATTCGGGCTGGGGATTTAGCTCAGTGGCATAAGCGCCTGCCTGGCAAACGTGAGGTTGAGTTCAATCCCCAGTACCAAAAAAAAAAGTTTAACTCAGAATCTGGCGGGTCTCACTGGGTCCACTGGGACTGAGGTTCAGCTGACCATTATTATGACTTTGAGCAGGTCTTAGCTTAAGCTTTAAAAAAATAAGTATGGATTAATGGCCCCTACTCATGGGGGTGAGCAAAATTGAGTGGGATTGGTCATGTAGATAGCACTTGGTACCCAAGTCCTTGAGTGTTACCACAAAGTTGTGATTTTTATGTAAGCAGAATACCCTTTTTCTCATCTTTCCTTTTCTCTCCCACCATAACTTCCCTTCTGACCTTAGAAGACAGGGATAAAGCAGGGTAGGATAAAACAGTTTGCCTACTTTCAGTGGAGTCAAGATATAGCAATAAAATAGTTTACTCAAGAAGAAACATTTGAGGCTGTAAGCAAAGTACTTGAAGATCATGCAACACAAGAGTATTGTGTTCGGCTCCTGCCAGTCCCCAGCCGTACATGGCACAAGGATGTTGAGCCCTGCCTTCAAGGGTCACACTGAATTTGTTTTCAAGTAAGTGGCCAGGAAAACAACACGAAGTGACAGCCTCCATCACAGTGACACAGCACTGTAAGGTCTGCGGTGATTCCAAGGTCACATTCTTTGTAGTGTTCTTCCAGTATATCCAATGAGCCCTAATACTAACGTAGTTCACCTGCAAGGGGGAAATTGTACCCTCTGGTAGTAGAAGAGACGCTCGAGTCTGTAAAGGACACTTTGTAATCATCACCCTAGTCTGTGAAGTTAGCCTGCCTCAACTGTGAAAGAGCTAGGAACGTACAGCTGTGCTGTCTGTGTAACGGCATCATCCCTTCTGCTCTTACTTCGTGCTGGAAGTGTGATCCTGCTTTTCTAACCTTTATTCCTTTTTTTTGAGACAAGGTCTTGCTGGCCTTGAATTTGGGGTGATCCTCCTGCCTCAGCCTCTCACGTGCTGTTTATCCTTCCTTTGGGATCTCTGACGGCATCACCCAAGTGCATTCCTAAGCTGTGTTGTTTGCTTCCCGTAGCTCTGGTAGCCGAAGAACATCTTACAGTGGATGCCAGAGTCTACTCCTATGCCCTGGCACTGAAACATGCAACCACGAAGCCATTTGAAGTTCCCTTTCTGAAATTTTAAGGCCAGAGAGAACGTTGGCCATGTTTTTGTAAATGAGACTACCAGGCCTTCATCATCTAAAGACTGTATTCAACTCAATGTAGATTTGAAATTAGCTTTTGATAAAATAAAAGCAGCACCGAATGCATGTGGTGGTGGTGTGGAATTGTAACTGCAGGTGGGCTGTAACTTTCACTCCACATAATATTTATGATAAATGCAGGTGTTTTTACTCTAGTGTTTTTTAACCTCAACCTCTGCCATTTTTAACCTGAGATGATGGGAGAACATCTATGGGAAAGCAGACTTGAGTTCCAAATTAGGTATTCTTCCCCCCAGTCCCACCCTAAAAGGGAAAATTCTGTAGCTGGGTTCTGCATTAATGTTTCTAGTTTTGAAAAAGGAGACTTAGACAGGGACTTCCTTGGCCTCCCTGGTTATTTGCTGTATGGATTTCTCAGCATGAGCTTCCCCAAGGAACATCTATTTCCCTGAGCTCCCGGGGACCCAGCTTGTGAGTTCCGTATTCCACTCCTTTAAAATCAGGAATAGACAAGGCACAGACCCTAGCAGACAGCTCTTTCTACATACAGCATTTCTTCCAAAGCCATTCCCAGTGGGATGACCTTAAAATCTTAGAGGAAGAGTGAGTTCCACAAAACTCTGCCTGGCTTGTCTGCTTTTCCTTCCTAAGATAGCAACGAGAGTGGACACCTACTCCTGAAACTAATGCCATGATCATCCAAGAGCATCAAAGGCAGTGCCTTGGAGAGTCAGTCCGTTTGAGATTGGCAGTTCGGATGTTTTCACTGATTTGCACTTGTGTTCACTTGCCAGCACTTAAACATTCAAAGTTCCCTGCAGACAGCTATGTTTCCACCTTCAACACTGGTTTCACACTCTGTGGTGACCATCCTCGGGGCCCTGTGGAGATGTGTACTAGTTGGCCACTGCCTCTATTCACTCTGCTTTTATCTGTTGTCCCATTTTGGCCTTGTGATGCTAAGTAAGACCTACTTCTGAGGCCACTGTCTCCCCTCCTTTCCAAGTATCAGTAACATAAATGAGTGCTCTTGAATTAGCCAGTTTTTCAATTTCTAATTAAACAATGAAGAGTAATTACATTTGATTTTCTCAGTAGGCTTCTCAGGATGGGCTCTGTAAGTACACAAACCTTATGCAAATAAACTTAGAGAACATTTAATATCAGATTCCTTTATTTTTCCAACACAACTGCAACAGTCTTACTAAATAAAAGTTTATTGTCTACTGTTTACACTTGTTGCTGCTATAGTACAACAAAAGACACAAATTCCTAGCATGAATTACTCCTTGTTCACCCCCACTGAACTACAGACATTGCTTGAGAATTCAATCTTTGCATTAAGGATTAAAAAAAAAAAAAAAAAAAAAAAAAAAAAAAAAAACTGGGGCTAGTGTCTTGAAAGAGTATTCTCCAGTGAGTGGTTGGAATTACAAGGCATAGCCAATACGGTCAGACAGCACAGGTGATGCTGTCCCTGGGAAGAGGGAGGGACGGAACAACAGGGAGCGGAGTCAGAAGCAGTCATGTCTAGCAACAGAATTAACTGAAGTGCTTGGTTTTGTCCATGTGGGCCAAGTGGCTGCTTTGGGAAAAGAGAAATAAAGAGTGGACAGGGATGGAGAGGGAGGGAAGGGAACATGGATACTATGAGTTAAAAAAGTATAAAAAGTAATTATCTAAAATATAGATTAGATACAAATGTTCCAGAACTCATCACATAAGCTCAAAAATACTGGAAAGTGGCAATTTGAACTACATTTATTTTTAAACAAGGGGAGGAGATTCGGTGTTCTGGATGTTGTGTGCGAAGCTAACCCATGTCACCGTCTGACTGTCGTGGTTTCACACAGCAGGCAGAGACCGGTTCCCAGCAGTGCAGGAGCCTAGATGCACGTCTCACACGAGTAATGTAAACTGTGGTTTTAAGGCAGCTGGTACAATGCTGCACACAGGCTTAGCTCGGCGCCCATTCCACAGATGGGACAGTTAGCACTTGAAAACAAACTGTGAGGAACAAAAGGGGAACCCGCATTTTTGACAAAAAACAATGTGTCAAAATATTTTCCCTTTCACACCATAAGAAGTACCTGAACATTTAGAAAAACAAAGCACCCATCCCTCCGACTTCAGCTTGTTCCTTCACAAATATTTCAAAATACTGATAAATAATGGTGACTGCAAGCAGAATTCCAGTGCCAGATCCAATGGCGCCTAGGAAGTCAGCCAACACGGACAGGGCGCCGATGCACAGGCCGCCGAAGGCAGCTGCGGTGGGGATGTACCTGGAAGACAAGGAGCAACGGTGAGGCGTGCCAGTGCCACTGTCCGCCAGGTCCTCTGAGACAGCCAGCAGGCGGACTGCTGCCGGGCTGCACACACCAGAGGACAGCACATTTAAAACAAAGGAAGGCCTCCCGGAATTCTTAGGGCAGACCAGAGCACTTAAATCAGACCAAGACTTGGGTAGTAAAATACCTCACACTTCCAAACGGCCCTTAGTTTCCTCTTGTGCAGTGACAAGTGAGTTTAAAAATGCTGTGTGATACGTCCATGTACTGCTGATGCCCTGCTTCTACTGCAATTCAGCCTCAGCTGCACATTAAAGTCACCTAGAAAACCTGGAGACGGATTTGTTTTTATACCGAAAGGAGGAAGTTGGGGGAGATAGGGTGAAATAAGAATGGCAGACTGACAGCTCTCCAAGCTGGGGCCCGTCACGCTGTCCTGTGCCTGTGTGATCCCAGTGTGTCACAGCTTCCCAGGAGGATGAGTGTCTTCAGCAGTGCGGCACGGCTGAAGAGCCGTGTGCAGAATAACCAGTGTGGCTCCTGTCTCACTTCAGGTACAAAAATACTCCACATGGGCCACAGAGCTATGCGGGACTGCTGGAGCTCCCCAGCGGAATGGATGGGAGCTGGTCTCCGTGACCTTGGTTCTGGCAGAGCTGTCTCAGCTCTTACACCAGTGGCAGCACCAAGGAGCCAAAGAAAGAAAATTGGCTTTATCAAAATTAAAAACTTGTGAGGACACTGTCAAGAAAGTAAAAAGACAAACCCCAAAATGGTAAAAAACACTTGCAAATTGTATCTGATGAAACTACTGTTAGGAAATAACCCAACTCTTAACTTACTAACAAAAGACAACCCAGTTAAATAGGAGCCACAGGTCTGAATAGATTATTTCTCCAAAGATGACAAACAGGCAATGGGCACATGAAAAGATGCTCCAAACCATGAATCATAGGGGAAGCACAACCACAACGAGCCGTTTCACATTCACTAGAGCCTGAAGTCAGAAAGCGAGAACCGGTGACGGCAAGGACAGCACTCAAAAACAGCTCGGCAGCTCCTCAACATGTTAACAGACTGACTGCATGACCCAACATCTCTACCCATAGAGAAATGAAAACACACATCCACACAAGTAATGAAAAACATGGAAACACTGCATGTGTTTAATACACCTTTCAGACTCAACTATCTGCACAGATACCTTCCTACACTACTACCTGCATTACCCTTTTATTGAGCTATTGCTAGTCTGCGATACAGAGGTACTATAAGTTATTTCACAAATAGCTCATTGGGTTTATCTAAAGAAAAAGCTGAGTTTACGGCATATCCCTGTCTGCCTCCCATGAGGCTGAGGCAGGAGGACTGCGGCTGAGGCCAGCCTGGACTGCCCTCCCCAAAACAGACAGATTATCAGCATGTGCACTGCAATGCTGTTCCTGAATGCTCCTGAATGCAGCAATGTGAAGTAATCTGCCGAGGGCAAGACCACTGAGCTCACCTGTTGAGCTCATGAACCATGGAGGTGTCTCTGTGACCCCGCATCACCATCTGCTGCTCTTTCAGCTGTTTGGCTACCTGCCAAGAGAAAAACAACTTTGAACATCACACTCACCTTTCACCGTAAAGGAGCCGTGCTAAGTGTGTCCCGCACACTCCACTCATCTCCTTCGCACTAACCCTGAGGCTTCAGTGCCTCGAGCTGCGCATGTTAGATACAGGGCAAGCCTGCTTTTCAACCTCTTTCATTACGGGTGGTAATAAAACTTCCCCTATGGAGAAACCTAACACTGAGGAAAGACTTTGTTGCAGGGGGCTGAGTTTGGTCAGATTTTTAACCTTCCCAGAACCTATTTCTAGCTTGCTGCAGGTGATGCCACCTTATTTAAGAATGTACTACACTAAACAGAAGCTTACATTACAAAGGTAGGAATATGTTAATTATGTTGGCACCTAAAAATTACAAACCTTTAAAATTATTTTCAAGTAAATCAAATACTTACATCTTTGGCTGAAGAACCAGACACCTCTATCCATGTCTTAGAAAAAAACGCACAAGACCCCAACATGAAGATGATATACACAACGACATGGACCGGATCCTCAAATATCGCACCCATGGACTCAGGAGGAGAAAGGTAGTAACACAGGCCTCCGACAGGGTAGGAGCGCGCGGGCCCTCCGCCGCTGACATCCTGGAGGACAAGGAGCAAAGGGACAACCTGTCAGGGACCACTGCCTCGCACGTGCCGCACTCACCACTGAGCTACTCCCAACACCCCAGAGCTCGGGGTGGTTTTTCATTTTCCTAAGATGAGGTCTTTGCTTGCACTGATTCAAACTCCTAGGCTCAAGTGAGCCTCCTGCCTCAGCCTTTGAAGTAACTGAGATACAGATGCTCCTGCCAAAAAATCATTTTTGAATTCACATTTCTCAAAAATTATGACAGTGCTTTAAATTTAAAGCACCTACAGCCAAGCAGTCCATAAAGGAGCTAATATCTGAATCTACTACCTTCACTCCTTTAAAATTATACAATATTATATGTAAGATTTTGAACATCCTAACAGACGAGTGCTTTTTTAAAAAGGCATAAACTTAAGAGAAGGTAGAAATACGATCACATTTTTAGAATGTTAAGTTTTCTAAACTATGTAAGGGCCTCCAACACATTAAGGTAGTCTTACACAATTTTAGTATTCAAAAGTATTAGGAATACAGTCAAAACACTGATAAAAAAAAAACAGCTCACTGCCTAACCTTTACATGGTTTGTACATTATTATAAGAATTAGTCTTAGTTGTGAAATAAGAAAATGTTCAAATGGAAAGGGGAACTCGGGGGGGGGGTGGGGGCAGGAAGGAAGGGAAAAGAATAGGAGAAATGTAAACAGCTTCTGTGTATAAGAAGGGGAAGAGTCCAAAGGCAGAGGATAGGGAAGTGGGGAAAAAGGAATTGAGGTACAGTTACAAGGACAGATTCCATGTGAATGTGATCATATCTAAAATACACCAATAAAATTAAACTCCTCCCTCGAAAAAAGTCTTCATAAATATTTATAGTAGTGAGATTTTTATAGTAAACAATATTTGCTCACACTAAATAAAGTGATACACCAGAGACAGAAAAACAGTTTTGGGTTACAATTATTAACACTTCCAGCTCCTGAACTTAACCTTTTCAAATGATTTCTTACTGTCTCTAGAATCATTAATCCAAGAATGAAAGCACTGTTTACAAATGTATTCAATTTCCCAGTAATTCTTTCATTAAGAGAATTTTAGTCACGATCACAACACAATCTATAGAGAACCAATTATGCACTGCACTCCTGCTAGGAAATTATAATCACAGTGATGACTACTGCTGGACTGAGTGAGAGGCAGCATCTTTCTTACTCTGCAAAAGAATAAATGGGATTAACCTTTGTAAAATTCTGTAACTCACAGAGAGAAAAGCACTACTTTATCAAATGACAGCATTTTAAACCAATCAAAATTCACATGTCAGGCACAACACGACTGGATGGTTTTAGCAGTCACTATAATCTATAAAGACAACTCGGAATTCACTAGATTCTATTTCTAGCTCTCCAGGCTTGTTAATTACATGCATTACCGCCACCCAGTTAATCACAAGCTCGTTTATTACCATTCCAGACATTAAAAATGGAGCAAAAATAGGGAAAGATGATTTTCTGTTATCCTGTATTTCATTAGCATATAGCTGGATTTTTTTTTCCCCCTTAGGGTTTTTTTTTTTCCAGACAATAGAGGAATAAGATTAAAAATAGGAAATCACTGTTATGAAAGCAACTCATATAACCCTAAAAGGTCATTCAAATGATACAAAAAAGTCCCTAGAAAGTAAAACAGTAAAACATAATTAAGTCATAGTTTTACAACACTTTGTAATTCTTCCAGATACTCTGCTATGAACCTGAAAACAAAATAGCAACTGTCTCAATGTCTTTCTGAGTTAAAAAATATAACCATAAATTATAATAAATCTCAAATACTTAAATAAAATACTCACGGCCCACTGTCCTAGCAAGTTTACTAAAAAGTTGCCACTAAATCGAACAGACAGCATCTGGGAAATAACATACAGGTTTGAAACGAGGGCAGACTGAAGAATAATGGGAATATTCGAGGTGTAGAAGAGCTTGATGGGATAGCTACTGTACTGTCCTCGATACCTGGCCGACTTAATAGGCAAGTCAACACGAAATCCCTAAAAAACAAAACCAACAGTAAGTAGGGCGGACCACAAGGGAAGCACACAGACCACTGAGGAAGACAAGTAACAGCACAGAACACAAAGACAATGCTGACAGAGGTTTCCCTTCGTGTCTCCCAGGATTTTGCACCTTCAGATTACAGGGTAAAGAATGAAATGATTTGCTTGACTAATCTTGAACAGACTTGTGAGATACTAACATTTCAAATGATATTTTCCACTTTAAGAGCAAAATAACCACATGCCCATTAATTAAGTGCAAAGATTATACTTACCTGAAAATATATAACAACCGCAAACACAAAAACGGTGGCAATAAGGTTCATGAGATTGGGTAAATTCTGGCGATAAAAAGCTTCTCTTAAGGCTCGGACTTTGTCTGTCCTGGTAGCCAACAAATGAAACAGAGCTATCACAGCACCCTCAAACTCAGTACCTGAAAAATCAAGACAGCAATGAGCTGTAGATACCTGTTCCAAATAACCTCAAAGGTAAAGCAAATAATCTGAAACCCAAGTCAAAAGAATTCACCAGTGTTTGCTTTACGATACAGCCAAGTGGCAGGTTCTAAAAATACTGGGATCACTGAGGCAACTCTATCTCTTCAGCATAAATCTCAAGTTTTCTCAAGAGACTGCTGAAAACATCCAAAATAGACTCTACCACAGCAAATATTTTATTCATAAAGATTTGCCTCTCCTCTATATTTTATGAAAAGGAGAATATTTGGGGGGAAAATTAAAAAAAAACCAACAGCAAAGCATAATAAAAATGTCACAGAGGATATATGTTACTATCAAGCTTGTTTTTAAGTTCACTGTACCAAGCACATTAACAAACCATCTATTTTCTTATGGCTGGGACCAGAGTTTGGATGTTAATCTGCTGAAACAGGTAACAATTGATAAGTGAAGGGGAAAAGGGAAAGACAGAATGAAATCTTTTCGAAACTTAGATGCTATTACAAAGTCAAATAGAGGAGAAGCAAAAGTATGAATGCTCCCTGAGAATACAGTGAACAACAGTCTCTGCAGTTAGGAAATCCTACCCTACTACCTGTGTATCCTCTGGGAACGTTACAGTTAAGATAAATAACTTCTGCAGCAATGGCTTAAGCAAGGGCAACAAACAAAATTCTTGAGATCTGTTTCCAACCAATGAAATTTTAAATGAGCAGAGGCTGACACTTAGATATCATTCTTTTTTAAAGCAGTAATCTGCTCCACACATCTCTGCTCCCCAAGTTTTGAACAGCCAGCATCTGCTGTCCTGCGCAGTAGCAAACAGGCTGCAGGCAGGGGCTGCTTGCTGCGCTCCAGACTCATCCCAGCACATATCAGCCAAACTCGTGCAGGTGCAGTCACTATGCAATGTACCTCTGCCAGTGTTAATGGTAGTGGGACTAAAGGCCTTCCAGACAATGGTTTCACAGATGTTGGTGGCAATAAAGAGGGAAATCCCAGACCCCAAGCCGTAACCCTTCTGTAGCAGCTCATCTAACAGCAGCACAATCAAACCAGCAACAAACAACTGTGGGGAAAGAAATGCACGTAAGCAGAAGCAAGAATAAACGCGAGAAAAAGGAGAGAGGAACACCATGGGTTATTTCAAAGCATGGGCATTTTCAGTATCAAACCTAGTTACTGTCATTTCACTGTTAAGCCTGTTGGGAGCTTTTGGAGCTGCTCTGGTTCATTCAGAAGCCAGTTCTGAAAATCAGGATTGGAAATACTGTCACATTTTAAAGCAGACATTTCTATGTGCAAAGTATACTTATACCATGTGAATCGCTTCCCTTACAATGGTTAAATAGGGCCTGTTTGAACAAGCACACTAAAACAAAAATGGGTGCAGATGTAGACTGTGACAGTGAGAAAATGAAAGCATGGCAAACACCTCAAAGTAACCCGAAGGCTGAATGGATTCTAGAATAACAAGGTGCAACTGGAGGGTGTCATCAAAGGGGAAGCATGAGGACTACGTTCCTCCTTTACGAAAAGAACTACAAACCGCGAATGGTGGTGCATGCCTTTAACCCAGCACTCAGGAGCTGAGGCAGGAGGGTGGCTGCGAGTTCCAGGCCAGCCTGGGCTGCAGGCCAAGGGCAGCCTGAACTGCACAGTGAAACCCTGTCCCCCCAAAAATTAAATAAAAACACCTATATATGTCACATTTTATATATTATATATATATATATATATATATATATATATATATACATATACACACACACACACATGTAACATACACAGGAAATAAATTATAGCACAAATTATGAACATAGGTATAATCATTGTAAAAATACATTCTAATAGTGACAAAGAATGACTAAATCTGAAAAAAGCTAAAGAGTCCACCAGGCTCTTAAGCTCATTTGTTTTTTTTAACAAATGAAGTATACTATAATTTTGTGATATTGAGCATCCTCTTGCAGAAGACATTTTTGTAAAAGCATGCACTGATTAATAAACTACAGCCTTGCAAATGACTTCCTCAGTTGTGTGATTCCTTCCTAACTTAAAGCAGTCTGACTGAGGGGAAGAAAATGTGCTTCTATGCCCCTGATCTCCTAGCTCCCTACCTCAAAGGCACCTCCTACAGAAGTGAGGAAATCACATCCCTTCCTTCCGCCCCTCACAGCTACTCACTCACTGTACCCTGCACTGTCAGAAGGGAGGTCAAACCAGTGTCCTATCTGCTTACCTTAGGCAATGCTGCTCTTTTCTCCTTCACTGCCATTTCAGTGGTTATTTAAAACCTAACTTGTCTACTTACAGTCTTTAGTAAGAGTTTCAGTGAACTGGAAAAAAGGCACAGTTCGCAGTATGTCTATGAGAGAACATGCTGACCAAGTCTGACATCTTACCAAGATGAGACAGAGACCAGCACTACTATGTTTTACTGTGCATGTAAGAGGTACTGTGTGAGTTCTCCTGGTCACACATACAGCAACCCCTATCTATGCAGGGAGTGCTGGCTATTGGCCACCAAAATGCACCATCACAGACTCTGATAAACGACCTGACCACATCACACAGCACCTGAAACAACTGTCTGTCTCCAGACCCTGTTCAGAATGGTATCATTCAAACTGCAGAGTGGCTCATTTAAATCCTGCAGAAATTTGATTCATGAAAGAAAGGAATGCGAAGAGATCTAAAGAAGAAACGGCTTCTACAGTTAAAAGAGTAGGACAAAAGATGGCCAAAACTGTACATACTAGTGGAAAGGGATGAGAGGCCAGCAGTGATGGCACAGTGAGGACGGAAGAGGCACCACGTGGACGTGGGGAGTGTGCAACACTGTGAACTCTGGGCCGGGTCAGAATCGCACAAGACTTTTCAGTCGTGTGGGGCATGCTCACGCTGCTCAAGTTGGCAAAACACACTTACCTGCGGCATGTGCCATGCACACACCATTTCTCTATTTAAAATTTCAATCAATACCCACTCTTTAGATCTTACCCACGGCTGGAAAAACACTGACCACGGAATAACACAGCAAATAAGGTCAGAAGTGCTTTCCACAATGGCACACAAAACAGTTGTCAAAACCTGTATTTCTAGGGGAAACACGCTGGCCCCATGATAGCGTTTCACTGCAAACACATATTTTCAATTTGAAAGATACAAATGGGCCACTGCCTGTTTAGGACTGACTACAACATTTCTACAGGCATTAACACTAGAATAATTGTGGCATATGTCTGTAATCCAGCACTTGGGAGGCGGAGGTAGAAGGATCATTACAAATCCAAGGCCAGCTTGAGCAATTTAAACGAGGGTCTCAGGAAAAAAAAAAAACAAAACAACTCTGGGAGCATAGCTCAGTAAGTGGTAGAGCTACCACCATGCTGACTCCCAATAATGTAAAAAACAAGAAAACACAAAACACTCAAACCAAACACCATTACTCTGTGTACTGCTAAGAGAATACTGCCCACCTACAGCAAGGCTTTCATTGAGAAAAATTTTTATGTTCTGCTTTTTAAAAAAGGAATTCTACACTTAAGATACTTCAAGATGTAGATATTTATCATCCAGCTGTCTGTGACTTTTGGGTGTGGGGGAGGGGAGGCTGTTTGCCTGCTTGTTTGAATCAGGGTCCCACCATCTATTTCAGGCTGGCCTTGAACTTACGATGTAGCTCAGGCTGGCCTCAGCCCCCAAGCGCTAGGATTAGCACCACCCTGGGCTTCTCTGACTTTCTATACACATGATTTTCATTTAATAACACATCACCATAAGTTTCTGAAAGACACTTCAGTCAGCAATCAAGCTTGAAGACTTGTTACATCAACAGTGCATATAACAACCAACGTGGTGCCAACTTGAGCAAGGACAGCTGAGATGACATCTCACAGCAACAACTTTTATGACTGCCAGGTGGCTGGTGGCACTGTTAAGGTACTACTAAGGACAGAAAAACATTCTGATTGAGAGACATCAAAATGTGGGGGTAAAGGCTATCTTAGAATTGATGAAATAAGGGTGACCCATAATTATTTATATAGCACAACTATGAACTTATAGCACAACCATGAGATCAGAATCTAAAATTTTTACATTAACATAATTTGGACACATCATTCAGTAATCAAAATATTATAAATTCATAAGTAAGAAAATAAATATCAATACCTAAAGAACGAGTAAGGAAAAAGGCTCAATCTGTTTCATTACCTGCATGGGAAAATCAGGGTCTCTTACCTGAAAAATGATCAGGAGACAGATCCCGGCACCCATTTCCGCAGGGTCCCCGTACATCCCCGTCATGACATACACAATGGCTTGCCCAATGGTGATTATCATGCCAAAGACTAACAGAAATTGGAGGAAAAGGAGCACATGCTTACAACCGGCGACAAAGAAAAAGACCGAAGGAAACATCCTTCCCACAAACATTCTCCAATTTGGATAAAGCTCTTTAACTGTACTAGTGCTCACGTTTCTGGGCTCCGTTGAACAGAGCTCTGTCTTTGGGTGTATCCCCAACTTCAATGATTTTGGCACCAGCCAGCAGCTGCATAATCAATCCAGACGTTACAATTGGGGAGATGCCCAGTTCCATTAGCGTTCCTGGAAAGGAAGGGCAAGAAGTAAACAACTTCTATTGTGCACAATACAGATTAATTTAGAAGCGTCTGTCCTAAATGACCTTTACTGCACTTTAAATGTGAAAGAAATTTTCACTCCTTAAACATTAACTGCCAAACAAGCTCTCATTAACACCATCTTGCAAAACTGCACTGAGTAAAAAGTAGGAACACTATAAAACTGTAAATTTCTCTCAATTTGAACTTTCACTGTGAAGAAAATTCCTTTTTAAAAGAAACCACTGAGCTGGGCACAGCAGCACGTGCCTGTAATCCTAGCTACTGAAGAGGCTGAGGCAGGAGGATAGTAAATTAAACTAGGCAGCAAGGACCCAGCTGGGGTGACGTGAGCAGAGTTCGGGGGAAGAGTATGCTCAGCCTGGGTTCCGCCTCCAGCACCAGGAAACACAATTTTCAAAACTTAAAACTATTTACTAACCGGCTGGGCGTTCAGCTAAGTGGTAAAGTCGTTGCCTAACGTGTATAAGGCTCTGAGTTTGACCCTCAATACCAGAAAAAGCAAGGAAAGACAAAAAGAAAAAGAACTCTTCCAAGATTTCTGTGTGAACCATTATTGTAAAACTTTCTCTGAAGATTTTTTGTAAAATAAAATTATGTAGTAAGCCAAAAAACTTCACACCAAATAAAAGATAATTCTTCTATTGCAAAATTTTAGGTTACATGGGAAGTTACCTAAAACAATGTAGAATATTTAATGACATGAACAGTGTTCATAACATAGTAGGCAGCAAAAATATTTTAGAAAACAGTATAAACTGTTTGACTCAACTTACCACCCAAGTAGTAAAGAAGTTTCCTGCTACTTTAATCTGGTCACTAAGGTGTAATAAACACCTTAGTTGTTTTACCTGGTGGTATTACAGATGGTTTCCTCCTGTATTTGTAGGCTTTTTCTCATAGGAAGTCCACATTACATTTACAGTGAAAAATAAAAACAAATCAGCCATAAATACAGGAACAGTCAGCAAGGTCAAGAGTGTGTCTCCCTTTTTGGTTTTTATGAGACAGGTTTGCCACACATTCCAGGCGGGCTTTGAACTCACTGTGACCTTCTGCCTCACAGCTCCAACTGCTGGGACTACAGTATGCTCCACCATGCCCCGCTAAGAGTATGTTTTCACAGGTTCTCTGCCATTCCCTATATCCTGGTTTTTATAAATGCTGAGAAGGGGCCCTTTAACAGGAGAAAATAATCTGTTTTGGGGGTAATTTTGATATTTTCTTAAATACACCAACTTAATTTGTTCTGCAGTTTTGGAAAAGAAGGCCACGTTAGTATTTGTGTAGCAAAGATGACTGCAGTCATGTTTGTCACCTGATGCAGAGTTTGCAAACAAAGACAAAATTCTGCCACACGCTTCTTTGTGAACCGAACTGTTTGTAGACACACATGTTCGTGAGCTAAGGTGCTACTGCACTTCTTCAATAATGAATAAAAATGGTTTTTACTGTTATGACCATCCAATCCAGATTTCTCTTTACGTTAACCCACCCACCCATCCAAATTTATAACTAAAATAGGTCTAGTCCAGAAACAGATCCAATCAAGCTTTAACAAAAATCAGACACAGGAAACAAGGCACTTTGGTCAGCAGTGGAAATGAGGCTCAGGGGACCTTGGCAAGTGACAGGCCACCACAGTCCATCAAATCCAGGGTTGTCCTCATAACTGACACCAAGATGCATGCTCAACATACAGAAACGTAAAGGACAACCAACTAAAGTACTAGAAGGAAATACAGAAATAAGGATGAGCATGAGTGTAATCTGGAAATGAAAAAGGCTCTAATGATACAGAAGCCCACGATGGATAGGGTCGCAGAAAGTTTTCATCAGACTTCAAGTATGTTCCTTCAAGGGCTTCCCAGCCTTCAGGATGATTTTAGACTCGCAGACAACATCCTGTCCTGTCACTCTCCCTTCCCCAACCTTCCAGCCACACTCACCTCCTCCGTGTTCTCTTACGGCAGGCAGGGCCTCCGCCTTTGCACCTCCCTAGCTGGTCCTTGCTCCTCCCGAGCTCTGCCTCAGGGGCTTCTGCACTTTGATAGGTCTCTGCCAGTATCATCCTCCCAGAGCACCTTCCACACCTGATCTGTGAAGTCCAGATCCCCAAGTAGGAACTGGGGCTCCACGCCAAAGGGGACAGTCTTGTCTACAGCTCTACGCTCAGCACTGAGCACAATGCTTGCCCCACAGTAAAAACTCGGTAAAAATTGTGATCAAATATAGTTGAGCCTTGTAATAGAACAGGATATGGCTACTGAATAAAATATCTCATCTGAGATATTAAGTAAACAAACCAAACAGCAACACAGCATATAGTGTTTTTTAAATACATAGATTTTCTTATGTTAAGGGATATGCAAAAGAATTTGCCAACCTATCAACTTCCTGGAAGTTCCTGTTCAGAAGTGAGATTTTTGTTTTCAGCTTCATATAATCTGTGTATCAATTCTGGTGAATCTTAAAAACGAATAAATATGACTTTTATAATGCAGAAAAAAATTATAGAAAACACCTGTCAGTTATGTGAAGCATCTCCAAGAAACAGGCAATCATGATTCCTGAAACGCAGCAGCCCCTGCCCTGCCAACCTTACCTACCAGCTCCCCTTCCCAAGCACCCCTTCCACACTCCGCTGTCTCACGCCTGTGGCTGAGCTCAGGCTCTCCTAGCTCACTGCTCCAAACATGCAGCTCCACTTCAAGTGCAGCAGTCTCTAGTCTGTGAGAAACCCGAAGAGAAGATTTCTGTCTGCCATTAAAACACACACATGATGCTGGCACTACTCATATGCTGCTTTCTTCTACGCAACGGTTTTTCTCCTCCTATCCTTCCCCTCACTGGACACATCAAGAAACACCTTTCAATCCACACACCAATACCAGATTGATGTCAGTAGTATAGAAACAAAAAGAATAGCAGTACGTACCTCTGTTGGATGCCAGAATAACTCTCATCCAATAGAAAGGATCTGCAGAATCTGATGACATGATTCCAAACAGTGGTATCTAAAACATCACACAAATATTATATTAAAATGTGCTACAAAAATTAACTTTACATTTAAGTTGTAATGCAGTCATTTAATCTTTAAAATGCTTTATTTTAAAAATTTCTCATGTTCTATAGCAAGAGCAAATATATTTAAAGGGTAAAGTTCTTTTTTCTTTTTCGTTTTTATCGGTACCAGGGATCGAACTCACGACTGCCTGTTTGCAAGGCAGGCGCTTATGCCGCTGAGCTAAATCCCCAGCCCCAAGGGTAAAGTTCTTTAACAGTGGAAACCATTACTTAGTACATTTCATAAAGAAATGCTGTTACCATGGAGAACTGTTACATAACAATGAGAACACACCTACACTACTACACTAGTCATCTAAATCTACAAGTGGTTACCAGGGCAAACAGCTAGCTGTACCCAAACAAGCAATTCCTTTCCTTCCACATTGAACCTACAAAAGCCAAGGCCCATGCCTCTGAAGCAGAATGCTCTGAGCATCTTCAGAGATTCTGAGGTTCAGTGCTGCCTGATTCATGATTCCTTTAACGCTCAAATAAACCTCTGTTGTCTGTCAACTTTTTCTTTGTACAAACCTCATAAAATACAGTATAGTGTTTTGATGAAACAAACTATTCCACATCCTAGTGGAAACCTGATCGGATGGAGAAATAGAAAATTAGCATTAGGTTTCAAAAAGCACTGGGAGCTGAAAAGAAAATGCTGGGTGCCATCTAGGATGGCAAGGTGCAGTGACATCACAGAACTCCTTCCTGACCCTTACAGTGGTGAGACAGACACACAGACAATGAAGGAGCCCACCTTTCCTTCATTCGGCTGTGAACTCAGCGCCTGTGAACTCTGCTGATTATCCATGTTTAAGCTTAGGAGGCCATGAGGCCCCAGGTGACAGATCATTAGCGTAACACCAGTGAGACAAAATGAGAGGCACCTGGGGTTACAGGTGTCTGACTTGCTGGGGGCACTTAGAGAGCTCCTGTCCCTAGATTCCTGTTGCTGTTCCTGGTCCTCTGCCTAGGCTCCTAGAGTTCTTCCTAGGTTCCTCTTCCTCCTGTCTGTTCCAGCTACCATCCTACGATCTTCAATAAACACAGCTTCTCACTACATACTACACGGTGTACACTTGGCAAGTCTTTCCTCGCAGTACACAAGAACCTGGACTATTTCAGCCTACTCCGCTGTGCAGAGGCATCTCAGTTCAATAACTTTATTCTTTCCACAATTCTAGTCATGAACTGAGTTGGACCAGAAATGAATCAAATTCAACGGTTAGGTTTAACGTTGACCTTAGGGGAAAGTTTGATTTCTCATCCAGTTCAGTTTGTGACCAGAACCATGGAGAGAATTGAGTTCGTGAACCAAGGCACCAACGTATCAGCAAATTATCATGACAAGGCAAATTACAACTTCAATATCATTTACTAAACAAGCTCACAAAATATTCATTAGAGATATTATTAAAATAACCCACCAATACAAAGAGTAGAGAAGGATGCTGAGCAAGGGGAACTCCAACACATGGCTGGCAGAGATAGATTTAAGTGGAACCACCACTTGGAAAAGAGCTGGCAGTGTTTATACAGCTAAACATATGCTTAGCACACAACTGTCCACAGATAAACTTGGACACATGTTCACAGCTACTCTAGGTAAGTTGTTTTTGTTTGAGGTTGTTTTGGTACCCAAGATCAAACTCATGCCCTTGTGCTTGTAAGGCAGGTGCTTGTGATGCTGAGCTAAACCTCACAGCTATTTTGTTATGGCCAAGCATTCAACCACAGAATGAACTGCGACACATTCATACAGCAGGAAGCTACTCAAAAATAAAAATAAATTACTGATGCACTAACAATATGGATGAATGTCCAAAATACTGTGATAAAGTCAGACACTGAAAAGTAATACTGATTCCATTTATATGAAATTCTAGAAAAGATCGATCAATTATAGTGACAAGAACTAGGTCAGTGGTTGCCTGGGACTGGAGATCTAGCCCATCACAGCCAAAAAGTGAAAAGAAAAACGAATTCTAATTCACTTTTTATAAAAATTCTGTTACGTTCAAAATTGATTCTTTTAAAATTTTTGAATTACAAACATTTTTAATCTTTTCTAGACGCAAGTCTTTTGTGAGGGTCAGGTTTCCTAAGTAATTTCTCCTGGTCTGTGGCTTGCTTTGCATTTTCTAAACAACGTCTTTTCAACACTTTAATTTCAATGTAGTACTCTTTTCTTTTTTCCTAACTTTTTGGATAATAAAAATGTTCTTCATTTACTTTGGTATCAGTAAGTAGTCTGTGGGTATAAATGTTCATCAAAACTCTCTGAAATATATACATTTTAAATGGGTCACTTTCATATACATAATCACATCTCCTTAAAGCTGACTTTTTTTTTTAAGGAGGGGAGGATAATTTCCAAGATATTAACAGTGAACAGTAAAGGTTTTTTGCTTTATACTTTTGTATAATTTTTCAGACTTCTCTCTTCATGATCATCCAAAACCAATTTAAACCAAGGACCTCATCATTTCTCCTTCAGAAAGGAAACATCTGGCTTTTCTCCAGACTACACACCTAATCTGTTCTGCTAACACAATTTTTAAAACTTTCCTTAGACTTATGTATGGAAAAATGTGCCTTAAATTATCTTTAACCCTTACAACACCCTGACATATGCAGGTCACATTTTACCCTCATTTATTATACTCATCCTCTGAAAAACTGTATTTTAAAGTACTCCAACGAGTCTGTACAGCTTTGTACTTCTATGTATGAATTTTTAAAATATCATTGGACTTCACAACTTTTCCTTAACAGTGATAGGAACTGGCTCAGGGCCTTTAGCACAGGGTCTCCTGCTGGGTTGCACTCCCAGCCTGGACATTACTAATTTTTAAACAAAGTACATCAGTGAGGTTTTAAAACTTTATTTGCAGGAATAAATCAATGTATGCTTTCACAACATTATAAAAGGCAAGCTGGAAAAACATTTGCAATCTGTAAATTACTTTCATATAATAAAAACTATCCTAAACCATGCATGATGGTGCACGCCTGCAATCCTAGTACCCTGGGAAGCAGAAGCAGGAAAATCACAAGTTCAGGCCCAGCCTAAGTAACAAAAGGATTTGCCATGACCCTGTCTCAAAATAAAAACTATAAAAAGAGCTGGAGGTATGCCTCAGTGTGAAGGTCCTAGGTTCAATCTTTTTTTTTTTTTTTTTTCTTTCAATCTTTTTGAGACAGGGTCTTGCTACGCAGTTCAGGCTGGACTTGAGCTCACTTGGTAGCCCAGGCTGGTCTCAAACTTACAATGATCCTCCTGCCTCAGCCTCCCAAGTGCTACGATTACAGGTGTGTACCACCGTGCCATGTTAAATCTTCAGTATGAAAAGAACAAAAACAAAATTATACTAAGACAATAGGAACAAAAATGAAGGTTCTCAAGAAAAAATGAGCAGACCATCAACTGAAAACAAAAAAGGGAAAAACATTTTCAAACTTACTATTTAACCAAATGAAATATACAAAGATGACAGCCACTTTTACTATCAAAATAATTCAGAGCAGAGCTGGAAGAATAACTCAGTGGTAGAGTTAGAGCCGTAGAGCCTTTGCCTGGCACGTGTAAGGCCCTGGTTCAGTTTTCAGTGACACACACACACACACACAACAATAACTGAGGTTAAAAAGAATAACAGCACTTAATATATTTCAGTGTGTTTATTAACCAAAATATGCTTCTCAAAATGTAACTCATCAAGATCTTAGAACAGCACACACATTATGGTTACGTACCTGACAACATACTAAGAAAATGAAGAGAGTTATAGCAGTCCATAATACCTTCTCTCTAAACTGAATCTGCACAATAAAACACAAAGAACAATCAACCCAAACTAAGAAATACACGTGGAAAGCAAATGCCCTCCTTAAAAGCCTAACCAGTGTTCCCCATCCTGATGAGCTCTTATTATCTACTATTTAAATGTAATCTGCAACAGCTGAAATAAACAGCTGAACTTCTCAAACAGGTCTCTAGCTTTCAAAAAGAAAGGCAGTTTAAATACTGGTAGCTCTCATGTGCACTGTACTGTGGAAAAGAAAGCTGGAAAGAAGCAAAGCAAAAATGCACGTGTGTTTCGGCAAACACTGCCGTCACAGGTAGGACTCCTGAAGGTATTACGTGACCTTATAATATTATATGGCAGTCTTGGATATTTCCTAAACAGTAAAAAGTTAGTTTCTCAGGATGCTTTTAATATAACTGAAATTAACTACCTTGACCATTTCAAATCATAAAAAGAAACTCTAAATAAAATACTAAATTTAACATGTTTTACCTGTTTCTTTCTCTATCCCCAGTTCTACTAACTCAGTGACAGGATCTTGTGGTCACTTTCTTCCCAGTGGCTGCATCTACGCACACTAGGCACACACACAATCAGAATCATGTCATCAGCTGAGCTCCTCGAAGCCCACCCAGCAGACTGAGCTATATGTGGGGCACACACTACTAAGTTATCAAGGATTGCTGTCGACAAAAGAATACCGTATGCATCTTCACCCACACACAGGCCAAAGAAACACTTGATTTGAAAACACTAAAACTTTTTTTAAAAGTCATTTTTGAAAGCATAAGAAATTTATGTAGACTTAAGCAGGATTATGCTAAATTTACCTTGTGCCCAGCAGGATAAACAGGTAATATTTTTCCAATTACAAATAAGAGAAGGGAAAAGAAAATCTGTCTTGTTAGTTTAGCAGTCATTCAGCTACCCTTCTAAACTACTAAAATATTATACTTACTTTCCTTTCAGGTTTCTGAATTTCTGGTAGAACTGCACAGAAAGGTTTGATAACTTCTAAAAATTTGACTGTAAAAAAAGAAAGTGTCCATTATAAAGACTTTAAAAACCAATCTTTTTACAGAATCAAATACAAACATTCTTTAATTTCAAACAGGAATTTACCCCATCTCTTCAAATTAAAGAATCATAATGCTCTTCAAGTGAGAATATAAAGGAAGAGATACAATTTAAGAGAAAAAGGAACCCAAATGGTGTAAGAGTCAGTAGAAGCAAAGTAATCATGACTTTGATTCTTCATGTTTGTATTCAGTCCTTTTAGATATACAGAGAAAAAATTATTCAAAATATCAGTCAAAAAACAAGAGCATGCAGTCTACTATGATAATCACAGGGCGAAGCATTATAGAAGAAAACAGAGATTAAAAAGGAGGGACAGCCGGGAATGGTGGTGCATGCCTGTAATCCCAGCACTCAGGAGGCTGAGGCAGGAGGATCGCTGTGGGTTTGAGGCCAGCCTGGCCTACAGAGTCAGCTCAAGGCCAGCCTGAACTGCAAATCGAGATCCTGTCTCAAAAAGACAATAAATAAATAATAAACACTAAATAAATACAAGGAGAAACAAAGGAAGATGTCATCTCCACAGAGGACAGTAGACTAGGAAATGGACTTAACCTGCAGAATTGACTTAAAAACCTGAAAGATGCCCAATTTTATCAAGAGAAAGGGACCAGAAAATCATTTCTAAAAATTTAAAACTATACAATCACTATTGCATTTCATTAAGCCACATTTCCCTGCTTGGTCATCCTCACCACTGAAGATCTCAGAGTACTTGCTTACCAGAATGAGCCCAGAGAATCACAACTAAACTTCATTAGAAAAAGCTGCTTTCCCAGACTACTCTTTTCAGTAGACAAAATATAGACCAAGGCTCTTTGTGGAGAAACATCATCTTGTAACTAGGTCAAGGCCTGCAAGAGACTTGGAAGATCTAGACAACAATCTCTCATACTTCAGTCTTCTACCCAGAGAGCCTGCTGTGCAGAAACCCAAGCCACAGAGAGCTGTGAATTCCATCTTTGCTACAGGCACTGCATTCGGTACACTACACACCCTGAAATGGTTTTAAAACTGTCACAAACTGCACCTCCAGGGTTAGGCAAAAGTTGGCTACATTATGTTTGCTTTTTAACTCTCCCAAAATGACAGGAATTGCTGGCATCTGACAGATGAATTCAAGAACCGTTATCGTCGATGTTTGTTAACCATGTACTATTTCAGGTATCTGGAAAGCCTGAATCGTGAAGGCATTTAACTCTAATGCAAATCGAATACCAACATTACCATTAAACTTCCTCAAAACTCTTCATCCCCTTTCCTACATTTGCACCTCAACCCAGGCCACTTTCCTAGACTGCTTGGCATTTTATGGTCACCTGTATTGGTACATTCCTCTGCAAGCACTGCTGCCCTCTTTATCTTTGTGTTGGAGAATTTTACTCACTGTACGTAAATTCAAGGCCTGGGTCTCCTCTACTCCTTTCTAGTTCTCCTCAGTATACACTTGTTGGCCATTAGGTGCACTGTTTGGGGATTCATTCATCCAACAAACACTGAACACCTGGGGTTGTGAATCTAGGGCATAGGGTTGAGTGTCTGGGGAAAGGCCTTGTCCCTAAAGCTCACACGACCTTCCAGTTTTCATTAAACGCCACGGAATGACGGGAACAAACATTTTAAGGCAAATGGTGAGCTATCAACCCCCCCCATCCTAAAACATGCTATGCATCACTTTTTTTTTAATTAAACGATTTAAGGAACCTTCTTCGTCAAAACTCTCAGGCTGAGGAAGGGCGATTCAGGAGTGAAAACAGGAGCTTCCTCAGCTCCAAAAGAATGACAAGTGGTCCTGGTCCAGCCCTGTGCTCTAACTCCCCGCTCCCAGCACCAACGGGCTCCCCGCGGCAGGATCTCACACCTCGCCACCTATCGCACAAGCCCCGGGCTCAGGGTCCGGTTGCGGTCGCCGGCCGGGGCGAGGCCTCGCTCGACCTGCGGAGCCCGGAGGAGGCCCCAGGCCCGCGCACTCCGCAGCTGCCCGCCGCGGCCCGTGCATCGCGGGCCCGCGGGCTGGACGACCGCTAGTGGACACCGGTCCCGCCGCCTGCAGCCCAGGTAGAGCCCGCGCCCCGCCGGGGACCCGCTGCAGCCGCCGCTACTCACTGCCCATGGCGGCGGCCCGGGAGGCTCAGCGGGGTCACCGCGGCCTCGGCTCTACCGTCGCTCGGCTCCCGCGGCTCGGGCCTCAGCGGCGGCTCCGATCACGCTCTGGCTGGCCCCACGCAAGCACCGCCCATGTCACGTGATCAGACCCCCCCTTCCCGGCCCCGCCCCTGGACTGAGCGCCGGCGGTTGGCCGACAGCCGCCGCGTTGCCATGGTCACCGCCAGGCGCTGCGGAGGGGTGGGCCTCGCGGGAAGGGGCGTGGCCGTCCCGCGCCAGTGGGCTTGTCCGGACCTGGCCTGGGCGGGGCTTGGAAAGGCCTTAGCTGCTGCACTTTGGGCAGAGTGAAGGTAGGATGGCAAATTCAAGCCTAATCTGGATATCTAGCAATTTATCAAGAACTGACCTCAAATTTTTAAAAAGGGGGAGAGGGGTTGATGATGTAGCTCAAAGCGAAGGCCTTGCATTCAGTTTCAGTCCCCAGTATTAGAAAAATCTCCCCAGGTACCAAAGGCCTGGGGTTCAGGAGCCTACATCTTTTTATCTGTTCTATTTTAATGTAGCCTCCTGGAACGTTATAAAAATGTGACACATTGTATATACTTAATAGCTTGTGAAACTCCTCCCGATAACTAATAAAATACTGTAATAGTTACAGCCAGATCCAAGGATGTGTTCTAATGTTCAGGTCTACATCAAAGAAGGAAATTATATATTTTCTGACTCACAGCTCTAATACCTCCATATGGCTCCTCTATGTGACCTGGGCTTCCTTACAACATGGTTGCCGAGTGCCCAGGGAGGTCCTGGAAGTGACCCAGCATCTCATTTTTTGCACTGTTTGTAGTAGGAAACTGTAGGAAAGTCTGCTCAAGTTCCAGGGGAAAAGACATCACCCCTAGGGGCAGGTTTCTGGAAAAAATTACATTTTTGGAAAACACAATTTACTACAGTCATACTCGCCCATCCTTGTAACTCATCTTTATCTCACTGTACTTTGTGCTAACTAATTCTGCAATTGGCAGTGAAGAAATGAGCCTGCTTTAGATTGTTTTACCAGATGTAAATGAAAACATGACATCAAATAATTTTTGTTTCCATAAAGTAACTTTAGAGTTATTTGTGTAATACTGTGTTATATATTAAGGATGTAAACATTTTGTCTGAATTACCCCACAATGATTGTTTCAGCCTGGATCCCATAGAAAGCTGTGGTTAAAAACCAAATGTCTAAGTACATTCAATAAAAATGTAAGTGAAGCTTTTAGAACCTCGACATCCAAAAGCCTTGATTCATCATCTGTGAATTCCTTCCTTTGCACTCCTTAGTTCCTCAATTTTAGGAATACTATTGGTTGTCAGTCAAGTGATTTTTTTGTTTTTTTGCCTATGCTGAGAATTGAACCAGGGCCTCATGCATACTAAACAAGAATGCTACTACTGAATTACATCCCCAGCCCTGCATTTTAAAAATAGTAAAAGATAATACAAAAAAATCAAGTCTGCTTCAGTATATTCTCCCAAATACTGTGCATAATTTGCCTATGGAAGACATAAGAAAACTGAACAAAACGGTCCTCACAAGAAAAACTTTTATTTTCTAATCGTAATGTGTAATTTAAACAAAATAACATTCTTCCATAGTTGCTAATATATTTGGCTTACTGATGATCAAATTGTTTTTCTTTGAGTAAGACACTGTCATGGATACAGGTAATAGAAATAAATTGGATATGAATATAACAGTAGTAGTAGAAAGGTAAGGCATATTGGGTTGAAATTCTTCAAATGGTTCCTGCAAGGGGCACAGATGTGACTGGAGGAAGAAGGTTAAAATGACAGGAGATGTGGCTCTTGGTTCAAGCTGGAAAAGATGCAATAGGAGGTCCCAAACTTGTGAGGAATAAAGTTAGGGACAAATTTAGAGAGAGCTAAACAAAAAGTTTTTAACACAGCTCTTCCATTTCCTTTTGTAGTTAGACATTTACAACCTTTTAATTCAAGAAGCTGAAACACCTGAGAAAAAAAAGGCATTATGCTTTTTTTACTAAAAATACATTGATAAACACTGTCATTAAATAGACCTTTGTAGTCTTACCAGTTTACATGAGTGATGCAAAATATGAGACAAGAAAAAAGCATTGAGGCAGATATAAGGGAGAGGGAGGAGAATGACGTAGAAACGTGAAATCATTATACTGACGGACATGTTGGAGATGTAAACCATGAATCTACTGCTGTGTCCAGACCAGCCCACACGGATTCTGAAGGACACAACCAGTTGCTGGTAAAAGCAGAGAGGGAGTGGGTATGTGGTAGCCCACGTATGTCACCCTACTTCTCAGAAAAACAGCGTCATCCCACAGGAATGGGGGCTGGTGGAGGCTCCTCGGCACCGAGTCCAGGGAAGCTGCACAGTCCGCTGTTCAGTGAGGCATCCGGTCTCAGGTGTAACTTCGGCCAGAGTGAGTCTGCTAGCTAGGAAAAATCCTAGCACCGGGAAAGGCTCTTCCAAAAGTGTTGTTTAAACACCACAAATAAACATTGCAGCTGGGAGTTTCAGAGACACAGCGATTGACTAGGTGCTGAAATTCCCATACTAGACACCAAAGTTAGTTAAAAATTGTAAGGTAGGATTGTATGAACAATTTAGGGAAAAAAATATGGCCAAGTAGACTATAAATTAATTTAGCTAAAACTCCTTAATTTAAAAGTATAGGACTAGAAGATCAGACATCTTGAGATTATATTTAGTAGGACCTAACATTAAGATTAATGACACACGTCAGGGATAATCTAGTTTTGCTAGTCGGGTAGAACATTTAGTACAGTTGCCAGAGACATAAAATGAAAACATTGGTAACGCAAGACTTTGAAAAAAAAGGGGAAAAACTGGATGAAAGTAACACACATCAAACAAATACAGCAGTGGCGATGAGATCCTCTATATGGGACTCTAAATTCTGGCTAAAGAACTTTTCCCAGTCATGTGTGGTTCATGCCTATGGATCCTGCAATCACCAGGGTAATGACCTAGTTCTCCAGCTCACTCAGATCTAAACAAAACGTAACGCTGTTCTTCTTTTAAGGATAAAAATGTACTAATCTCATTTGTGTATTCATAACTGATTCCCTGGGTGGGTATTCATTCCTGCTATCCCAGATCTCAACATTTTAGAGAAAGACACAGAGTTTTCATGTTACCCAACAGGAAGAGGACAGAGCAGGGGAAGCAAGCCTTTGCCTTGGGCAGTTTGCTTCTCAGGAACAGGCTTTCTTCACAGGACGTCACGCTTTGAAAGTCTTGGTGAGGATATCTTCGTGCTGCCGCTGGTGCACTGTGCCAATTCCTACTGCGGGCACTGGCAAGGGCGGGCGGCTCACTAGACGAAGCTGTCATGGGAGCAGAGAAAAAAATCAAAGGACGTTTTGACCAGATCTCAGCTCTGCTTAATGCCACCAAGAAGGTGCATCTATCCCTGTTAGCTTGTTTTAACTAGAAACCATCTCTCCAGTGAAACAATGAGCTACAGAAAATAGATTCCAGAGAAACACATGTTACTATTATCAGTAACTAAATTCTCCTTGGGATAAAGTGAAACACATTTTTTACATTTGTCTCACCTTTAAGTAACTATTAGTTGGTTTTTAGTTTTCTGAGTTTGAACTAGCTACATGTCAAAATGATCTGAGCCCATCCAACTAGTATCAAATAAGTGAACTGAATGAGGAAAGTGAGACAACAGGATCTTGAATCTGAAAAATGCAGCAAGAAGCTATTGCAAAAAACAAAAAAAAAGAAAGAAAGAAAGAGTGAACCAGGTTTTAATCAAAGCAACAAAGTTGTTTTTTCTTCCTTTTCCTTCCTAAAAACAATCAGAAGTCTACCAGCCTTTGATGTGTACAAGCCTTGCAAGACAAGCACCCTAGAGACCCTGCTTCTCCAGGGCCTGAGTGAAGGGTCCCAGGGAAGAAGTGGGCAGGGGAACCAAAAGGCAAGGATGCTTACTTGTCTGAATTTTAATAATTAGAATATTACAGGTTAAACATTCCCAGTTCAAATTCTGAAATGTTCCACAGTGCAAAACTTTTACAGCATCAAAATGATACTCAGCAAGTTTCGTTTTTGGAGCATTTTGGACTTCAGAATTCAAGGAGACTTAGTCAATAAAATCCACATGAATAGTTCTATGTCCAAAAAGCTCAGGAATCTGAAATCCTTCTGGCCCCAGGCGTTTGTATAAAGGATACTCAGCCTGTAGTACGTACACATACACAGCTCCATAAATACCCAGAGCATCCCTCAAAAGGAATACAGTGATGCCTTGATTTACAAACTTAATATGTTTTTTGATTCTGGGGAAGAGCGCTGCATTTGTGTTTGTGTGGGGGAGATGGCCGCAGTTACATTTGTCACTAAACGCAGAGTTTGCAAACAGAAGCAAAATTTTGTGGAACACTTTTGTTTGCAAACCAAACAGAAGGGTTCATAAATCAAGGTATAACTAGTATAAAAGTAGATTTCCTTTTTTATTATATTTGAGTGAAAGTTTTGCTATATTGTTCAGGCTGGACTTGAACTCATGGGTTCAAGTGAGTTTCCTGCTCCAGCCCCCTGAGAAGCTGGAACTATACAAGTTTACCACTGTGCCTCTCTTACAGCTAGATTTTGTATTTTTATCTTTAAAGAACTAAACTGGTAATTGAAACACATCTATTGGAACTCTAGGATAAATACACGCATGCATGCGTACACATATACACCCCCCCCCCCCCAAGAAAGAACGAACTATTACCTTGCAGGCCAGTTGCTTTTCAAATCTTGGAGAAACAAAAAACCATGGACCCATGTTCTGGGGCTCTTCCTGGCTCCAGACAAAATCTATTTAAAAAAAAAAATGCAGTCCAGTACCTCAAGTAAACGTGTATACCAACACAGGGAGCAGGGGGGGTGTGGGTGATGAATGGGTGAATAGTTAAGTGGATAGATTGAAAGTTATCCCACCTCAACTAAATACATACTTTCCCAATATGACACAGTGTTGCTTATAAGTCAGGTACTAACCAATCCAATCATGAATACAAAACAGTTCTATCAACACCCCGAATTTCTCATCCTGCCCCTTTCTACCCAGTTCCCGCCCCCAAGCACTGGCGATCACAGATCTCTACCTCTACAGTTTGGCCTTTTCCAAAAGTGGAATCACACAGTATATAGCATTTTGCATCTAGCATCTTTTAATTAATAAAATACATTTTATGATTCATCCATACTGTGTATAGTAATCACTCCTTTTTAGTGTTTTGAATGTACAGATATGTTTTGCTTTGGGGAACTGTGCTTATTAAATCACTACTTGAAGGACATTTTGGTGGTTTTCAGTTTGAGGCAGTTACTAATAAAGCTGCTATAAATATATGAATTTTTCTGTGATGTATTTTCATTTTTCTTGGGTAAATATCAAGAAGTTGAATGTTAGGTTATGGTAACTTAGATTTAATTTTATGGGAAACTGACTTTTCCAGAGTCTACAACACGTATTCTCACAAACAGTGAGTGAGGTTCATTGCTTTTCCTCCTCGTCAGTAGTTAGTATCATCAGTCTACAGTTTTATTGTAATTTTAGCCATTCTTATAGCTGTGTAGCCATATCTAATGCTGGCTTAATTTTTTTCTTTTTCTTTTTTTTTTTTTTTTTAACCATGAATGAAGTTAAGCATCGTTTAAAGTGTTTATCTGCTATCCAGTTCTTTGGGAAAATGCCTTTCCAAAAATTTTGAACATTTTGAAAACTGGGTTGTTTTGTACTATTGAGTTTTAAGAGATCCATAAAGTATGATACTAATTCTTTGTTGACATACATTTGCAAATATTTCCTCCCAATTTATGGTCTTATTTTCCTTACAGCATTTTTCACAACCTAAAAGTTTTCATTTTAATAAAGTCCAAATTTTCTTTTACAGAGTAATTTTTTATATTACAACCAAGAACTTTTTGCTAACTCAAAATCATAGAGATTTTCTCCTATTATCTTCTAATAGATTTATACTTTTACATTTTACATCTCAGCGTATGGTCACTTTTGAGTTACTCTCTATAGAATGTGCATATAGACATCCAACATTCCAGCTCCAATTATTGAAAAAGCTTGTCTTTTATAGTTATACCATATTCCTCACGAATGATAGTACAGCATCGCTAACCTCAAAACACTCAGTAGATGAGTTGTTTTTCGATGAAAGAAGAGGACAGCAGGGAGACTCCGCTCTATTCCTCTTTCTCCATACCCTTGGACTCCTGAGGTTGGATTTTCTAGTAACTGTCCCTGCCCCCACCGCCTCTTTCCACCTGAAACAACAGGTGCTGAATATCTGGAAAGGTTCCAGATTTCTGAAATGCAAACAGCTCCAAAGAACAAGCTCTACCTTTGACATGCTTGTACTTGCTCATCTCTTGTTGCAGGGAATCCAGCGGGAAAGGGCAGAGTTCTTCTATGCGGATGATGGCAAAATCATGCTTCTTGGGCCCCAAAGATTCTCTTTGCTTCAGCAGGGCGTAGAAGTGTTTGCCACAGCAGAACACGAGGGTCTTGACACTGTTGGGGAGGAGAGGGACCGTGGATGGTGAGGGACTACCCTTAAGAATGACTTCAGAAGCGAGGGCAGGCTGGATGGCAGTGACTCGTACATGATGCTGTGGGGAGTTTGCAGTGGGCACAGTCCTCTCTTGCACCCTGGCGAATCCTTCTTTAGTAATCTAATGCCCAGCAGTTCACTCTAACACACGCTGTAATTCCTATTCCATGGATCTAAAGGACTGCTATCAGAACAAGGAAGGTTTTCATCACTTCAGAGTTCTTAATGGTTCAAACTAACTTTCCCTCTCATTAAACTTCCATCTTAGAGTACAGACACAGAGAAACACATCAAATTACTTTTTTGGATCCACAGATGGGTCACCAATGACTGGTCTGAATGCTGTTCCTGGGGCCATTTCTTGTAGAGTTGACACAGCTGCCTGACGGGGAGAAAAAGCCACACGAGTATCAACTGGTGGAAAGGAGAATCTTTGCCAAAAACATAGCACTGGAATTCTAGGCTGGCACTGCACGTACACATACTAATAAATACCTTTGTATTTATTAGCTCTGTATAAGTCACATTAAAGATACCCACTTGCCTATGCCACTCTACAGGTGACACAATATTTTAAGAATACTGTTTGATCACACAATTGTATTATCAATAAAAATCTGTTCTGATTTTTAGAACTGAAAATACTTTGGAGAATTCATATTGTGAACCAAAACAGCTGGGTGATAGCCATTATTTCTGTTTTTGACTAAAATTGATTAAGGGAAACTTATCTGGTCAGCACAACTAGGAACAGTACATGTCTAATACTGTGGAAAATAAATTTAATTGACTGGCTCAAATTAAATAAATACTGGAAAAATAAATACATACATACTAACTGCAATGATGGGCAGATAACTGACAAAGTCAAGCTTAGGAATTCCATCCTTTTTGCTTTCATCTAATTAGTGTCTCTATACTCTCACCTCAAGTGGGAACATAATGTTTTTGATTAGGCCACTGTGAACAGCTGTACTGATGGGGGGACACTGTGATATAACCTAAAGAGTGGAAATTAAATATTCAGTGGTACTAGGTGAGGAGTGCGAGAGTCGATCTTTCTCCATCTAAACTGCAGCCTCTCATCAGCCTCCATTTCTGGGAATCAGGGTTCAGAGTCTGGCAGGCAGCCCAGGATTTGGGGACCACGTGACCAGCCAAAAGTTTCATGTGTCTGTGTGTCAAAGCATCTCTGAGTAGCCACTCAAAGAAATGGCTGACTTGCAGTCTGATAGGTCATTTTTATCAATAAGTCAGTTTCAGGAAGAACCATATTTCAGTAATAGCCATCCTCATTTTCAATTAGTAAAAGGATTTACATGTTTAATGAAGATACCTGAAGGCCTCTCTTATATAAGTTACATATATATAAGAAGGGTAGTGAGTTCAATCCCAGGTACAAAATAAATAAACAAAACAAAAACAGAAAGAGAGAGAGAATAAAAGAGGAATAGAAAATTAGGGTCAGAAAATGATCTCTTACTCTGTTTCAAACTAAGAAACAAATTCTCAGTAGTATTCTAATAGCTCACACAATACTTAGTAACATATACATATTTAATGTAAGTATGCCCTTTTTTAACATGATTTGAGGAACAGGTGACAATCTTGAAGACCCAATGAAAGTTGGGTCAAGAATCCCAGATGTAGCTCAGGTTAAAGAACTTGCCTAGCAAGGTCCTGAGTTCCATATTAGCACTGAAAAAAAAAAAAAAAAAAAAAGAAAGAAAGAAAGAAAAAACTATATTTCTCAGAAATGATTTATAGTGATTTTACATTTTTACTTGGCACTGTGACATTGTTACAAACTATCGGTGCTAGCCAGGCCTGATGGCTCAGGCCTATAATCCCAGCACTCAGGAAGCTGAGACTGAAAGATTGCCAGGAGGCTAAGGCCAGGCTGGGCCACATAGCTCAAGACTAGCCTAACGTACATGGTGAGACCTTGTCTCAAAAAAGAAAAGAGAAGAATCTGTGTTACAAGTGTCTTATCAGAAAACCTGTGTTAGAAGGATGACATCAACTTTTCTTGAATGTTCTGTGATGCTCTGAGGCTGCTGAGAGCCTGGGGTGGAACGGAATAAGCAGACCACTGCAAAGGGATTGCCGCTGTTGGAGACTACAGGAAATGTATTCCTTGACACCGACTCCCAGGGCCAGGCAGGGATGAAACAAAGGAGGGACCTGGGATGCAAAGTTTGCAGGGGGAGCTGTCTAGAGCCTTGGAAGTGCCACCTCTGAGAATGAGGACCTCTTTTGCTCCTCTGGCACTGCCAGGCACTGCTGAAAAGAAGTAGAAGCAAATCCCATGCAAATCCTACGCAGCTTTCCTCTAGACCCCTCGGTCCTGAACACAGACTCTGTCACCTTTGTGAGCAGCACAATGTATTCTTGAAAAGCCAAATTTTAAATTTCACCTCAGCAGTTGCATCCAAAAGAATTCTCATAGGAGACTGAAAATAATTATAGTAGATGAGATAAATGCATGCAAAATGGTATTACTTTGAATGCTACCATTTGAAAACTAGCATATTTTTGCGATTTGAAAAATGTATTATGCACTTAGCATTTAAATGGGTAATCCAAGAATATATGTATTCTTTTAAAGAATCACAACAATATATTGTTACAGTATTCTTTTGTTGGGGGGGGGGGGTTGGTGACAGGGATCAAACTCAGACCCTCAAGCTTGCCAGGCAGGTGCTTATGCCACTGAGCTAAATCCCGGGCCCTATAACATTCACTTTTGTTAAGTAGGATTTCCCTTCATAAATCATTAAGGAGGAAAAGGGAATCAGGGAGACTGTAGCTGAGCAGTGAAGCTGAGCAGTGAACTGCCTGCCTACCATGGGTAAAGCTCTTGGTTTGATCACCAGCACTACTGCCGATATAGAGAAGCTCAGACTTTTGGATTTCAAAACATGTTTCTGTTCAGATTAGGATGCCAGTGTGACACTATCTGCTATCTATATCCCTCGTTAGAATGGAAATGAAAGGCTGTGTTTCCAATTCCATGTAGATGGCTAAAAAATAAAACCTGAAAACTACAAAGTCAATTTAAACTGAAGCCTCTCTGTACTTTAGAACTAAAAACAGATATGGAAAAGAGAGAAACATAAAATACAGAAAGTGATAAAAAGGGGCTAGAGATGCAGCCCAGTGGTAGAGCTCTTGCAGAGCAGATGTGAGGCCCTTGGTTCCAGCACCAGCATTGAAGAAAGAAGAAAGAAAGAAAGAAAGAAAGAAAGAAAGAAAGAAAGAAAGAAAGAAAGAAAGAAAGAAAGAAAGAGAAAGAGAGACAGACAAAGACGGTCAGGCAGCAGCTTTTTCTACTTACAGGGAACCTGAGCAGTATCTTGGGAGAAGCGACGATGAGGGGCTTTCTGAAGTCCCGCACCATCTGTCTTCTGAGCAGGTGGAAGTACTGGGCGGGAGTCGTCGGGTGCACCACAAACATGTTCACAGTGTCGCCGTCCACTCCCTCTTCCACACTGTCACACAGCTGGGCAAGAAAGCGGGGGACATTCAGATCATTTATTTCAATCAGAGGGATGCCATGCTAGCCAGGGGGAAATGCACGCATTCTGAGTAAAAGCAAGTTCTCTCTATGAAAAATACCAGAGGATAAACCCAGGACCTGTGAAGTATCAGTCAAGGGAGCGCTCCGGTGGCTTTAGGCTAACACCTGTTAGCATAACACACAGAACCGATAGCAAAAATCACCCAGGACGACATGAACAAAAATAACAGAATCTCACTGTCCTTCAGGAAATAAGCAAAATTATAGTGAGTGTGAGTGTGTGTGTGTGTGTTTTAAGACAAAGTCAAAATCAAAAGCAGCGAACAAGGTTTAAAAGCTGGGATCAAGAAAGTTAAATCTCAAGAGGGAAGGAAGGGGAAGAAGAGTAAAAAGAGTTAAGATGTGTTTCCTGCATGTACCAATTCCTCACAATGGACGCAATCATTCATTACTGCAAACATGTACTAATACAATTTTTAATTAAAAAAAGAAAATAAAGTCTTATCCTGCTTTGATACAAAACTGAAAATATGGTTCTTAACCCTCCTCAAAAAGCAAGGAGGAGAAAGGAATTGACCTGACAAAAATCATAGGAATTCTAACTCATCTCTCCAATCTGAGCACAGGGAATGAGCAGGCAACCTGGGAAAATAAAGGTGAAATCCAGAGTAGAGGCCAGTCCTGACCTCAAGACGCAGACAGCATGGGGGCTGGGGGCGGGCTCATGCTGACTGGGGAGAGGCCCCAGGGGAGGTTTGCTGCTGAATATCAAAAGAGCAGAAAAATTCAGCAATGAGACACCCCCAGTCAGCAGAGCTCTCCTCTCCAACTGGCCTTGGACTCAACTGTTGTTCTAAGCAAGTGAAGTTGAGCAAAATGTTTAAGGGACTCACACACACACAAACGCACGCGCGCACACACACACACACACACACACACTACCTGACAATATCAAGTCTCTCTGAAGACAAAAGGAAATGACACAGCACAACCAAATAACTTGATGCAAGAGGCAGGACTAGGAAAGGAACGAAGCCCATGAAAGACGGTTTTAAAGAGGACACAACAGAATTAGAAAAGAAAGGAAAGCATAATGCTAACAAAAGACAGTGAGAGCCCAAATTTACCATTACTAATCTAATAAATACGAAACATCAAGAACTGAACAGACAGGACTAAACACACTGTAAATGGCATGAAGGAAAAGCTTGATATGATCACAGGGAAAGCAGAAGAAATAAGCAAGCACTTACACAAACAGCAAAGACTCTTCTAAGCACCTTTAATCCTTCTGCATGGCTAAAATAAAATTAGTGATGTAAACAAAGGGCTCGAGACAATCATGAAGAAACATGAAATGATCATCATAAGTCACAAATATACAACTATCAGTTTTTGTTCTAGGCAGTTTACGCAAACTGACTGTGCCTCACATGGTCTTGGTCATTTTTGTATAGTCTGCCACATAAAAGATATGTACATTTCAGGAAAAGAAAAATAGTATGTTTTTTCAACAGATGGTTTTACCCTCGTATGGTGGACTGCAGAGCATATTGTGTATTGCAGAAAACCCACCACACTGCCACCCTTAAAGGAGATTGAAAACACATGTGCAATAATCTCAGCGACCATATTAGTCAGTGTTTGCAGGAGAACAGATTTAATGCAGGACCTAGAAATTTACAAGAGTAGCTTACAGGCCATTCGTAGACTGCAGGGGGCAGAGAACAAGGATTCACCAAGAAGCAAGCCCTCCCTGCAAACCAGTGCCATGCACAGGCTGCCATCCATGGGTGGGGCGGTGGCAGCCAGACCCCAGCCCCTTCCAGTGCATGGGTCGGCAAACAAGAAGGGTCAACCCCCACCTCCACTCCCCAGTTAAGCGACCGACTGATCCGGAGAGACACTGGCTGCAATGATAGCTACTGGAGTCTTACATTTGTGGTGCTGTGCTATTTCACTGACCTTGTAGGTCTAGGGCCAGTGGTCTGATCACCTCTTCAAAAGATAGCAGTAAGTAGTGTGGCATCTGGGGGGGTCTCCCTCTGAAGGTGGTAGCCCCTGTTAATTCTCTATTATCTTGTTTTGAAGTTCTATATCATTTTATATATCATCAAATTACAGTGATTGTTTTGTTGGATTGGTTTTATTTTCTTTCATTTTGTTATAACCAATGGCATGAGATGCTATTTCAAAGATAGCAAGATATATTATGACAGCCATTATGGATTTATTACTGTCTTGTTTTGAAGCCCTTTTTGCTTTCATTAGTTTTGTTTTTATTGGTTCAATTCTGTTTTGTTTTGTTTGATTTTTACTATGTCTGAAGGTATCTGCAGCTATTTTGAAGACAACAAGAGGCATTATGGTAACTATTGTCAATTTCATATTGTTTTGAAGTCCTGTATCACTTACACTGGTTTGCTTTGTTTAGTTTTAGTCTGCTTTATTTTCCTTGGTTTTATCCTTTTTACAATAAAATTTTAAAAAACAGTAGCTTATAATATTTGCCCACAGAGTCAAATGTGGAAGAGTGACCTATGACTCCGTCACTCTTTAAAGGCCCTATCTTCTGATAACTGTATTTATTTTTTAACAAATTAGAGCAATAGTTATTTCTGAGAGAACATTTAAAATGTTTTCATGATCATGGATCATTTTACAAAAATAGTCATTATTTGAAAAAAAGTGTTTAAAAGTAAAAATAAAGATTCCTATGTCGAGTATCTAGAAATAGGATGTGAGACTGGCCCCTGTATCTGTCTCTCTGTTTATGAAAAAAGCTCCCTCTAAAGGATTTTAATGATTACCCTGATGCAGGGACTACTGCTCCTGGCCAAATAAGAACCATTATTCAATTTTTAATCTTTCTGTGTTGCTAAAGATTGAACCCAGGGACTTATACATGCTGGGCAGGTGCTCCAAAAACCATTTTAAATGCCATGAAATTGTGCTACCATCATATTTGAGCCAAATGATATTGCATTAAATCTGTTTCATTCAAACATTAACATTTCTTACAGTTTAAGATGCACATGAAACAATCTATCCTGTATATAATTTCACTTTCAAGCACGTAGGAAGCAGGAAAGCGTTTCTTGGAACCCAGAGACTTCCAGCATACCTGCAAGAACCGCTCTATGCGACAGGATGAGTGGTCTGGGCCAGCCCCATCATAGCCATGGGGAAGGAGGATGACGATGCCACTCTGTAGGAGCCACTTGGCCTCGCCTAGAAGCATAGGGAGAGGATGAGAACTCTGTGCAGCAGAGCCGATCAGCCTGCAGGGAGTTGCAATGTGAAACAAATATTATTTTGCTGCCTGAGCCCACAAAACTCTTTCATTCCATGCATTTGTCACCCTACATGAAAGGGGTGCAGTAATATCCATTTTGTTGGATGCAAACCTAGGATGACAGTGCCCTGGGCTTAAATGAGTGAAGACAAACTCAAAAGTGAATGACTTGGCTCCCCCCATGGCATGAGCCACTGAGCTCCCACAGCTACAACTCCTAGCAAGAATGGGCAGTGCCTTCCTTCCTTAATGCCCCTGACAACACAGGGCACTGTCCTCAGATAAAGGGTGAGGGATGCTTTAGAATCCTCTCTGGAAATGCCAAATGTCCAGGTGCATCCGATATTTTTCTTCCTTACAACCACAAAGAGATAGAGAAACAACTATCGGAAAGACCTGAGGCAGATATTCAAGAGCCCACAGTGGGAACCCCCAGAAAACAAGACTAAGGATCTGAGGAGTGCCTCAGACCTGTTCTTAAGCCCCCTGAGTTCTTACAGGAAGCGGGTATTAATGTTAGAACTTTCACCTTTCAGGTACTTGAGGGACCTGGATCAAGTGCTAGTTACTCGGGCTATGGTCACCACAGAATACCCTGGGCATGGGTGCAGAATTCGAACAGCCCAGGAGCTGGCAGGCACGGCCAGGTCTTCTCCCTGGAAGACAGCAGGTGCCCCCTGGACCTACCCTCATTCAGACAGAGAGGCAGCTGGGGGCTGCTGTGGGGAGAGGATGATCCCAACTCTCAGAGCTGGCGTGGGACACAGGAGTCTCAAAAGCAACAATGGCTCTTATCCTTCATTTGTACCCAGGAGGCTGGAGCAATGTATCACCACCCAGCTCCACATCAACACCAACCTCCAGAAATGAAGGTGTCAAATATGATTTGCGCTCCGTTGAAGAAATCACCAAACTGAGCCTCCCAGATGGGCAGCAACTTTGGGCTTTCGATGCTCATCCCGTATTCAAATCCCAGGACGGCCTCCTCCGACAGAGGGCTGTTGCTGACCTAATTCCAAAGAGGAGAAGCAGACACTGCATGCCAGGGGACACAGCAGGAGCCACAGTGATAAAGCTTCCAGCTGTCATACAAGTCTGGAAGCGAGGAGGGGCGAAGGTGCATTCATTCATGAGCACGCTGCTTGGAGAAGAGGTACTTACAGCTCAGTATCACAGATGCATTTGGGCAAAGTTGGGACAAAGAGCAAAAAAGAAAAAGACATTAGAATATGGGTATGAAACATTCTCTTCAAGGATAAGCAAGACTCTCAGATGGTCCACCATGAGAGCTGAGAGAAAGTTTATGTTACACAGCTTTAAAAAAAAAAAAATGTTGGGGCTGGGGATTTAGCTCAGTGGCATAAGCGCCTGCCTTATAAACAGGCAGTCATGAGTTCGATCCCTGGTACCGATAAAAACGAAAAAGACCAAAAAAAAAAAAAAAAAGTCACAAAATGAAGACGGAAAAGTTGTAAAATAAATGTCTGCCTTTGATTAGGATCTATTATTCTCACATCATATTTGCAGGGTAAGTCAACAGAAACATCATAACATAAAAAAGCCAGAATACAAAAATAGTCTGAAGAAGTCAAAGAAACAAGACAGTTAAATGTAACATGACACTGTGCTGGTGACATGTTGCTTTTAACATCTCGAGTTAGGTGATTATGTTCAGTGATGAGGAATATCTTTTTTTGTAAGAAATACTTACTGTAGGTATCAGGCTAGCAAGTTGCTTTCAAAGGTGAGAAAAACCTCCTTGGTCCTATATGCTAAACATTTACAAATAATTTTGTGTTTGTTTCAATTTTTAAAAAAATATTTTTTAGGGGGCTGGGGATTTAGCTCAGCGGCATAAGCGCCTGCCTTGCAAGCAGGCAGTCATGAGTTCGATCCCCGGTACCGATAAAAAGGAAAAAGACAAAAAAAAAATTTTTTTTAAAGTTGCATGTTTATAGAATTTTTTTTAGCAATAAAAATAAAATATTGATACATGCTGCAATCTCACCAAGCACTTGAGAAAAGCAAGTTATGAAGGCCCTGTTTGATTTATCTGGAATGCCTAAAATAGGAATATTAATAGAAACAAAGAGCAGACTGCTCAGGGGTGGCAGGAATGGGGTTGGATGGACAGGGCAGTGACCACTGATGGGTCCAGGGATTCTTGATGAGGTGATGAAAATAGTCTGCAATTAGATGGTGGTGATGGTTGTGCAACTCTGTGAATATACTAGAAACAGCCTCACTGTATACACTGAAAAGTTGGATTTTAAGGGCTATAGCTCATGAAGCCTTTATTTTCAAAAACTCAGAGAAAATTATAGCTTTAATTACAACTATGAAAATTTATGACATAGAGACAAGAACAATGACACACATAAACAACTGCCTGTTTATTAGCCTGCTGTGATTATGCATAATTGATCGGTTCAGATTATAATCCTATACTCATATTTAAAAAGACCACCGTATTTCCCAAGTTGCAGCATGTGCTATAACAGGGACTGGAGCAGCCACACAACCTCCATCTCTGCCTGTCCCACCCCTGTCCTCTTCTTTCTCCCTGGCTGACAAATTTGTTCTGCATCCACCTGCTTCCTGCTGTTTCTGGGACCTGGCTTTATCACTCAGCTCCTCCTTTCTGAATTTCTCCTGATTGGTCTTCCCACTTCCCCAGCATGCAGTCAATCAACAACTTCAAAAGAAAATAAGACATACCCATTTTCCAGATCTGGGTTCCCCCCAAGACCATTGCTTTCTCAGGTAGAGCTTTCAGAAAGACTCATCTAGTCCACCTGCCTTCACCCCTTGACTCCTGCCTACTCATCAGCTAAGGACAGATGCTCCTCACTTGTGAGGGAGTCATATCCCAGTGGACCCAGGGTAAGTGGTGGAAATTTTGTCAGTTACGACCCATTTACCACACCTCACCTACAAACACCCCAGCTGCACACACAATGTACTGTCGAGTGTTGGTCCTCTCCACTCTTAAGTGAGAACTGCACCCCTGATTCGAATCCGTTACCTGACATCCTGCTGACATACCAGCAACTGAGGAAAAGTGCAAACTTCAGCATTCAAAGTGTGGTTTGTATGGAATGTGTATCGCTTCCACACCATAAGGTAGAAAAATTCTAAGTCACACCAGGTGCCCAGGGGGCACCTGCATGGTCTAGATTTTCCTCCCAGTCAATCCATGGTGAGGTCCACCCTCCACAACCTAAGTGCAGCATGCATGTGATTCTCTCTCTCAATGACCTCCCTCCTTGGGTACCATGCCCCAGTGACTTCCGTTTCTCCTCTTGCCTCTCAGTACTCTGTTGTGAAATACTTTCCTTCTGCCTGACCTTTTATTTGGGGGGGGGGGGTGGATACTGGGACTCGAACTCAGGACCTCGTGCTTGCCAGGCAGGAGTTATGCCGCTGAGGTATATCCCCAGCCTCCCACTTGCCCTTTCAAATGTTGTTTCTGCCAGGACCCTACCTGTGGTCCTCTCATTCTGAGTTCTGAGTGAGATTCTCTCAGCTCTATGGTTTCAGACATTTCTATGCCCTGATGACTTCCAAATATATCTTAGGATCTAATTGCCTGGCAGAAACTTCTATGTCACTCAGCTGCCTCAAAGTCAAACATCCAGAATGGAATCCATCATCTTTCCTCACAAAAGCTGTCCTTTGTCCTTTATAACCTACTTGACTGGGTATCGTGGTCATCTTCCAGTTGTCCACGTAAGGAAGCCAGGACGTAACCTACAGCAGTCTTTCTTCTGTACCCCACGCCCTCCAACTCTAAGTCCCTGGTGGACAAATCTGTGTCCACCTGCATCTGCACTCGGCGGCCCTATTTCAGGTCTCTGTCCTTACCCTACTTTCTCATCCTTGGCAGGCTTCCACAGCACCGTCAGGGGCATTCTTCTACTATGGAAATCGGGTCTATGGCCTGCCACCCTGAACGCGCCCAGACTCATCTAACATGAGCAGCTGTCCGCCTGGGCCCAGTGCTCCATGGACCCTCTCCCTGTGATTCCCAAGACTTTCACAACCCAGGCAGTCCTCCCCAGCTACTCCCTTTTTATTCCTGTGGCTGCTCTGCAGATCATCTGAAGCCATCTGTGGTTCTCTTAGTATATCATATCCTCTCACCCCACAGAATTTATGTGTTCTGTGTCCAGCTAGAATGTTTCCCCTGTATTTGTTAGACTGGACCACTACTAACGCCTTTTGATTCCCAGATCAAATGTGGCTTCCTCGCTAAAGCATTTCCTGAATTCCCCGAGTGGGTATAGCTGCCCCTTTTCCTATGAATCTATTGTACTTTGTACACTTGTATAGATTTAGATACCTTACTTTCTCAATGTATCATTGTATGTATTTATTACTAAAGTACTGAAACTGGTTTATAAATACACATGATATGCAAAATCACTGCAGATTTTAAGCAGAGTAAAACAAGACAGATACAGATCAAGGCCAGAGCAAGAGCTGGGGAAAGGTAACCCCAATGACCTACTGATTTATCACTGAGCCTCCAGTCCTTGCTTGAACCCACTGTTAGTAAGAGAATGCTGGCCACTTTCAGAATATAGCACAGCCAGTCAAACCAAACCACTGCTAAGGAAGTGTCACCTACAGAAGATCCTCCTCTGCCTGCCAACCGCTGCCGCCAAAAGGCCTTTACTCCACATGCCCAGCAGGGACAGAGAGTGAGAAGATCCGCCTCAGGCTGCCAGGTGCTGCCACCGGAAGGCCCTTTCTTCTGCATGCTCAGCGCGGGCCGAGAGACACAGACAGATCTACCTCTGCCTTCTGTGCACTGCCACCAAAGGCTGCCAAGGAAACCAAGGGCCTCCAGGGGGGCCTACGGATGTACAGGGCTTACGGGGCTGTGTGTCCCTGCTCCTGCTGGCTGCCTGCAGCAAGGAGCCTTCCAGTGGCAGCTCCTGTAGGCGAAGGTGGATCTGCTGGTTCTCTCTGCCCACACTGGCTGCCTGCAGGATGAGGCTTTTAAAAGGTGGCAGCGCACAGAAGGCAGAGGTGGATCTGTCTGTGTCTCTCAGCCCGCACTGGGCATGCAGAAGAAAGAGTAACTTACCCATCAACCTCAGAATGGATAAGAAAGATACGGTAGGGGCTGGGGATTTAGCTCAGTGGCATAAGCGCCTGCCTTGCAAGCAGGGAGTCGTGAGTTCAATCCCTGGTACCGATAAAAAGGAGAAAGACAAAAAAAAAAAAAAAGATACAGTATTTTCATGCAGTGAAAGCTACCCAGTTATAAAGTAGAATAATCTCAAGGCTCCTATAGGTAAATTACCCAACTGGAGATCATGTTCATGGGTGAAATGGTTCGAACTCACATGCGTGAACCCTAGCAGAAGAAACAGAAGGAGTTGATGGGATCCAAAAGCAAAATAGTTAATGTAAGAGAAAGGGGAGGAAACACCTGGGAGAGAAAGGGGGAAACTACTGTTCATTTCTTATTTTCTTGTCTTGAACTCTTGCATTATTTACACAATTTTGTTAGGTTTGGCTTTGTTCTGTCTTGTTTTGTTAGATTTTATATAGTTAGCACTCCACTGTGTATAAATAGTAGGAAATAGATGGACTTTGAGACCAGAGTATTATGTGAAATAAATCAGACACACAAATTTAAGTATCTTATGGTTTCTCTTATATGAAAAACCCAAAATATAAATAAAGTGCAAAATAAAAAATGAATAATAGGAAGTAGAGAGATCAATCTATTTCAAATTGGAAAGGAATCAAGAGATGGAGGAAGAAAGGAAAAGGGAAGGGGATGTAAAAAGAATTGAAATGTCTTTATGTACAAGTACCAACTTGACACAAGGAATGTAATCATTAGGTAATGCACACGTGTACTAATAAAAACTGAAAAAATACCAACACATTGTTAAAAAAGTAGTGAACATTATATCATATTTAATATGCATATTTAATTGGAACTTTGTTTGTTTGTTTGTTTGAGACAGAGTTTCCCCATGCAGTTCAGACTGGCCTTGAATTCACTTGGTAGGCCACGCTGGTCCTGAACTTGCAGCAATCCTCCAGCCTTATAAACTGGATTGAGCTTTCAAAGTAGGATGTCAATATTCAAAAGTGATTGTAAATATCAAATCACAATTCACTGAAAGTCTCATTAAGGTGGAGAGAATCTTAAACATTTCACTCACTTCTCTAGCTCATCAGTCTGAGGTAGATTTTACACTCGCCTAAAGGAAAAATGAGCTGCAGGTCCTTCCAGTAATCTTCCTGGAATACTGCTTTTGCCAAGCACATTTTTTTTTTAAGAAAACACTAGTAATCTCAAGATTATATTATGAAATGGCTATAGTAGAAAAGAAGGTGCGATGTCATCTAATTTACTTAAAATAATAACCTACTTTCCTAAATATCATGTGCTGAGTTCTATGCTAATAGTTGGAGAAAAAAAAAATAGAGTCAGCTGCTGCCCTAAAGATTTTGAAGAGAACAGCACAGATACAGGCGGCCACAAATGCCCAGGAAGCCTAGGGAACCAGGTGACTGCCAGGAAGTGGAATGTGTGTGTGTGTGTTTGAAGCAAGGAATACTAGCTTACTATCCACATTTTGCCTAACTTTATAATATGCAGATTTATAATATCATTCTGAGTTGACAAAATGCATATCCATTTGACATTTATATGCATGCAGACAGGTAGTCAGATGAAAACAGCTCCAGTGTACTGTCTGGTCTGTTACTTCCATTTCAGATTTACAGTTCAACACCATCCACCCACTTAGCATCCCTGTTTCAAAAAATACTGGATTCAAATTGCCAACATCTGGTTTCAGTTCCTGTAAGCAGGCTGTAAGTGCAGTACATGGTGGCTGGATCTGACACAGATATGGAAACATCCTACCTCCAGAAACCCCTTCTGATTAGGGTCCATGTGGTTCAGAGGAATGTACGTGTCATCTGTCTTCTGGCAAACCACCATCGCGTGCCTTTGACTGAAAGTTCCGCGGCCAACATCTTGGCCACTCAGACGGACATTAAAACCTTAAATGGCAAGCAAGAAAATAAATCCAGATCCCTGTGAATAATCCAACTAATGATAAAGCATGGTTACTCTGAATTTACTTATTTTTTGAGACAGGATTTCATTAATCTTTGGAATTTTCTTAGAGTAACAGATTCTCCTTATTAAAATAATCCTTTCTTACATCCAAAAGTCTACAATCAAGGTAAAATTGTATAGGAAAGGAGAGTCATTACCTGCCTTATAATTTTTGGAGAAAGTATGTTTCTATTACATCTTACACTAAACCCGGTGTTTCCCAGACTGGCTGTGCCACTGTCTCCACTCTGTGACGAATGCTGTCACGTGAAACACACTATAATAAGTCATATTATCATGGGCCATGTTTCAAGACTTCTCTAGCCAATGAAAACAACAGGAAGGAAGCAGCTGTGATCCAGAAAATCACAGAAGTCGCACATAACCAGCGCCACTTGTCACGTTCTCTGTCAGCTGTAAGGAATTCCTTACCTTGAGCGAGTAAGGAGCCCAAGGCCAGGGCTTCTGCCGTGGCCCAGTCTAAATTTGTCCCACTCATCACCTTCTCCATTCTGGACTGCAGAGTGGAAGGGAGGAGAAAAGAAACTTTTTAGAACCCATATCCTTTTTCACATGAGTTCAAAAAAATTTAATGTAACCATGGTAAGAATCAATAATACAAGTTTGAATCAAAACAGAGTATGAGTGGACAGAGTAGAGTATGATAGCCACCATGTACAAAGCCAACGTACCCTTCACCTGAGTGGTCACCTTTTGGAGCTAAGAGGAGAGGAGATGGGGGGGGGGGTCCTGCAAACTTCAATTGCAATATCTGAATTCTTAAACTAGATGTTAAGCATACAGCTTGTTATATTTCTATGATTCGGAGGAACTATAGATGAACATGTTTAACTCTTTCTTCTTCTGGCCTTAGCACTGAAAGTGTCCTGTTCCAGAAAACCCATTAAGTCCTAGGCCAACCAGGACGGTTTGTCATCCTAAGGTTGACATAAGATCATATGTAAAACTTCAGCATGTTTAAGGGTGCAAACGGTTACCTTCAGGGTATACGTGGTGAATTTTGTCTCCTTTATTTAAGCTATTAAAGTGTATTCTGTTCACTAGTTGGGAAAATGAAAGTAGACATTTCTGTATTTGTTTATAATGAGTATGCAATATGGAAAAAGCAATCTGAGTTGGCTGACTCAGCAACAAAAGAAAGTGAAGATCAGTTCCTAGAGCTAATAATAAACACTAAATATTTGTCAAATGAATTAGCAACCAAAAAGACCAGACCAGTATCAGTCCCTTCGCTGAGCAAAGATAAAAAGCGGCGGTGAGTGGTGTCCAGCACCTCACCTGAACGTACATCTTGAGAAGGCTGCTGTGCATCTGCAGCTCCCCGGGCACCTGCACGGACCTGGCACCAACAAAGCGCAGGAGGTCGAGGGGCACACCGGTGTTCCAGGTAGTGACACGTGCTGCTGGCTGGACAAGGCCCTGCCAGTGTGCCTGCAGGTTGGTAGCTGGGGGGCTGTAGTGGGCCATGTTCTTCAAATGGCCATTTAACTTGGCATAGTAGGAGGCTTTTATCTGAGACACCTCCTCCTGGGTCATGAGTCCGCTGGCAACGAGGTGCTCTGCATATGTGTCTGGGATGCTCTTCCGGGCTCTGCTCAAGAGAAGGGGAAAACACCAGCCTAATCTGTGAAAGTGAGACAGTCACTGTGGAGGGCACTGGAGTATGTTATCAATTAAAAGGCACTTAGGAAATGCTCTGCGACCGACAGCAGTGCGATTTACAGTATCATGCGTGTACTAAATGCCACTGAATTGTTCACTTTAAAGTACTGCGGTAAAATCTGTATCATGTGACTTTAATCTTAATAAATTCACAAAATAAGTCAACAATCAATTAAAGGCACTCAGGAGTCATAGCTTCTTCTAGGCAAACAAGAGAAAATAAATTTACCATGGTAAGGTTTTGGATACATTCAGGTAGAATAGGGGAGTTTTTCTACGACTTGGTAAATCGTAGAGAGCTGTTTATAAGACTGATCCACTGTACCCGTCTATTGAGAACTCCCTTTATTTCACAAAATACTGAGCCTCAGGGGGCCACGACCAGTTTCAGGTTGCTTTGCTAGTTCTTTAACTGTAATAATTAGCACAAGGTTACAAATAGTATAACAACTGTGCCTTTTTATATATAATCCTTTAAAATGTAAAATTTGTTAACATAGTACCAGATGAAAGTGAGAAGTCCGATGTTTTCAAAGGAGCCCTGAGGCGCCTACTCCTTCAGTTACTGAGCGCAGAGCTAAGCCAGAACTCAGCTTCTGGTCCTCTGAGCTGTGCCTCTCTGCTACCTACAAGCAGGATGCCACCAAGTTTATTCCTCTGCTCTAACTTAGTCTCAGAGGGGTCTGTTTTACTTTCTAGTGTCTAGAGGAAAAAATGCCACAGTTACGCATCCCTCTCTGCCACATCAACCTCCCTCTCTGGCTCCTCCTCTCTCTTCTTCCTGGCCACCATGACATGAGCACCTTTCTTCTGACAGGCACTTCCGCGATGCCCTTCTTGCTTTGGAGCCAGGCAACCATGGACTGAAAACACAGAGCCCAAATAACCCTCTGTCCCTTTAAATTGTAAGGTGTTTCATCCCATTGAAGAGAACGTGACTGAGACAGTCAGCATCCCAGTTTGCCCAGGACTGTCCCAGTTCAGCACTACAAGTCTTATGTTCTAAGCGAACCAAGGCAGCTGTTCACCCTGATCCCTGATCTAACTATCTATTACAGAATAATAAGGCTAGAGCGCTAGCTCAGTCTGCATCGCTTGCCAAGCACACACAAGTCCTGGATCCCAGCTCCAGCATCAAAACCAACGCTTGTGTGTGTGTACACAACAGTGCACAAACTGTGAGGTAGAGGTTTATGGTTGTACCTGATGATTCTGTACATGCCTGGATTGGTGAAGAAAGGCTCATCCAGCTCATTGTGGCCCCACTGCCTGTAGCATAGCAAATCAACAATCACATCCTTGCGGAACTGGCGCTGATATTCAAAAGCCAGTCGTGTGGCCCGGACCACTTCCTCTGGCCTGTCTCCATTAACATGGATGATGGCACAGCCCACAAGCTTCCCTGAACAGGGGTGACAGACATGAAGCAAACCAGTTAGCCTGGAATTAGATTAGCCTTCCCCTAAGACCTACCTACCCTTGTCCTAAAGATCATTTTTTTTTTTGGTGCCAGGAATCAAACTCAGGACCTTGCGCTTGCCAGGCAGGCACTTGTGCTATTGAGCTACATCCTGTCCCCTAAAGATCATTTGACGTAGTTGTTAACAACGCAAAGGTTGGGGTTCAGCTGACAAGTCCCAGTTCTGTCACTTATTGTGTGACTTTGTAAACTTAAGAATCTCAGTCTAGTCCTGCCTCTTACTGAGAGTCTGAAGGTTATCAGTCAGTGGATAAAAAGTATTAAGGCTTTACAATGCCTGGCACATAGTAGCTAACATTTATTTTCTTCTTCTTCTTCTTCTTCTGTTTCTGAGATAAAAGGGCATTAAAACATGCATCCTAAACTAGGGAGATAATACAATATTTGTCTCCCTAGTATTAAAAACTGAAAGAGTAAATAAGATCCAAAATGTACAACAGATATTGCGAACGTGAAAGGGGAAGAAACTGCTCAAAAGGAAGGAACAACTGGGATGGGGGAAAGGAGAAAAGAAAGAAGGGAAAAGAATATATATATATACATACATATGTATAAACACAAACGATAGATAATTATACTTCTAATCTCTATTAGCTCATCGAAAAGAACAGTTTGTGCTTTCATTGTTTGATTGATCATCTTTTTCATGCCTGTATTTTGTACTTTGAAGATAACAATATACAATATAATAACCACTCTTAATCTATTATTTTGTTTTGAAATTCTGCATTTTTTGTTTTAAAATTTAAAAAAAAATGCATCCTAGAAAAAGAGATTTCTAGAATCTGTTCAGAGTCTCATTGTCTCTCTTAGATGAACCACAAAGAAGTCACATAGACAACCCAAGAAGGAAACCACTCCGTGCTCTGGATATAAAAAGACAGTAAGTCCAACCACCTGACAGATCTTTTAACTCCTTGTAACGCTGTGAAATAGAAACAGGCAGTAAAAACTCTACCTTTCATTTACAACTGCTAATTTGTATAGGTTAAAGCAAGTTGAGTTCAATTCTTCACATTTTGTTTTTACCCTGGCTATTACAAAAAAAGTTGGTCCTCCAAGTTTGAATATTCTAAAGGTAATTACTCCACTATTATACTAATTGAGCTGCTCTCTGATTTCTACCAGATCCTTTGGCTGGTTACTTAAGCATTTAAGACTGAACACTCTTAGCTCTATTCTTTATCACTTTTTTTTTTTCTTTAAAGGAAATACTGATTTTAATTAAACAGAGTAAGGTGAATTCTAAGCAGCATCATTATCCAGCCTAAAAATTATTTAAAAATTATTGAAACAAGGCACAGTTCTTTCCCCCTACTTCTTTTTTTTTATTTAAAGAAAAAAAAAACGGATAAAAAGGATAGAAACAATGCAGAATTTCAGAAAAGTAAACAGTAAGAAATCACTAGTTGATAAGTTACATATCGTCATCTTACAAATAGTTGCTCAAGTTACAAAATTAAAGCATACAAAGAGATATTCAAACCATGACACTGCAAACAGTTCTGCTCAACGATCCAACAAGAACTTAGTAATATGGTTATCAGTCCTACACACTTGCTTTTTATCTTAAAGGGGGTGAGATTAAGCATAGCAAAACAGAACAGTTTATAAGGAAACAATTTAAAGAAACATAGATTTCAAAGCAAGTACCCTGGAGATCTTCACTGTGTATCTTATTTTCTCTAGTTTTCTTCCAAATAGTTGTCCCCATCTTCACACACATTGAATATATACTGGACATTATAGAACTAATCAAATCATTACAGGATGAGGAAGGCTTTTTAGGTCTTCAAGACCTGATTTTGGGGAAGTCAATAATGTCTAGCATAATGTTTCTCAGTCTCTTCGTAGTAGCTGTCTTTATCTTTACGTATGCTGAAATTGAACATACAAGACTAGACTAATATCACTCTGAACCATGAATGATAGTATTGCTAGATTTCATATCAAATCCCCCTACTTCTTTCATGGTGCGAGTTACCTCCCCACCAAAATATTTAATGAAAATGTTAAAACAGAGAAATCAACGTGTGATTTAAAAAACAACCCACAAACATGTCAAAACTGTTCCTTATCCTATGAAACAGCAGCAGTAATGAGTAAAAAAGGTGTTAAAAACCATTATGACAGCATTTCTGAAATGCAGCCTCTCTGACTTCCCTAGAAAAGATGTGGCATGGAATAAAAAGGATTTTGAGATCTCTGGAAGGAGGATGGAGCTCTTATTGCTGTTCCCTCTGCCATCTCTTAGTAAGACATGTGCTTCTGTCTCTGGCTGTCAGGGCTTCTGGAGTCTAAAGAAAGGATGAGGAATTGGGGTGCCAGACTTCTCATCTGGGAACCTGAGCTGGTACAGGGGGACACTTTTGCAAGAGGCTGGGGGCTTCTCGTTCAAGATCCCTCCCTTGTGCTGCTCACTTAAGGAAGAGGGAGACAGATGTTAAGAAGCCACCATGTCTGCCTAACACATAGTAACTTATGTTATATATCTCAGCCACCCCTTTCTGAGCACCTTAGAATGTTACAGCCAGGAAGAAGGATTTAGCTAAGAGTAGCCCCTGCCCTATACGACTCAGAGAAATGATGCCTAAGATACCAAAACTACAATGCCAGTAGCTCTCCAAGACTTCGATTAATACAGAAAAATCATCCATCCTTCTTTCATTTTTTTGGATTTAAATTAACAGGGATATAGCTCAGTAATACAGAGCTTGCATAGGAAGCACAAGGCCCTGGGGTTCTATTCCTAGCACACAGATTAACTAACTAACTAAATGCATAAATAAATATCACGCTCAGACTTTAAAAGAAATGTTAACTCACTTGCAACTCTTGGTGAGTAGTGATCATATCTGACCCAAGATTACAAATGGGATAACCAGTAAAACCACTGTTTTGAATGAACTAGAAGTTTCTCTAAGAATTTCTCATAGGATTCAAAAACATCAGTCCCCCTGTTACGTACCAATGTCACTACAGTACAAAGACGACCTTCCTCTCTCTGCTGGAGTGGTGTAGCCCAGCTGGTTATTGACAATCAAATGGATGCTCCCACCAATTCTGAAATGTGGGAGATTAGACAGCGTAAATGTTTCAAGAACAATCCCTTGACCACAGAAAGAAGCATCACCGTGAACCTAAAACATGAGTGAAGAGAGAAAAAGAAACATGGGATTAAGTTCAGGTTTTCAGTCTGGCATAAGCCACTTTACAATACTACCGGGAATATAAACCGCCATCCTCTCCCCACTTCCTTGACTTCCTAAAGGTATTTAGGAAGATCCTAGAATGGTTTAGCTTGTCTCAAAAGCAGCCTCCAAAGCTCTTTAATCCATCCTTTTCCTCCTACAGCCACCATCAATTAAGACACGTCTTGTACCCAAGGTCACCATCCACACACATCCCTCCAGCAAAGTCCCATCTATACAGCAGCAGCATAGAAGGAGCTCTCGGGAAGCCTGCAGCAGAACAAGCCTGCGGGCACGCAGAGCAGCGCGGAGCACTGAACTCTGTCCAGCCTCAGGATCCCGGGCCCTGAGAAAGACTACACAGCTCACCTCACCTCACCCTGGTTCTCCAGGTAAATGCAGAAACATGAAGTGACAGCAAATACAAGGAGGTGTGCGCAAACGGGGACTCATCACGTGGAAATAGAAAGAGGATCCGAGGGAAAAGCAAATAGATGTCTAGAAGGTGCTGTCCTTCTAGAACATTCCAAGTCTGCATTTCAGAAAATCACCACAAAGTCCAGTATACAAACTGGTAGACAAGGGGTACTTTTTTTTCCCTAGCCATCTAAAGTGCATCAGAAGGGCATGGTAGATCTCATAATACCTACTTCATGCTAAAAGGGGATTCTCGTGTACAGCTAAAATGCTGCACTGAATTAAATGATCCGTTCTCCCTAAGGTGAGGTTACCATTGACTCTAAAAACAACAGAAATGAAAAACAACGTGAGTGAAGAATAACTCCTGGAAGGAGATTTAAAAAAAAAAAAAAAGCCACAGAAAATGTCCTAAGCAATATCATTTTTTATAGAAGTGTTTTCTCTTAAGTAATGAAGTACTCCTATACCTTTGTGAAATTCCAGGGCCCACCTTCTCAATCCATTGAATATTTTAGATATCAATACTAAGAGCATGCCTTGTGTTACTCTCCATTAATCTACTCAGCACCCAGCTGAGGACTCTTTACAATCAGGCAACCAGGGTTCAAGAAGAACATACATTTCACCTGGGTTGGACTAGCCTCTCCTACAGTATGTCCATTTTTCCTACTCCTTTTGCTAACCCACTCCTCCGATCCTTTCTCTTGGGTTAAAGAACTTAAATATACATGTTCTCATTGAATCCACTGACTATTATGAGGAATGTAATATATTTCAATTTTACCAAGGCTTAAAGACCTGAGTAACAGAACCAAGTACCCCAAACTAGAAGTTCACAGGCAGGATTTGGGAGCCTTTGCCTTTTCTACAGTGTGAAGTCCAACACTCAGCCTAACACAGGGTCAGAGTTCCCTGATAATCAGAATACTCCTTACTCTTGGGTCTTGGCTATGAGATTTCTTGGGGGACAATGAGAAAGGGTAGAATAGCAAGCAAGAGAGGTGCTTGCCTCTTCTGTATCTTCTCAGAAATTGTAAGGCAGAGCTTGGCTCATCTGATAATATCTAGTATCAACCAGTATGATTTGATCCTGGTAGGATTCATGATGCTAAAGCACGTATACATCATCTAGTGAATTTGCTCTGTGTCTTAAATCAAAAGAGACCACTACATGGTGCTGATGAGAATGTGTAAGGTAAAGGTCTTCCATAAACGCTGGATGAACTGGAAGCGAGTGAGACAAAGGGAACAGTGTGGTGGGAGACCTGGGACAGAGCTGACAAGGAGCCAACTTTTCATCAGTGCCAGGACCAAGGTAAACACAAGACAGGCAGGAAACGGTGGCCCTGCAAAGCTAACCTCTGTTACTTCACAGGCTCCAAGATGAGAAGAGTCCTCACAACACATGAGAATTGCTCAAGGACAGAGACACACAGACAGCTCGGGCACTTTGGAAACACAGAATAGACAAAGGAAGGCAGTTGTCGTTTTAAAGAGAACGCCATCTCTGCCTCTATGTCAAAAGTTATTCTTAAGATCTGCTTAATGTACTGGGTAAATACGAATGATTTCTACGTAGATACATCACATCATATTCAGATCCAATTCTGTTCATCCCCAATGTTTGTGAAGAGTTTCTGACCCATGAAAAGTCAACATGACTGGGATATATGGCTATTTGTATACACAGCAGAATATTCTAGAAGTCCGTGTCATCCACAGACTCTATCACTGATATCCACAATTATTTTCTAATAGTTAAAGCTCCATATTTAAATCAATACTAACTGAAGAAAACATGACCCACAACCCAAATCTCATAGATATCTAACGAGTTACCAAAAAATTGGTGGTGGGGGTGGCGTAGTTAAGATGAAAAAAGTGACCCTTAATCTGCATTCTTTGCTTTATGTCAATGGCCTTCATTTTATTAGAAAAAAATTTTTTTCAGTGCTGGGACTCAAGCTCAGAGCCTCAAGTGTGCCTGGCAAGAGTTCTACCACTGTTACAATCTCCAGCTTTCAAGGTCATCATTTTAAAACAAAACAGCAAACCAGGTAAACCCACACACACATGCATGTATACAGCATAAATTCCTGGGTGGCCACGGTTTCACAGAAGTAGCCGCCTGACTTCTTCTATTTCTTTCTTAGCTACCAGTAAGAGTTGTGCTATTCCGTCTGGGAGGTGCAGTAATTTGCCCTTCGGAGGAAAGGACGCTGCTCCCCGCTCCCATCTCCCCTCTCCCACTGCCTTTCCCCTTCCTCCTCTTCCTTCCTCTCCCTCCCCTTGTCCCTTCCTGAGTATCTGCTATGTACATTCATCATGGTGGTGCTTCTTATGCTGTGCCTGACATTGCACACGCTGGCCAATGTGTGCAGGACAGTAGCCTCAGGACCTGGTCCTTTCCTAGCTCCATTTCTGCCCAGCATCCTCTGACTTAACCCTTTTCTTTACTGGTGTATGTGTGTGACACACAGTATTTGTTTAGGGGAATTCGTACCTACATGTCCAAACTCAATCATTTTCCATCTCCTTCCCCTCAATTTTCCTCCCTTCCTCATCTCCAAAGAGCCTCCCTCCCTGTCTCCTACTATCCCTCCTGTATTTTACTGTTTGATTTATTTGTATTTTACATTTCTCATATAAAAGAAATCATGTGATATTTAACCTTCTGTATCTGATTTATTTCACTCACTGTGGTTTCAAGAGTCAACCAGGTTCCTATAAATGACTCAAATTCATTCTTTCTTATGGCTGAATAATGTCCCACGTGTGTATATAACACACTGTCTATCCACACATCTGCTGATGTCCATCTAGAAAGTATCCACAATTTAACTGCTTTGACATGTTCTGATATAAACACGGGTATGCATATACAGTAGGATGCCCGTAACTTTATTTGGAAAACACCCAGGAGAGGCAGAGGAAGGTCTAATGGAATCCCTGGTTTAGTTGTTTAAGGACTCTCCATGCTGATTTCTGTAATGATTATACTAGTTTCCATTCCCTTAAGAGTGCACAAGGGCTCCTTTCCCCAACATCTTCACCAACATTTGTTGTTTCTTGATGAACCACTCTGAGAGAAGTAAGATGGAAATTCAGAGTTGTTTTCATTTGCATTTCCCCATGGCCAGAGAGGCTGAACATTTTTTAGTGTATTTATTGGCCATCTGTACTTCTTGTCAGTAGTGTCTATTCATTTAATCTGCCCTGTTTTTTTATTGGTCAACTGCTTTTGGCAGTCTAATTTTTTCGAGTTAAGATACCTCCTGTTCCTGGATAGACAGAATCAATATCATCAACATGGCCATATTACCATGATAAGGTTAAACACAATTCCTATCAAAATACCAACATTCGTCACCGAATTAGAAGAAAGAATCCTGAAATTTATATGGAATAAGAAGAGACTCAAAATGATCAAGCAATCCTACCCAAAAAGAGCAAAGCAGGCAGCATGACAATCCTAGATTTCAAGTAATTCTAGGAAGCCATAGTAACAAAAACAGCCTGGTAGTGGCACAAACACAGACCAGACCAATGAAAGAAAAGACACAGAAATAAGCCAAGCACCACACCCACATGATCTTTGACAAAGGGGCTAACCCCATAGGCTAGAGAAAAGACAGCCTCTTTAACACGGTGCTGGAAAACTGCCTATCTACCTGCACAAGACTGAAACTAGACTCCTTTCTCATTCTGTCCTGAAATCAAATCAAAATGAATTGAAGCTCTATATGGAAGAACGGAAACACTGAAATTGATGGAAGACAAAACAGGAAAAACACTAGAAGCTACAGACCTAGGCAAGGACTTCCTAACAGAAGTCCAACAGCACATGGAACCAATAAACGTGATTACATTGAATTGCAAACTTTCAGCACAGCAAAAGGCACAGCTGTCCTTTTAAAGGAGAAGCTACAGCAGTTGATACTCATCAAGTAATTCACAAACCAAGAAAGGAAAAATACATGGGAACCCCTGGCTAAAGACACTTGCTTTGAGGCAGAGGTTGTGTCTGCTCTGAACTTTTAAAAGCACCTCAGAATCATCTTTTCCCCGAATCATCTTTTCCTTTCCTCTTACGTGTCTGTCATCTCCCATCAGATGTACGAACCCAGGTGCTCTTTCCTCCTGTTTTTCCCAACCTCTCATCTCCTTTCTTGAAATCTCAAGTACCTGCAGGCAAATGACTCTGTCCCCAGGCCGGCCAGAGCCATCTACAGAATAGTCCCCGTCCTGGCGAGACTGCTGCCTGCCCCGGGTTTTCCCAACGGCCACGGGGTTAACAGCTTCAAGATGGGAGGGATTAGGCAGCACTGTCACGTGGAGGGGACTGTGGGCACCAAAGTCCAGGTCCACAGAGGAGGTCAGGTGAGACAGGACGTCTCCAGTGGCCAAGGAATGCTCTGGAAATTCGCTTAAGCCTTGCATTTTCCGGAACATCAGCTAGTAGGAGTAAACATACAAGTTAATTAGCTAAGGAAAAGGTGGTTAGCTTAAATAATACACAAAAATAAATGCTATATAAACATTTTTACAATTATTACAAACATACGCTAGTTAAAGATAGGCACAGCCGTCTAACTGCTAGGTTTCTTTGAACTGTTGAGAAAGTTTCAGGATCCAATGAAGTGCTAAAATTTTAAGAAGGGTCTAATCTGAGGCAAATGGTAAGTAACCTCTGCCTTGCAGTAATCTAAGAAACTTTTATTTTCTGAGACAGAGTCTTCCTGTGTAGTTCAAACTGGCTTTGAACTCCTGTGTAACCCCGGCTGGCCTCGAATTCATAGTGATCCTCCTCCTCAGCCTCCCTAATCTGGTCTGGGGTACAGGTGTGCACCACCATGCCTAACTTAAGCAACTTCATAAAAATACACCTGTCAGAATATATTTGCCAAAAGTCCTTTGCTTTAGGTTGATGAAGGTGGGGAGGACTCCAACAGGATGGAAAGCAATCTCATGTAGAGACAGGATGATGGACACTGCTCAGATGTCCATGGGACAAGATGTAAAGCCTCCATCATCCAACTCGCAAGATCTCCCTGCATACATCCACCGGCTTCTCTCTGTCTTCTACCACGTAGGCGTGACCCATTTTGAAAATGAACAAATAAATAAAACGTCAAAGTCTTGAGCTAGTAAATAATACCAAGGTATTTACTAAACTCCCCATGTTATTCTAAAGTATCCAAACTTTGATCTGAACTTTTCTTTAGCTTCCAAAAACTTTTTATTAACTTATCTATACATGTATACATATAGATGTATAGGTGGATACATCTATATGTATTCTTGCACAGTGCAGGCACACATTCCTCACAAATACGATAATTTATAATCATTTCTGCATGTTTTATCTGGGAAATTTTAGGATTGTAATTTCCTGTCTAAGAATTACGGCATTTCTTTAGACATAGTCTCTCTGAAATCTTTTTAGTCTCATATTCTACCTTTTCCAAGGTACTTGTCTTTTAAAAGCTGTTTATCAGTGTAATAATATCAGAACAACTAAGGTATGAGGAGAACTGGTGAGTCTGGACCAGAGGCTTGACACTATGTGTGAATACACATGTGCCAGTGTACATGTACATGTGTGCACATGTGTGCGTGTGTGTGTAGGGACAGGAACTTGCTATATCGCCCAGGCTGACCTAGAACTCCTGGACTCAAGCAATCCCTTTCCCCCAGCATTCCAAGAAGCTGGGACTCACACCCATGGGACCCCGCGTGCGTTTTCTAAGCCTTCATGCTAATATGTGTATTGTTCCCCGAATTCCCTGTGTAGTTCAGGCTGGCTTTGAACTCACCGAGTAACCCAGGCTGGGTTCACTGTACCTACATTTATACTTATTTTTAATCTCCTGTCCTAGAACAGTAATAACATTAATATGTGCAAAATGGATCACATATCAGATCTCTATGATGTTGCCCGACACAAAACCTTCATTCTTGCCTTTTGTGATTTACAAAACAGCTGGACTGGAACAACAGGAAACCAAGATCCAACTACTTATAAACACTGTGGATCTCCCCCACCACTTTCCCTCTGCTGGGATTGAACCCAGGCCCTGCACATGCTAGGCAAGTGCTTCACCAGGGAGCTACATCCACAGACCTTGGTGGTCTCGAGATAACAATGTGTTATTGCTTTTAGTACAATCTATTAACTCTACACTAAGCAAATAATGGATCCATGGCTTCTTACAAGGTAAAACTGTATAAAATTGGGCAAATCTTTGTGTTATTTGAACAATTGGTATTAAATGAGAAAACATGTTGTAAAGAACATAACTCAGGTCTCTTTACCTCATTCTTAAGGAAACAAACCAAACTTTAACTTCCGTAAGAGGAAGAAAAATCTATATAAGAATGTACAGTACAGCTGCGCATGGTGTTGCATGGCTATAATCCCAGCACTTGGGAGGCTGAGGCAGGAGGATCTCTGCAAGGTTGAGGCCAGCATGGGTTACACAGCAAGTTTAAGGCCAGCCTGAACTAAATAGTGAGACTCTCTCAAAAAAAAAAAAAAAAAAAAAAAATGTACAAAAAGTTAATCCCAGTACCACTTCTCTCTGTCAGCACTAATTTCCACCCATTTACAAAAGTATCTCCAGGAAACACCTCTATCAGTCTTACCGTGCTATGGTGGGTTGTACAGTGCGCTGGCGATAGCACTGCAAGGACCCTTACCTCTGGAGGCAAGTGAAGAAGGCCTGTCAGCAAATTCAGCCTCCCTCGGTGGGGCATCCCGATGACCACGTCGGTGACCCCGCTGTACGCGGCCATCTTCAGCAGCTCGTGGAAGAAACCCATCATGCTTTCGGCTCCTTCGCCTCCATACCGCTTCACAGTGGCAAACTTGGTGGCCAGAAAGTGGTCAAATTCCTGTGGGACATCCCGACAGACGGATCAGTGCCAGCAGAGGGCCAGAGGCTCAGGTGAAGGGCAGATGGTTTGTGTGTGCCATCAGGAGACCCACATTACCCCAGGGCGTGCATCCCCGGGAGACTGGAGCGACCTAGGGGGGCTCTGACCAGGGCACAGGAGCAGCAGCGGCCAGGCCGGGGAAGGACCAGATTAGGGGAGCCACACACCCCACAAGGGCCCCTGCGGAGTGTGCTGTAGCCCAGTCCTGGCTTCAGCCAACCTGCAGTGTTACTTCGTCAGGGTGGCTCACTACTGAACTGCCCAAACCACTGGAAAGAGCCTGCTTGTCCTGACGTGGCTGCTCTGCTTCCACGGCCCTGGCAGAATGTGGTCCCACTAATCTGTGTTGAGAGCATCTTCCATTACTGCATAGTATTTTGAACACTTTGGAAAACGAAAAGAAGTAAATTACTACAGACTTTGTCTTTTTTTGTTTCCCGTCCAGGGCCTTCACGCTAAGCTACATCCCTAGTCCTTTTTTTGTATTTTTAATTTTGAAATAGCATCTTGCTGAGTCTCTAAATCGTCCGCGCTGGGGTGGAATTTGTGATCCTCCTGCCTCAGCCTCCCAGAGTGCTGGGATTATAGGTGAGCACCATCGCATTCCGCAAAAGCACCTCGACTCAGGAGAACCAGTGGCTCAAATGTCTGGCGATCCGCTCTGTTTTTATTTAGATACAGTGGTATGTGTTACACTGTCTGTTGGAGCAGCAGGGCAAGAGAGAGGGCCCTAACCTCAGAGTCAGTGCCTTAACTTCCTCTTCTCAACAGCTGTATACAGAACTTTTGTTGGAGATGAGTTGATCTGTCCCACTGACAGTAGCTGCTACTTTTATACCTGAGATTCCAGCATTAGCTTTGATAGGTGCTTCCGCTCTTCTAGGGTAAAGGTCTCCTTTTTCAGCTCCTCAAACCGCCTGGCAAACCAGTCTTTCTCCTCCTGGCTCTGAAGCTGAGCAGTTTCAATAGCGATCGGTCCACAGTAGATCTGGCCGAGGTAGGCTAACACTTCCTCCAGAGAGGCCTCCTCCTTCCCCATGTCCAGTAATCCTGGACACAGAAGGGGGGACGTCATTTTAAAGATTTTAAAGAAATAATTCTGCCGCGCACCAAAATCCTACAATTCCTTCGATTCAGAGCACTTCACTGTTAACGACCTGAGTTATTATCAACAATTCTTTATTTTCCTCCCTCTCTCCTTCTCTCCCTTCCTTCCTTCCCTCTGTCCTAGGGATGGAACCCAGGGCCTCTTTCCTATACAAAAGTACTGTATCTCTGAGCTCAAACCTCGGTCCTGTTTACATTTTTTTCTAAAGGCAAAACTAAAAATATTATTAAAGGCTATAAACCAGTAAAATAAGGAGAGGAAAAAACACCTTCTTCACAAAGACACAATCCTGCTGCTTTTTCCAAATTTTGATGCTATAGTAATTTCACACTAGACTTTGAAGCCTTGTGGGATGTGGCTCAGTGGTAGAGCCTTTAAAAAAAAAAGGAAAAAATTAAAAAATAAAAATAATAAAACAATTTCAAAACAGGCTAGTAGGAAAGTAACAAGAACTAATACACTGTATATTGTTATCTTCAAAGTAGTTACTCAGAGGATAAGATATAGGCATGAAAGATTGTCCAAACAGTATTAGCTCAAATCTTTCTTTTCAATGAACTATGAAAAATTAGCTGTATAAGTATCTTAACTCTCTTGTGTGTGTATGTATATATTCTTTCCTTTTTCTTTTCCTTCTTCCCCTTTCCCCCACTGCAGTTTCTCTTTGCTTTTGAACAATTTCCTCCCAATTCACAATCTGTATTGTACATTTTAGATTTTATTAACTCATTCAGTTTCTCTCACTAGTGAGACAATATGATGTTTACACATGTGGGTCTGATGTATTTTAATTATGAGTACAGTCTAGAGTCGCATACTTTTACCTATAAAAGTCTCAAATTTATCCTTCCTTATGGCTGAGTAGTACTCCATTATTTAAAAAAAAAAAAAAAAAACCTTTTTTACCCATATCTCAGGAGATGGGCATTTGGGTTGTTTCCATGATCTGGCTATTACAAATTGTGCCGCTATAAACATGCCTATACATATATTATTACAGTATAATGTTTTTAATTCTTCTGGGAAGACATCTAGAAGGGGAATAGCTGGGTCTAATGGGACCTCTAGTCCTAGTTTTTTGAGGAACCTGCACACTGACTTCCACAGCGATTCCACCAGTCTGCACTCCCACCAACGGTGGAGACGGTGTCCTTTTTCCTCAAATCCCCTCCAGCATTCATTATTGGTAGTTTTTTTTGATCCTGGCCATTCTTTCAGGAGTGAGACAGAACTCAGTGTTGTTTTAATTTGCATCTCTCGAGTGACCCTTATGCCTGTTTTTGGATTGGGCTTTAAACTAGTGGCAAAGATTCTGCCTATGTGGGCAGTGCCCCGAATTTGAGCCTTAGCACCAATAACAAAAAACAAAAAAATAAAGCAAAAGCCAAACACAGTGGTAGACTCTTGTAATCCAGCTGTTTGGGAAGCTGAAGCAAGAGGACCACTAGCTGGAGACCAGCCTAGAAAAACTTCCCAAGATTGTCGCAATTTTTTTTTTCAAAACGGTCTTGCTATGCAGCTCAGGCTGACCTTGAATCTACTGGGTAAGCCAGGCTGGCCTCAAACTCATGGTGATCCTCCTGCTCAGCCTCCCCTCCCAAGTGCTGGGATTACAGGCATGCAGTACCACACCCAGTTCAAAATTGGTAGAGATAGACCCATCCCTAGCACCACCACTATCACCACCACCAAAAAAAAGAGATAATAATAGTAAAATTTAACACCTATCTTATATTTGCCTTATAGCTGTAACTTACACATCCCGCCTGTATGTGCCAACATTTTCATCTTACTGATATCTATAATGCAATATAAATTAAGGAGTGGTTCATCTTAAGGTGAAGTTAAACATGGATTTATAGCAAAGCAGCATTTTATTTTATTTTGTTTTTATTTATTGTCTTTTTTTGAGGCAGGGTCTCCCGAAGCAGTTCGAGCTGGCCTTGAACTCACTTTGTAACCCAGGCTGGTCTCAAACTGGCAATGATCCTCCTGCCTCAGCCTCTCAAGTGCTGGGATTACAGGTGTGAGCCACATTCTAAAGTAAAGCAAATGTTCTTGAATGCCAGGCAAAGAGAGGAAGTTTGTTTAGGGCATTGGTCATTCGCTCACTCCTACAACTATAGTTAAACAAAATATTTACTTTATGTTGCTAATGGCCTCTTAAAATAATGTATTTAAATTTTAATACTGATTAAGAGCCAGGGATATAGTTCAGTGGCATAAGCACCTGCCTCACAAGCACAGCGTCCTGAGTTTGATTCTTGGTACCAAAGAAAAAAATGTAATACTGGTTGACTGTTCAACTCACAAAAGCTGCTTTGTAGCCAGCAGCAGTGACACACACCCGTGACACCAGCATTCTGGGAGGCTGAGGCAGAAGGACTGAAAGTTTGAGCCTAGGCTATAAAGCATCCTAGTGACACCTTGTCTCAAAATGAAAAATTTTAAAAAGGTGTGAAGATGCAGCTCAGTGGGAAGGCCCTGGAGTCAACCCCTAGTACAACAACAACAACAAAGCTTTGCATGTTGTACAACCTCTTTCTGTCTCACTTTTAATCTGTAAAGTGGGAACAATCAAGGTGCCTCAGGGAGTGGTTATGAAGAAAAAATGAACTAAGATCTCACATGCCGATCACTGGATAAAGGAACAAACAAACTGATACAGACATGAAGGAGAATATTACTCAGCCAATCAAGGATGGACCGATTCGCGCTACAACCCCGGAGAACCCTGAAAACATTTCACAGAGTGAAAGAAGTCAGACACAAAAGGCCACATGCTACATGATTTCAATGCTGTGAAATGTCCACAACAGGCAAATCTACAGGGATAAGAAGTGGATTGCAGGGGTGGGCAGCAGAATGAGGGGTGACTGCTTCATGAGTATAGGGTTTCCTCTCGGAGTGATGAAATGTCCTGGAACATTACTAGTGGTCACCTGGTGACTAGAAGTCACCTGTGGCTCAGCAGTAGAGTGCCTGCCCCTACCCTCAGCACCACAGTAAATAAACAGGAGGAGGACCTCAAGATCCTTGGCTAGGAAAGAAAAATCAGATGAGCAGGTACAGCTTTGGGGTGGAAGCAAGAGTTGGGGCATCGCCCTACAGCTGCCTCTTGGCAGCCACGAGTTCCTTACGTTCTGAGTCTATTTCCCTATTCTGTAAAACAGAGATGACAACTATCTTTAGGGTGCTTGTGAAAAGGATTTGACGTAATACGTGTAAAGCAGGTAGCACAGAACAGGTGTTTGACATGCTTTGAATGCCGAGGAAACCGATCCTTTCAGAACATTCCAGGACCTTAGGACTTGTCTCGGCCTCCAGGGGACCCAGGTTCTCCCAGTCCCCAGTGGGCAGGTCTCCCCCACGAGGCCCCCTTACCTGAGGTGCGGAAGGGGCCCTGCAGGCTCTGCACCAGGGCCTGGATCTCAGGCACGCTGTCCAGCGGGGCGTGTCCAGCGAGGAGGGGGTTGATTTCCGCAGCTTTGTGACCATGCTCACAGTAGGCTGTCACCAACCTGGCAAGGCCATGATCAACTAAATGGAGGGAAAGAAAGGGTACCGGTGAGGAGATGTCCACAGACTACAAAAACCAACTTCCAAAGACACTGCAGCCTTACACAGTAGCACAGGCCAGGCGCCCCTCTGGCAGGCTTTTCAGATTAAAAACCATTAGAATGCGGTAAACAAACCTCTTGTTAAATTTATCTCATGACAGCCATCATCTGTGAACAAATATGCACAAAAAACAGAAGAGAGAAGACCACAAATAAGCATGAAAAAATATTAAAAGGCAACACCCAACACTGAAAATTACTGTTAAAATGCTGAGATGACACCTGCCGTCCTCTTTATTATGAGATAATTTTATATCTTCCATTAAAAAATAGAAATAGGTAAAACTACAAAATCAATGCTACATTACCCTATTTCTTAAAGACTCCAGGTGCAGTTATTTTATAAAACTGTAGGCTAGGTAAGTTCTGTAGTTTTTCATCACTCACATAATGAAAAGAAATTTCCCCAGAAAGCCAAAGATAAGTGACCCCCTTAAACAGGGGGGTGGGTGGGGTGTCGATGAATTTGATTCATCATTTTGTCAATGAAAATGATTCCAGCATTTATTTATTTTTTGAGCAGCATAAAGAGGTTTGTTAGGCAGAATTTCAAATGTGTCCATACAAGGCCAGGCATAGAGGCACATGCCTGTAATCCCAGCACTCCGTAATCTCAACACTTGGGGTGCTGGGGCATGGGGACTGCCACAAGCTCAAGGCCAGCCTGCTCTACATGGTGGACTCACCCTGAGTTACACAGTGAGACCCAGCCTCAAAAAAACAAATCACACACACAGCACACAGTGAAGGCCCTGAAGACAGGAAGGTTATGGATAGGGATGGGGGGTTTTATGCAGACTTGTGGGTGTCCTCAAGATGAATAAGCCAGGATATATATTCCTAGCATCTTAGTCCATTTTATATTGGCCCCCAAAGGTGTTTTTCTTTTCTTTTCCATATGAACGTCTTAACATTTTAAAAAAAGTTCTTTATGCTCACACTCAATGAACTTTCAGTCTATTCAGGCTATTCCACAAACTCACCACAAAACCCTAAAAATCAACAGATCTTCTATTGAGGGTACACAGTTTTTGAGCAATTAAAAAATTTGTGTATTTCAGAAACCCCTCCCCCCACAAACAGCATATTTCAAAATTGCACCTATTTTATGAACAAATCATGCCATGCAATTATTTCAGAGCCACACATGTGCTTGGGTTTGCATCCTATGCCTGCCGTAGCATAAGCAAAGAGACATAGGAATGTGGATGGGACAGGTTTGCCTCCACATAGCAGTTAGCTGGGTGCGTTACATTTACGTCAGTTACCTCTGATTTACTTCCCACTTGGGTCTTGGCTGGTCGGCATATCCCTCTGATGGAGGACATACCCTTGTGTCTTTCAAAATAAAATCCCTGTTTGTTTGTTTTTTTGTTTTGTTTGTTTTCTAAGACAAGGTCTCACAGTGTAGCCCAGGGTGGCCTTAAACCCACAGCCTCAGTCTCCTGAGTGCTGGGATGAGGGGCATGTACCACCATGCCTGGCTTCCCTAGTTTGCTTAAAATAGCCAAAATTGGTTTCTTTTGCTTCTGACCAAAATAACCCAACTATTGCAAACATGTTTTTAAAAACCTATGCTAGAAATACCTGCTAACATCAATTACTTTATTCTCAGCTACAAGCAAATGTGGTGGTGGTTGGGGGAGTCTCTAAATAGTTTTTGTTTTCAGGAAGAAAAGTGCTCTTGTTAGCTGGCATGAAAGTTGACTGCCAAATAACTAAATTGATATTTCCATGAAAAGTCAGTGTAGTTATTTTTGATCACCTGGTCATAAACAGCCTCCCCTCAAAATATTCCACAGGGGGCTGGGGATTTAGCTCAGCGGCATAAGCGCCTGCCTTGCAAGCAGGCAGTTGTGAGTTCAATCCCTGGTACCGATAAAAATGAAAAAAGACAAAAAAAAAAAAAAAAAATTCCACAGGACAGTTAATTTGCATTCAAGGCTGCAGCTTAAAGTAACAGGGAGCACTGAGCATTTCTGAAGATTTTAGAGACTTGTGAGCATGGTAACTTCACAACTGGATCTCTCACAGTTCTATTAAAGTGAGCTGGCTGTCCCAGCTGTACCTCAGGGGTTTAACAGGCAACCTCAGCACAGGCCAGATGACAGCACCAGAGCATCCTGAGGTGCAAACTCACACCCAGCCCAAGCAGGGATGTTCACCTTTTATCACACTGTCCCCTCCCGTCTCAAGCGTGACAGCTTCTGAAAAGAAATCTATTTCATTGGATATGCTCCTTAGAAACTAAAACAACAACAACAAAACTGTAAACAGGAAGCTCATTCTGATTCTTTCAGGGTTTCCCCTTACTCTTTCTTAAATCATCGCCAAGGTAGATGAGTCTGCTTCATGAAGCAATAATAAATGATACAGAGCATTTATTGAGCACTAATATTCAGGCTGGATTCTTTCACACACATTGTCGTACTTCACCATTTCAACAGCTCTCAATAAATGTCTTTATCTGCATAAGGGCAAGCTGAGGTCCAAAGAGAGAAGATGTCTTACCAAAGTGGTCAAAAAAAGAAGCAGCAGCAGCAGCAGCAGCAGCAGCAGCAGCAGCAGCAGCAGAAGAAGAAGAAGAAGAAGAAGAAGAAGAAGAAGAAGAAGAAGAAGAAGAAGAAAAGGAGGAAGAGGAAGAGGAGGGGAAGGCTGGAATTTGAACTCAAGTGTGCTTGTCTTCAATTTGTTGCTCTGTCCATTATAACACAACAAAAGTTGAAAATGGCAGTCCCAAGCCTAGCAAAAGGGACCAGGGAACCAGCTCTCATTAAGGTATTTTTTAAAAAGGCATAGAAAGGGTTGGGGATGTAGCTCAGTAACAGAGCACTTGCCTGGCATATGGAAGGCCCTAGGTTTAGTCCCTGCTAATTGGAAGGCTGAATCAGAAGAATCCCTTGGGCTTTGGAATTTAAGCCCAATGTGGGAAAACATGCAATCCTGTTTTTTAAAAAAAGACAGAAGAGCTAGGCACGGGGGTGCATACCTGTAATGGGTATGCACCAATGACGGGTAAACCCAGCACTCAAGAGCCTGAGGCAGAAGGATCACCATGAGTTTGAAGCCAGCCTGCATTATATGGCAACACTGTATCTCAAAAAAAAAAAAAAAAAAAAAAAAATCAAAAAGAAAAAAAGAATAGGGGCTAATGTCTTTAGCCCATTTTAATCTGCATCTGTGTTTCAGAACTATCCATATTTTCCAAAATCTCTACTGCATTCACGTTTTCATCTCTTTCCCCCCTGACTCCAGTAAGGGATCTTATTATTTCCAACATGTGACAACTTTCTGGTCTCACTTCAGCCGCCTTGGCTCAGGGAAGCAGCCATCACCATTCTAACCAGCATCTGCATCTGATAGCTTCTGAGGTATCTTCCAGGAGGCTGTAAGCTCTGCCATTTTTCTTCGTAACACACATCCCAAATCTTGTATGATGAAACTCATACCTGTAAATCACCATTCCTAAACCCACTTGAATTTTAATTTACTTATTTTTAGTTTATATTTCTTGTTGGCTGTCGTGGGTACTGAACCCAGGAAGTACCAAGCTACATCCTCAGCCCTTTTTACTTTTTTGAATTTTGAGACAGGTATTCACTAAATTTCCCAGCCTGGATTGAACCTTGAAATCCTCCTGCCTCAGCCTCCCACGTATTTATTATTGCTACCTTTTTTTGCAGTGATGGGGATACTACCCAGGGGCTTGCACAGGCTAGGTAATTGCTCTGCCACTAAGCTATACCCCCACCTCCATACAAGTTGAGATTTTTGATCAATAAATTCAAATTTAATGCACAAAGACCTGAGGTCAATCATGCTCATCAAAAGAAAAAAGATTCAAGGTTACTTGGCAACTGAGGTTTATAGATTAAAGTACAAGCTATTATTAATACCTAGCTGCAAAGAACACTTAACATGGGTCAATTTTTTAACTGGTGAAACCAAAAGGTTACAGAAAGCAAAGCCAATATTTATTTAAAGCCTTAATAAGAGGGAAGGTTTAGTGAGTGTTATGGGCATCCTAGGGAGAAACTGATTTTAGCCAAGAGAAACATAGACACATAGAAGACCAATGACGGGCAAAGAAGAGTAGGGAGACCCCATGACCCTGTCTCACTGTGTCACTTCTGATGCATTCATTCCCAGCAGAGTCTGTCCCTTGACTACTACCCCAACACCAAAAAGTTACATTCATGATCCATCACACCAACTCAGTCTTCCTCTTGTCCAATATGGTGTCCTTCCTGGCAAGTGGTACATGGCAAAAAGAAAGCTAGAGCCTCTCCAACCGTGTCTCTGGCTCAGAAAACTTACTCTAATTAGAATGGACTATGAGCACATACATATGCAGAATTTAAAGAAAAACCAGAAAGTCTTGATTGTCTTCCTCAGCAACAAGTAGAGTAACAGTGAATTGTACAATATGTGAAGGCTTCCTCCCTTAATAGTTAGTCTTAGGGTTCTGCATGCAAAATTCAAATGTAACTAAATGTCGCAAATGCATTACACATAGAAAAGGCTGTTTCTATTTGCTAATAAGAATGATGAGGTCAAGGTGCAGCTACCGAATCAGCAAGTGGGGGTGGAGGGAATTCAGCTCTGCTCCCAGGAGGGATTCTATCTGGGATCTCTGGGCAACACAGAAAAATTCAGAGCACTTAGGGGAGGAGGACCTGGGGCTGGGGTGTAGCTCCATTGCAGGTTACCTGTTCAACATATACCAGGCCTTGAGTTCAATTCCTAGTACTGAGAAATAAAAGCCAAAAGAAGTGGTTCTGGAGAGGCCAAGAAGATTCACCCCTTCTTCGGGTACAATCACCTGCTATGGGGTACATTTAGACAGTGGGAGCTAGCGTGGCCCCAGATAACAAAGGGTGCTGACTCTGTACTACAGCCCACAATTCAGACAGTCTCAAGGGAAACACCTTTAAAGTTAGGAAGCAAGACAAGAAAATACAAGAGCTCACTTTTCAGGCTTAACATCTTTCTAGGTAAGCTCTTTGATAGTGGCAACTTGTTTTTATGAATGACCACTGATGAACACTGCAGATCTATGACGTTTAGGAGAAAATATCACTGCCAAAGAAATCTCAACTCTGGCCAGAAAAACCAAACCAAACAAAAACTCTAACTGATGGATGATCCCTGAGGTAACTTTCAAGCTCGTAACCTTTTCAAAATAAAGCAGGTCGGGCCAAGGATACAGCTCAGTGGCACAAGAGCCTGCCTGGCAAGCACAAGGTCCTGAGTTTGACTCCCAGTACCAAAAATAAATAAATAAAATTAAATCAGGTCATGAAAGATGTAGGCTTGAAGGAGGTCACACCCTCCACGGCCACGTCAGCTGTGACCACAGAAGATGACAGATATGAAAAAATCCATGAGACCACGGCAGGGAGGCAGATGGAAGGTAGAGTTAGGGAACCAAGTGAACTAATGAGCACAGAACATGGTCACATCAAACAGCCACCGCCATTTCTTCCTAACAGGTTTTGGTGTGGGGTTCGAGCCTGTGACTGCTCTCCATTCCTCACTCTAAGGATGAGTGATCATTTACTCTGTGTAATGAACGTGTGTACATGGAGTGGGTGGCAGTTCACATAGTTCCAGACCTGCCTAGCCTCAGCCAGCCTGGGAAAGGAGATGGCACAAAGTCCAGAGATGATGACTTTGAGCTGGATCCAGAGGAAAAAGGAGGTGAACAACTTGTAGAGAACAAAAGGGTAGAGCGTGGAGCAGTGTAACTGTTTTTTCAAGATCAAATTTATTCTTCTCTCAGGATGATTTTCAGCTAGAACATGGTCTCTCTAGAAGAAGACAAAGCTCTCCAGTCTCCCTCCTGGCACAGATAGATAATGACCAAGTTATATACAACAGTCCTCTCTTTTTCTCCCACACAGCCTAGTAGGAGGTAATTAATAATCTACCCAAAGACTTCTGATCATGGAACATGCCTGTAATCCCAGCACTCTAGGAGACTGAGGCAGGAGGATCACAACTTCAAGCTCAGACTGGGCTGGCAATTGACAGACTGAGAGAGATCCTTTTTCAAAATTTAAAAAAAAAGGGGCTGGGGATTTAGCTCAGCAGCATAAGCACCTGCCTTGCAAGCAGGCGGTCATGAGTTCGATCCCCGGTACCGATAAAAACGAAAAAGACAAAAAAAAAAAAAAAAAAAAAAAAAAAAAGATTAGGGATGCAGCTCAGTACATGGGCACTAAATTCAACCTCTAGTACCACACACGAAACAAAGTCCTGACAAAATTGTCTGAAATAGAAAAAAACTTCACAGATCTACATGAAACAGTGATCTGCAAACTTTATTCCATTTGCTATTCAAAAAATAAGGAAAATGAAAATAAAGATCTTATTCTTAGCAACAAAATTCTTTAAGCCAGATCCTGCCATAGGCAACTGTTTCCAGCAAGATTTCATTCTTCCTTTCCAGGACCAAGCAAGACTGGAGTCCGCATCTGCAGTTCTAATTCAATATTAAGTTTTCTGAGGAAACCTAGAAGCTCACAACAGACTAAGTTCACTATAAGTGGAAGAAGTGGGGTCTTTGGGGAAGAGGGAAGGGGAAAGGTGTTGCATATAAACTCAACTCCAGAGGTATTTCTCAAAACACACTAGCCCAAAGCTCCCAAGATGATTCTGAGACAATCTTCCAATTGAGAGCCACTGCCTAGGTTAATAAATATTCACCTGCTGGACTCTTAATAAGAAACCAGGCCCTGGTTGTGAGGGGAGAAGCCAAAGGAAGTCAGAGAGTGTGTACATTAAGCACATAACATTATCCAGCTTGTCCTGCACACGCATCCCTTGTGACTGAAAGCATTGGCCAAGGGTGACCAAGGGCTTCTTTGTTACAGAACTGTGCAGAGTGCCCGATAAAAACACAGATTCCTGGGTAAGAAGCATAGCTCAGTGGCACACACAAGGCTCTTCATTTGACCCCAGCACCACAAAGAAAAAGGTGAAAACAGACCATATTCTGAACCTCACCTCAGATCACTGAATTAGAACCTGGGGGAGAGGGAAGGGGTGACATCTGGGAACTGACACTGTAAATATTTAAATCACTTTAATGCCCCTCTGAGTCTCTCTCTCTTTTTTTTGGGGGGGGGGGAGGAGATGGAGATCTCACAGGGTAGTCCAGGCTGAGCCTTGAACTAATAACAGTTGTCTTGCCTCAGCCTCCCAAGTGCTGGGATTACACGTGTGAGCTACCACACCTGGTTTCCACATCTGAGTCCAAGAACAACTAACATAAACTTCAAGGGGACAGGAGGTGTGGCTTAGTGGGAGAGAAAGGCCTGGGTTCTGTGGGACATCGGTGGTTCTAAACGCTACTTTACAAAGTGAAATAAAATACCTACATCAGGGAGTGACAATCCAGTTGGCCAAAGTGTTTTTTTAATAGTATGTAAAAGAAGAAATGAGGCTTTTGTCCCCTTAGGAGTAGAGCAAAACACCGACAGTCCAGTGTGTGATGTAAGATTCAAAGGTCAGGTTTTAGACTGAGGAGATCTCCAACACTAATCCAATCTTTGGATCAAAGTTTCAAATGCTTTTTCTAGCGACCACTTTGTATCCATCCATTCTGTGAAGATAAACGGAAACTGAGTAACTTTAGTGCAGAAACTGAATACTCAACATTAGTCTTTCACACGTGTATGCAATAGCGATTCCAAGCCTGGTATTTAAGTCTGCAAAACCACCAGCGACATGGTTCTAAATTCCACAGTTTAAATTTCTTAAACTCAACAGAAAGGCTAGAAGTTATCCTTTGGGTAAATCTGGGGCTGGGCTATCCTATGACTTCTCTTTCTCTACAGCCTAAGCCGCAAACAGCTTGCACAATTCCCACACATTCAATCCCATGAAGTATTCCCCACTGGAGTGAGGTAAAGTACAAAGAAAATGATAAAGATGGATAGAAAGGGACAAGAGGACAGATCTCACCCACTAGGGAAAGGGTGGAGGAGGAGGAGGAAGAGGGGAAATGAGAGGAAGAAAGATGAACCAAGAATAGGAACCTAATAACCCAAATCAAGGTAAACGTGATAATCCATAACTTGTGCTAAAACACATTGTATCAATGAGTAGGAAAAAAGCAATGGGGAACCCGAAACAAGAGAGGGGGAAGGAAGGGGAAGGCGATGGGGGGGGGAGATAAACTGTAATATGTATATGTAATCACTCTCCAAGAAGACTGTAAACTGCTAAAATTATAATCATGGACTAATAAAATAAAACGCGGGGTGGGGAGCGCTCCCTAACATCAAGTCGTAACTGGCAAAGGAAGACTGAACCAAGGTTGGGACCCCAACCTCATGGATCCCCAGCTACAGAACGTGGGGCGACCCCGGCCCTGAAAACATCGTGCTTGCACCTTGTGTCCCCTAATTGCTCAGAGGCTGCCCACAATCACGGGGCGGCGGTTCAGCCCCCTGGGCCTGGCACCCCCCCTACAACAGCCTCCCGCAGTCCAGACCTGGGGTGCGCGCCGTGGCGGCCCGGGGCTCCCGGCTCTCGGTTTTCCTCGGCGGGCAGCCGTAGACTCCCCTCTCCGTCTGGTAGCCTCGCCTCAGGAGGAGTGAGGAGGCCCGACCCAGGGCCGTCCTTGCTGCAGACGCCGTGGCCCAGGCCATATCCCGCGGGGTCCCAGGCCGAGGGCCACTGCAGGAAGACTCGGGGCGCAGAGCAGAGAAGCAGAGGGTCCCGCGGGGGTGAGCAGGGCAGCGCGCGCAGCCAGCCACCTCGGAGCCCCGCCCCGAGACAACGCCCCCGCGCCTTATTGGCTAAGGACGCCTCTCCGAACCAATCCAAGGCCGGAGTCAAAGAGTGGCCACGCCTCACATCGGGGCGGGACTCTTGGGCGGTCCTGGGGGCGAAGGCCAAATTGGATCTAGACCAGCGAGGCAGGTCCAGGCGAGCGTGGCGGGGGAAGTGGGGGGAGGGGTTGCTAGGATGGAACTGAGTCTGTCGGTACCGTCTGCAGCCTTCCCGATCCAAGCCCAGAACACAACAATGTCAACGGTCCTACAGCAAGACAAAGTAAGGGACCGAAAAGGACGTTTGTGGGCACAGGAACCTCAAATACCCACCTTTTGTCTTAAGAAACTTCCAAAGAGAGAAGAGCATTGGGAAGAGGCTCTTCAAGAAAGGCACAGAGTTGGGTGGAGTCCAGTGAAATTGGATATGGATGATTGCAGCAGTGTAGAAAAGCTTTGGGATATTTAAGATTCTCCACCACTCGATCTTTGACTCGCCCGCCTGGTTTTACCTCAGGATCCCACTTTAACTTTTTCAGATTGGTGGGGAGCAGGGTCTGTGTCCTTACCTAGCCAGGCACCCAGCGTCCAGTCGGCGAGGCCACTGTTCTCGCTGGAGGCTCACTGTGTGCTCCACTTAATTTGCTTGCTCCATTCATCTGCAAGATGGGGCTTGGCTGAAGTTTGGGTTTCAGAAAAGAACGTGAAGATTTGAAAGTCTGTCAGAAGGGGGCGGGGAGGTGACTCTGCTACATGCCCAGCATCTGCGTGAAGCACTGGTTTCATCCTCACCAGCGGGGAACCAGGTCGGGCAACGTGATCTTTCCTTCTCACTTGTCATATTGGAAGACTGTAATGGCCCTATTATATCTAGACACATAAAGTTCAGTATTTTAAATTGAATGAGCACTGGGCTGGGTATCAGGCTATTAAATCTTAAGTCCATCTTTTCTACAGATTGACCTCATGCCTTTGGAAGGGTACAATCTCTCTGTTCATCATGGTCCACATCATCTTTAAGATTGCTTCAAATTCTACAAGTTTTTGATCCTAAAAATTAACATTAAAATTAAAGAATGTGCACAGGATCCTCAGATGACAAGAATGAGAGCTTTCCTGGAGACCAAGGGCTAGTTCAGTGTCAGACTCCTGCTTCTCGTTCTGAGGCAATGCATTCTTTCAATAGGAATGCTATACAGAAATTGTAAATGGATAATATATCTATAGGGGCTGGGGGTTTAGCTCAGCAGCATAAGCGCCTGCTTCGCAAATGCATGGTCGTGAGTGAGATCCCCGGTACCAATAAAAAAAAAAAAAAGAAAGAAAGATAATCTATCTATAAGGTATATAAATATACTTGTAGCTTCCATATAAAGGTGACAGGAGAAAAGCAACAGGAATGATACTTACACAAATTTTAAAAATACCGAACTATTTTATGAGTATTTATGAATATGTACATATATAGGAAAGGTGCAAATGTATGGATGGGTAGGACACTGTATTAGTTATTTTTCTCAGTGCTAAAACAAAATACCCAATGCTCAAAGTTAAAGGAACAAAAGTTTACTTTGGTTCACAGTTTGCAGAGATTTCAGTTCATAGTTTCCTGGCTCCAAGACACGGTGGCATGGCAGACAGAACTTGCAGAGGAAAAACAGTCCATGGCAGGCAAAAGTCTGCAAAGCAGCAAGCAACAAGTAACCAATGACAAGCCTCTTCCTGTCCATTGTATTTTTTTTTTTTTTTTTTTTTGTCTTTTTGAGACAGGGTCTCTATGCAGTTCAGGCTGGCCTTGAGCTCACTTTGTAGCCCAGGCTGGTCTTGAACTCTCAAGGATCCTCCTGCCTCAGCCTCCCAAGTGCTGGGATTACAGGCTGCACCACCACACCCGGCTTTGTCCATTGTATTATATCCAGGGAACCCACTCTCAGGGCAGGTAGCATTCACACCCTTTCTCCTAGCATCACATCCTTGATGCCAGCATCACTAACCCTAGATCCAGCCACCTCCAAAAAGTTTCACCTATTGCATGAGGCTTTGGGGGGACATCTAGATGCAAGCCATAACATTTCACCCAGGCCCCTCAAAGTTTCATACACATTCCTTTATTCAAAAGGCATTTAGTCCATCTCTAGGAGTTGCCAAAGTTCTAACAGTTTCAGCATTGCTGAAAAGTCCAAGTCCAAGATCTCTGAGATTCAAGGCAAACTCTTAACTCTGAGCCCCAGTATAAAATGAAAAGAAAGTTAAACATTTCCAACATATAATGGCACAAGATGAACATCACCATTACAAAAGGTATAAATAGGAGAGTAGAAAGAAATGGGACCAAAGCAAGTCCAAACTCCACCAGGGTAAACATTAATTTCTGTAGTTTTATGTCCAACATTGTTGTAGGCAGAGATTGTGGGAAGAACAATTAGAATCAGGACACAGAATTTATAATATTATTTTTATGATGGTCACCCAGAGTTTAACACAAGAAAGTGCAGGAAATCTGTCCACAACACCAAAGACCCAGACTATTCAGCCAAGAGCCTGGATCCCACAGCAATGCCCTGCATGAGCCCAGATGAAGATATAGAGCCCATAACAATGCCTCCCATGAGTCCAACTGGAGGTCTAGAGCCCATGAGAAGGACTCATGCCAGTCTTTTGTGGATCTGTGCTGGGAAGGCCCAAAGGTCAGTAATGGAAAGCTAGAAAGTCTGTGCCAGAAAGATGAAGGAGCTGTGCTTGTAGGTTGAAGGTTCTACACTGCAGCTGAAAGTCATGCTCAAAATAAGAACTAGCACTGCCCTGAAAAGCACCATAGCTATCCTCAGCAACACGGAGGTCCTGAGTCCTCCAGTGATAACAACGGTTGAGTACATGCCAGAAAGCCAGCATGACAAGCTTCTCCTGGAGAGTTAACAGCACATGTCTTCCCCTCCAGAGCCAGGAAGCCATGCTCAATATAAGGACCAGAGCTCCCCAAAAGTGAACCACAGCCACTCTCACCAGCAAGGTCCCAAGCTCACACTGAGGAAGCTAGTCATGACAAGCTCCTCCAGGAGAACCAACAGCTCAAAACAGCAACATTTACGGAAACCCACGATGCCTTGCCCTTCTTTGCCACATCTCTATTTATGTTGGCAACTTTCCTCAGGTGGGCCATTATGCTCAGTACCATACTGATGTAATTCATCTGGTATTAAGTTGATCACCAGTTTTAAATCCATAACAATCATCCAAGGGAAACTGGGACAAGATGTGAACTCCAAAGGGCTTGGGTGGCTCTGCTCCTCTGGCATTTCTGGTGGTTGTAGCTTCCATGGCTTCTCTCTTGGGCCCACTCTGCTTCCTCCTTGCAGTTTTTGTCAGACAATCCATGTTTCTGGCTTCTCAAGAATTCTAGGGTCTCCATGGCACCTTCAGCTTCACACACTACCCTCTCAGGGACACACAACCTGACCTCCCAGGCCTTCTTCTGAAATCCGGATGGAAGTCTTATCCCACAACTCTTGCACTTTGCATGCACTTAAAACCAGCACCACATGGATGATGCTGTCTTAGTTACTTTTTACTCATTGCTGAGACAAAATACCTGAAGCCCAAGATTGGGAAAAGATGGCTTTATTTCTTATAGTTTTTGGAGGTTTCAGTCCATACTCAAGTTGGCTCCCAGGCAGGCGGGCATGGCTGGGCCGCAGTTCATGGCAGCTGCAAACAGCAAGGCAGAAACACGCAAAAGAGCTAGACACACCTTCTTCCTGCCATTACACTGTATCCTGGCTCTACCCCTAGGCCAGTGTAGCACTTACTCCCCCAATCCAAGCACTAGACAATGAACCAGTCACAAATGCACAATGCAAATGCATGAGGTCTGGGAGCCACCAACATAAACCATGACAGATGCCAAGGTCTGCTGCCAGGCTTGCTTCTCTCTGGGCTGTAGGGGTCAGATTCCAATGAAGCAAATCTCTAGGAACAGCTTCCCTAGGCCACCATCATTCTGGAACATGATGGTCTGGGACTCTCTTCTCAAAGCAAAGTCTATCATCTTTGCAACTCTGGGGATTTCAAGGGTGTTATCCTGCTGATTCTTGTGATGTACTGAGACCATCTTTTCTGTTGTCTTCTTTGGAAATATTTGGCTTTTTCTTACTAGTCTTTTCAGTGACCAGTTTCTCCTCTGTTCCACCTTTGCAGACATCTTTATTGGAGCTTCCTTTCTGGCCAAACTAAAAACATTTTAAACAATTTTTCTGGGCTCTTTGCTCTTGACTCTCAACATCAATTTGGCTAAAAGCCACCTAACCATGCTGTGGCCTCAACATCAGACTGCTTTAAAATTTCTTCTGCCATATTAATTAATACACTGCCCTTAATTTTAGTGTCAGGCTAAATCTCTGGACACAAACAAAATGCAGAAAAACTTTCTGCCAAGGCACAACACACATTGTCTGGAATGCAACAGCCAACACAGTCCTTCTTCCCAGCAGAAAGCTCCTGAGTCTGTTCTTTACAAGCACAATTTCTATTAGCATCTGGTATTCTAAGCTCTGACCAGAATCTCTCATCATGTACAGTTTAAGGTATTCCAGGGTTGCTTCCTTAACTGGCATCAACAAACATTTTCAAACTTCCCACAAGCTAGTGCCAAAGATATCTGAACCACATGGTCAGGTATATTCACAGAAATGATCTCACTTCTCTTGGATCAAATTTTGTCTTACTTACTTTTCTTGTTGCTGAGACAAAATACCCAACACCTAAAGTTAAACAGTAAAAGTTTATTTCAGCTTACAATTCATACAATTCATTTCAGTTCATATTTTGTTGGTTCCAAAACACAGTGGCATGGCAGAAGGGAACCTCAGAGATTAGAAATAATTCATGAGAGGCAGAAGGCAGAAAGCAGCAAGCTACAAATAACAATTGATAACCCTCTGATCCTTATCTATCACCCAGGGTACCTCTCTGGGTGGTTGTCCTCACACCCTGCGCCTA